ATGGAAATGAAAATGGCAAAAAGAAAACAGCTGACATGGAAACAAGATGCAAATCCACCCTTAAGTTATCGAAGACAACTAAACAAACCACCAAAGCGAGGCGGGGGCTCTTACTCTGCTTTATAAAACCAACACTTTACAGCCAGGTTTATTAAAAGATAGTGGCTGTGGGTAAACATGACATGTGTATCTACTGGTTTCACTATGAGTATACTTGTTTCCTGCATCCCCCTCAATAAACTGGACCGTTTATTAGTGGTGAAAACGATGGTCGTCTGACAGAATAAGTTATTTTAATCAAACATGTTCCTATTAAAGATAAAACCTTGCTCTTCTTTTTCAATAAAAAGTGTCCAAACATCAGTAATATATCACTTTAATAGCTTTCTTTCAACATCTTGGTGTATTAGAGAGCAGAAAGAAAAGCTTTTGATTCATTGTGCGATAAAGGCTAGTCAAACCAGATCACATGAAACTGGACTTCTCTGTGTGTTTACTCTAAGCAAGGCATAAAAAGTGTTTGCACCTGACAATACAAAGTTGTTTTTGTGTTTTTAGTCCATTTGAGACATGTGCCTGTAACAGGAGACTGAATTAATCCTCCATTTTCACACATCTCGGCATGCCAGAGACTGTAGTAATAAACTCCACCCCGATCCATCCTCCTCTAGTCGTGCCCTTCTTTTGCAACGCCTTCTCCGTGTTGCCCAAGCCTAATGATCTAATTACAGGCCAAGACTTGTTGACTTTGTATTGAAAGAACAGCCAGCCTGACACTATACTATCCAGCATCCCCCTCCTCTCCCCACACACTCACAAACTTCATCAGTGTCTGTGTTACAAAGCGTCACCCAACAGCACCTTGTACAAGTTTGTCCTCTGAGGCTTTATTTACAATCCAAATCAGGGTGGGCACAGATGTTGAAATGTTAGGTCAGATGCAAACTTGTGCCTACTCGACACAACAGAGCTATTCACACACTGGGTCATGTGCTATTGCTACAGTGAGTGCTTGAACACAAATGCAGAGAGGAAACTATTTCTTTCAGTTTTACTCAAAGGCCAATTGATCCAGGCCTAAGAAAAGCACAGTAACTCAGCCTATTGGGATTTTTATTTAGTATCTCAGCAGTGATCTGTTCTCAGACATTTGCCTTAAGCCCTACAACTGCAAGTTATGTCAGGTATAATAACCACAACATCAATTTTGATGGTAAACCCATGAAACAAACATTGGCACAAACCAGATTGACTAAATCGACCTCAGTTGTAGTAAAAGGGGAAGTTTTGCACTTGTGCATGGCTGTTTCCAGGCAGGGTACTGCTACAACAACATGCATGGAGACAGCCTGAATAAAAGGTGTGCGCTAAATCTGAAAGCTGCTCACACTGTACCCATGTTTATTCAGCGGTGTAGTTTGTGCTCAATGTCTTTTGTGGTTCACAAAGTGCAGAGTAGATTTCTGGTGAAACAGGAAGTGTGCTTTTATCTCTGCTGCACTGAGCAACTTTTAGAAACGGATTCTGAAGAACATTAAACCGAATCTTTTAACTGGTTGATGTAGGAGAAAAAAAAACTTATGGGAAGGTCAACTCACATGGGCAGAAAAGAGGAACTGTGAGTTCAAACTTCCCTTTGAGTTGAAATGAATAGCTTCCACGCCTCTATGTACATTACAAGATGAGCAACATTCTGTTCTGATGGAGTGAAGATTTTGATGCATGATGAAGCCTTGCATGACTGCCTGCATGCACAAGACTATGCCGAGCAATAACAGCAAAAGTACAGCTGTTTTTGTCAACTAAAGTTGCATTAACATTTTGATCAGTGGAATAAAAAAACACTTGGAAAGCAATAATGGAGCCATATCAACAGAATGTGTACATACTGATTACTACACCATGAAAAATACATGTTGGCTTGGTCCAGGGGCTTGCAAAACACTGTTCCCGCCCTCGCTACAACACACCATATAAGGCAACAATTCATATAAGAAAAGCAACAATCAGACATATCAGCTAAAGCTCATTACAACGGGTTCTTAGAGGGACAAATTCTAACTTTTCATCATTCTCCACGCTGTCAAGTCGAAGAGAGTGTCAGAGAAAGATGGAAACGCAATAAAAAAGTTGCGTTATTATCGTGTTTAGAATGACATTTGATATAGATGGAAACAAGAGGAAGTTAGATGGAAAGAAAACACTTTGTATCCATTAAACTTGCGAAACTTGTCAAGTCTTCTTTAAGAAAACCTTAACATGTCAACTGAACCTATGAAAACGCGATAGTTAAGTTGAAAGATGTACATCATGGCGACTTAACTATGTAGTTGTCCAAAACACCAAATGCAAACAAACTAACAAACATACACAGACAGCTCTATTGATTCACTGGGGAATAATTCATCACTACTGACCTCAAAAACACAGGATTCGGATGACAAGCTCCATAATGGCAACCCAAAAAGTGTCGATCTCAGTGGCCAGTGAAAATCGGGATAAAAGTAGACAAGAAAAGTGGAATCAGAAGATAATCCAAGGGTGAATTTTGAGGGGGAGGGGGGAGTCGTCTGCAGGTGTGGACCACCAGCCAACCCCACACTTCTTTCTCACAGCCACGAAAGAAAAAACTGTAATAGGAGGAGGGAGACAATGCAATGGCTGCTGTTTGAAGCAGAAAAAGGAGAAGTGTAGTGGAGCAACTTGTCCTCTCCCTGTGAGTCACGCAGCACTGTCGCCATTGGTAGGGGCGCCCTGAGGCTGGGTGCTTTCACCTTTCCACCAATCGGCGACGAGTATCGGCCCTCGATGCAAATCCTTTCAGGTGAGCTCTACGTGTGGCAGCGATTGGATGGAGCTGCTGTGGGGGAGGGGAGAGCAGAGAGGTCCAACCGGAGGGCCACACCTCAAACAGCCTGAAAGACGATAGACGGGTTTCTCCTGCAGGGGCGGAGGAGGTGTAGGTAAACAGTTGGACAGGTATGCACTTACTGTAGACTTTGACCATACAATGTGGGCCTGGCTGGGTGATTAAAATCTGTATTGCAGCTCAGAAGTAAAGTTCATGTCTCTTCGTGTCCCATTAAAACATTTGCAGTGAATTGTGGGTCTATTAGCTGTGTCAAGTGAGGCAGTGGGGCTGCTGACTTGTGGGGGAGTTGCTTTCTTTCTCTCTCTCTCTAAATACAGCTTCATAAAACAGCTCCTACCAGTGGGAGGGAAAAGAAATGAAACTGTGAAGAGGACTGTGCTTAAGTTTGAGCAAGTGGTTCATCATGAAGGCCCAAAAGTCATCTCTTATCACCCTCTATCACTTTTAGTCTTCTTCAAACAGTTAACTGTCATGATCAGAGCAAAACTGGTTAGAGAACTAAAACATAAAACTTTAACTCAAGCAAACTTTGTCAAATTTTTCATTTTAGAGTCAGAAAACTTCATAGATTATCTTCAATAGTTGACACAAATTACTCTTAATATATCTTGTTCATGCAAGCAGTTAACACCTGATAAGAATCTTTATCAGAAATAACACCAAGGAAACAGGAAGTGGTGGTCTGTGGTGAGTGATGAGAACTCTGCATCTCCACACACCGAACACACACACACACACACACACACACACACACATCTTTATGACGCAAACCTATTCAAATTTTCCACTAAAAACCCCCATGTTTAGCAGTAACAGAGGACAAATGTCTAAAACAAAATTTGTTTAAATTGCGTGGAAAGAGCAAACACACTAACACCAGATTCTGATATTGATATCTTACGAACAAGCCGATTTCACTAAATTGTAACTGCAGCACAGTCTTTTTTGTCATAGGCCTCCAAATCACCCTCTCAGTCTCCACTGAGTGCTCTCGTCATCACACTAATTCTTCCTGGCCAGCGTTCAGTGTAGCTCGGCCCAAAGACGAAGGCAGCTGTTTGCCTCAGAGCAAATTGATAGCCTCGCCGTGAGGGAAAGCTGCACCAAACAAGCTTCATTTATCACCGCCACAACACTGAAGCCTTGGAGGAAACTGTTGACTTCTCTTGATATAAACTCTGAAGGTGAACGCACTGCGGTGCTGTTAAAATCCAGGAAAACTATGTAAACATGCAAAAACACACACAAGTGTGCACAGGCAAATGTAAATCCAGCGCTCTTTCTCTTATGAAGCCTCACAGATAGTCTGAATCAATGCGTTATCTGAGGTTTCCAAAAGAGTCCAAAAATCTATCACAATCTGGTATTTATCAAGTGATTATTGGCTATGTCATACCCACAATGTTGACACTATCAGCTTGGTCCTTTTTTTTTTACCCAAATATCTGTATTACTCACGATCCGATTTCAAATATTTATTCACAGAGATTTCTTCTCTGAAAGATAAATAACTTAAAGGAAAGTGAAGGTTTGAGATTAGAGGATCATTTAAGAGCTGCTGCATCCTGTTTTATCAGTTTTAGCATTCCTCAAGCATAAAATCCACAAATTTACATCTCAGTGATCTGTCAGTAATAGTGTGTGTCCAAATAAATACTTCTCTAACAGAAAATCTCTTAAAAGAAACAAGCAAATGGGATGAGATGGCATGGCTGGTGTAAACAAAACTTCATGATGTTCTATGACCGACCATTAAAAAGCAGGTTTTTACCTCTGTTTCTCCTGAGCCAGATTACAAATCACTCTTGTAGTTTTTGGCCAGAGGAACAGCAATAATCAGCCAAATGTCTATTAACATTCACTCACAGTCTGATAAGAAGAATTCTTGATGTACACGAGCTATAATTTACCCTCATTAAGAGAGTCATAAACAGCTAGAAAGAATCAAAGTCAATTCTAGGACTATGCACACTGAACAACTTTATATGATAGTTACTTTTAAGGCTTCATTAGATACATATTTATCTGACAAGACGACTGTTTGGTTAATTCGTGTGATAAAATTAGTTAGAATCCATCTATTATTGTAAAGGTCTGCAACACTGTAAAGCATAATGACATAAGGAAAGAAGTTAAAGCTGCAGTAGGGGACTTTTGGTAGTGTTGATTTTGGCGCCCTTCAGCTACCAAAGATGTTCATCTTTGCAAAGGTGGGAATTGTCTATTGAAAAATCACTTAAAATCCTCTTTTAACAGTCAACTATATCACTGACTGTGAATAAGTGCTGTCAATCATCTGGTCTGACACCTAATCCTTCACTGCCGTTTAAAGCATTAAAAATCAACTATCTGGTTGCAGATGGGTCCCTTTGCTCTTAGGGTCATAAAAAGTCAATGCTATTAGTTTCAGTTTTTCAATTCAAATTTCCATACAGGAGCTTTAAGTCAATTTTATGGAGTAAATTAGCAAATTTTCTTCAGTAAGGCAAGGGAAAACATGTCTCCTCTTCTGGGTGAACAAACACACAAAAGATGCCAAACAGACAGAGTTCATATTGAGGAAAAAAACAGTCCTTGGATCATTAAAAAAAACAAAACACTACTCCTAAGTTTCATAAATGAAAGTAGCGGAAAATGTCAGTTAGTTACACCAGACACACATCTTTAGTCACAGTATTTGTAGGGGAAAGTAAATGGGCTCAATTTACACGAAACTGTGAAGCCACACCATCAATGAAATTATATTTTTTTGTGGGTTTGAGAGTTCACACTAAAGAGTTTCCTGAGAATTTGCAATCGTTCCATCTAAGTTCTGTAACACAAACTCACACACATTTGCTCAACAAGTTACATCCTCTCTCTGCAACAAAGAAAAAGGAATAAAAAGTGAAGCTTTGGTTGCTTGCGTATCATGACTTTTAGATCGAGATCTCAATCTGAAGATAGAAAACATAAAAAGACAGTTTTGTACAGTTGATTATAATCCTGCTTTGGTGGTTTATTTCATTATGTACCTTTGAAGCAGAGATGACAATGGTACTTCAGTGCTTAAGAATGAAATGGAGGGTCGTTTATTTTCCTGTAGGGCTTATTCTCCAGTACAGGGGTCAACCACTACAGAAAGTGCTAACATCAGTCATCTGATGTTATTCTGAGCTGCCATTACACTACTATCTATTTACAAGAAAGCTTCTTAATCTGACTGTATATTCAGGTAATTACAAATATTTCTATGACAAAAAATAATAGGCCTCGATTCTTATCTGCGACTCAAAGAGTGGTAAATGGAGCTCCAAATAGAGCTAAATGTGTTTTGTATTTTATTTCATTTTTCCCACTTTGACTTGATTTATAATACACATTTATCATGGCATGCCCGTCAAATTTGCACCTGACAAACCCTCCACTAAAAGCAGCACTCAGGAAATTCTGATCATTCAGTAAATAGTTATGTTGGTGGACTCGTGAAAACCTGACATACATTCTGACACAATCCTTGACAGAAAACGCTAAGGGAGCCTTGGAAGGACACACAGAATTATTTGTGTAGCTTGGAGGTCATCTGATGGCTGCTCTCGCTGCTCAAATACAGAACAGGGACGCTTTTAGATGACACTGTCAGAGGCCAGTGAACAGGACAGAAGTGCAGCACACGAGAGACAAAGAGTAAGTTAAACAAAGAGGGCAGAGATACATAATTAACACACCTGAGGTACGTACCAGGGATTATTACAGGAAAAAACACAACAATAACATCCATCATGTCTGGTTGTAGGAAAAGCAGACATGTATAAGAGTTGTTTAGGTTTAGGCCAGTCGGTTGCAGCCAGACTGGTTGATTCAACGCGCTAACAGCTCACTGTGCTACGAAAACGTCCTCATTCTCGGACAGTGACCATCCAGAGCTGCACCAGGACTCAACATGAATCACTGTGCTGACTGAGGATGACTGTAGACTGGCCCAGTGCGGAGTTGTGTGGGTGTACTGCTGTTAAGACAATGCGTTCAGAGCCACAGTTCATCAGACAGTGAGTGATTCATGAGAACTTTTGAACAGTTTGATGAGCGGGCCGCACGTTTTTGTTGGTGATATTTGATGAGAAATTCGCGGACACAAGAAAGAGCAAGGAAAGAGTCTTGCAAAATCTTTGCCTAGATCAGCATTTGATCAAAATACAATGATGCAATCAAGAGTGATAAAAGTACAGCAATAATAGTTGTGACATTTGCCACATTTAAGATAAAGGTGTGTCAAGAGCAAAGCACCGAGAAGCAGGAGAGCTGAATCATGACAGAAATGTCATCATAGATACGTGCTGAGGTCCTGTTCACTTTGTCTATCTTTATCTTCAATGGGAGAGTTCAGTTTGTAACTAAATAGCATCTGTTTCCTTCAGTTTAATTTTAATTTGTACAATAAGAGAGCTGATGAGAATCCTCTGACTCAGAAGTGGTAAAGGACCTCCGGGATCCTAATTTGAATAATTACCCTGCTCCCTATACATTGTTCCTGTTTGCATACTGCATGATAACATCTCTTATCAGCTCATGGTGCAATATAATAAAGAAGCTCTGAAAAATAAAACAAATAGCTTGCTTTATGGGGTATAGCATTAGACCTACAGTCGACACACGTGCAAGCTTCAGCTCATTAATTATCAATTACTGGGAGCAGGCTAACAATCCTGATCCTCCAGGCTGAGAGCACTGCATGCATGCATTCAGAAACCAGCAGAAATCATTCATAACTATGTCACGTCGCACACCACACAACTTTTGTTTCTTCTACAAAGAAGTGATCATTAACAATCTGAGGTTATAAAAAGTCCATCAGTATCATACGCAGTCATTCAGGCCAAAGAGCAGGCCTCTGCCGGTGTGCTGCAGCCCAAGAGCTCAAGTTTATCTCAAGCTCATTATTAATAAAATGCCATGAGGCCCTAGGAGCATATTGCTCTGTCAGTCAGAGCCTAGATTATAATACCCATTGGCTGCATGCAGTTAAATAATTCAACAAGCTTGTGGACAGCTCGTCACTCTGAAATTAACCCAAAACAATCAAACGCCAAAATTTACCGCAAGTGAGGACAGACGACAGATGTGGCGAGCTGTTAAGAGTGCCTGCAAATCCGACCTCCTCTGTCTTCACTTGATGTACACTAGTCACACTTGTTCAGAGAGTTTTCTCAAAGTTGAACGGGGGGAAAGATCTTTAGAGTTTCTCAGGGCTAAGCTCACTGCTTGAATCCAAGCACCAGAGGCAGAGCTGACTCATGAAAGGCCTCTGTGAACCTCTCACTACTAGCTCATTAGCTGGAAGAGACATGAAAAATGACAGGCTGAAATATCATTACGAGCCAAAGTTGCAGGCGCAGCGAGTCTCTATTTTTGTGAAGAACTGCTCTGTGTGGTCGAATTTAAGTAAGCTAGAACATTACAACCCCGGCCATCACTCCTTAATGTAGTTATACTTACATCAGTGATACAGCTTACTACACCGTGTGCTTACATGGACCTCAGCAGGCATCATAAAAATATCTCAGTAATGCGGTTAACTAATCTCATGATGTCAACATGCTGCCAGAGTGGGTACTCTGATTCATCCTTCAATAGTTCCCTTGCAGACAAAGTTATATTTTCAGGCTCAGGATCAGGTTTCATAACATTTTCCTCACTTAGCCTGCTTTTTCAGCTTTCTAGCAGCCAGTTAGCTTAGCAGTGCTTGAAGACAAGAATAGGTTTGCAGCTTTCACAGCTCTCCGGTGCTGAAATTACAGAATTTAACATGGAGTTACCTTGATGACCAAAAATCCTGCTATGAAGGACCGGCTCCAGTTATAGGAACAATATCAAAAATATTTTTGTAGTATTATCCAAACAGGGTGAAAGATGATGGCTTTACTTCAAAACCATCTAGCTATTTGAGATACAATTTTTCACTTGAATATGATCACAAAATCTTTGCAAACACCTGTCTTCAGTTGAAAGTTTTTCCCTAATTAGACCACATTTAGTTTTGGGTTTTTATAAGTTTATGACCCACTGAAGTCTGGCCTTCTCAAACACAACTACACAAAGTCAACTTGTCCTGTTTCACATGCTAAAAATAGACAGATTGTAGTCCTTCATTACATCATACTCAATGCATGGAGAAACTGGGACCTGATGACTCGTCTGAGTCACATGCTGGTGAGGCAGCATAAGTGCAGAATGAGGTTACAGGTGGAATTTCCCTCGTCTCTCCTTTCTGTCTGACGTCAAGTCCAACGGCAGCAGTTTCACTGCTGATAATGCTGCCGCCTAGAATCAAACATGTCTGACAAGGTGATATTCAGGTGTCAAAACCCAGGTTAGTATACAATTAGAGGAACTTTGCAAAACAGCAGTTCCCTCCTGAGGAACCCGCAACAGAATAACGCAGGGTCGAGAAAAGGGGAAGTTCAACAGTTTTGTTTCTCTTTTCACAAGTCGCTTCCTACCTTTCTGTGAGTCATTTGAGGTTTCAGCCATCTCACATGATTGTTTGTTTATTCAAAGTATATGAACATTGCCATCTTGTGGTTATTTCAAAGGTTCTAATGACAGTAATTTACACCAAGAAAGGTACATAGGAGCCTCGGTTAAATTTTATTTGGTCAGCTTATATATTTTTTATTCTAAAAGGATTGAGAGCAACATGAATATCAAAGCTTTGTTTAAAAGATTGTCTTTTTAGTTCCTCGATTCTTATAGTCTCTGGACACTGTTGCAAAGAGGTTTTAAATTATTATTTGCCAACTTGTAAAAAGGGGGGAAAAAAGCAGCTGGGTTCCCGTCTCTTGGAAGGCCGCACTGAAAGCTTTAGTGAAACTGGAGTGCTGCTTTCTAAATAGATAAAAGCTCAGATCTTCTTTTTGTGTAGCCAAATCAATATCCAGCAGCCCATTAAGGCAGGCGGGTACATCTTGGGCAAGACTAAGAAGAAGTGTCTGATGTCTGAGGAGCTCCTTGTCGATGCAGGGAGAGAGCGCATTGTTGTTCTTCCTCAACACTGCACTCCTCAGCTGCTGAGACTGCTGGTGACAGTAATGTTGCAGGAGGAGAAAGCTATACTGGGAAATGATTAAGTCTCAACCACACAGTCTTCAACTGCAAACGAACTGGATCAGTCAAGGAGCATGTGTAGCATTACTGTTATCAAAGTAAGCAGGAGAGGGGGATAAAGAAAGGCTGGACGTGTGAGCTGAGTGTTTCTAAAACGAGGGCACATGCTAGAGACAAACAAGATGACTCCACTCTGGAGTATATTTGGAAAGTCTTGTTCTGGATAATTGCTTTCAGTGGATTGAAGTTTCCAATTATCCACAAGCCTTTGCCAGTGTTCCCACCATAAGGAAGACTGTAGGGGAGGAGAGACCAGGCGGGAGGAGGGTGAAGGGTTGGTGGGTCCAGCTGGTCTTGTCTCCAGTGGGACTGAAATGCTTAAAGCTCGTAACTCTCCCCTTTTCCCCTCTGCGTCATAACTTCCCTCTCTGAAGAGAGCAAATCCAGTGGACCAATGAGAATGTGTTTGTATGTCTCATGGTAAAAGCATCTTCACCCAGAAATGTAAACATCTGGCAAACATTTGACTGCTTGTAGAATAGGATTGATCTTGTAGATTAAAATTAGACAAAGAAACACATGCTGTGAAATGTATTAATAACTCGGCTTATCCAAAACAAGCAAGAATCCTCTATAATGGAGTTAAGTGACTGTATAACCCATTAGATTATCAATGGCTACTTTAGTCTTCACTGTTTTAGTAATTGTGTGTCACACAGGCATACCGAGATTGCTGAGGATGTTTTAATTCTTAAGTTGCCATATTTATTATCAAAACAGTTTTTTATTGTTCTGTTGCTTCATAAGTTTGAGCCCTACGCCAATAAACCAAAGTCTAATGCAGATCAGTATTCATGTTTAACTTTAACTAGACCCGAATGAAAGTTATAAATAAAGTACACCGGCTTTTTTCCATGTTCTTGTAACAAGGCCACACCTGACAACCTAAATGATCAAGAGTAAACTCAAACTAGATAAAATCAACCCTCTGAATGTGACAACCCTAATGATTGTAGTAAATACAACTAAGCACTAGCACACTCTCTCACACCCGGCCTCACACATGCTATCAGTGCAGTCACATGCTGGCAGACTGACACAAAGGGGAGTCACAGAAATCTGTGGAGCAGTGAGCAAAACAGAGCTGCAGGTCATGTCTCCTATACTGGCTTGTATCATGAGTTCAGTCACGCTTCTTTGTTGTTTAATAACTTTGTGGAGTTTAGGCATTGTGCATAAAAGGAAACTTGTTCTGATGTCGAAAATGAGCTATGTAGATGTAGTGTTTTGTTAAAAGTCAGAAATAGGCCTATTTCACAACAAAGGGTACAACATGAGAACATTTCAAAAGTATGACTCAACAGAGAACCAATGGTTGCCTACAGATGCTGATGAGGATAAAGAAAGCTATAATTAAAAACTTTACTTTTAGAAACATTCAAAGGACTAACCTTAATAGAAGTTGTCATCAGTATTATATATTCCTTGGGTTGTTCAGGCAGTTCGCTAGCTTTGCCCATGAAACCAGGCGGCCTCAAAGAAGCATTATGATCCCTGGAGTGAGTTGAGCTGTGCCTGGATACATCATCGCAGAGTCACCGGCCAGTTTACCCTCCCGCTGCTTTCGTGTGTTTCCTGACACAAGGTTGCCTTTTCTCCGGCAGGGGCTGATGCGTGGGGAATTCCTAGCAGTCACATTTTCCTGAGAAACGATTGGCCCGGCACCAAAAGTTTAGCTGCAGCCTCGTAGTAGCCTACTGGTGAAGCGACAGGACTTGGGGACAGGTTTTCAAAGCTGGGTAATAAGCATTGACGAACGGTGTAAGGCTAGAAAGACGGTGGGACATAGATATACAGTATCCACGTCATTTTCTACCCCTCAGACAGGTAACTCTAAGAAATAAATGACTGTTTTTGAACACGGACTGAACAAACTGTCTTGAAAACGACGTCTGTAACGTTTGGAGAAACCGTTACACGTTCACAGGTGTGTCCTACCTACAGGCAATCGAGATGAAGTCAAATGAGCGTCGCGCGAATGAAATGACGTTTGTAAAAAAAAAAACTGTCGATAAAGTTTAGTTAAATCCCTTATTCGTCTCTCCCGAGGATTTCACTTTAACGGCGCTACAATTTGAACATTGAGAGATATAAGCTGTGGTTTTATGCATCTTCCGGGAATGTCCAAACCCTTGTGAGATGAGAGCAATTGAGGATAACTCCTCACCGGGCGGGGTCTAATGTAAGCGTTCTCTGGAAATGATGAGGGCACATTGTGAGGAGTATATCAGACAAGCCATAGCTACAGAGCAACCGATTGGTCTGTAATGTCGTGTTTTAAGGGGAACAAATAGCTAAATTAATTGGTCGCCGAAAGTGACACTTCCATCTTACAAAAGAGAAAAGGGTAGTTCCCATACCGGGAGTCGAACCCGGGCCGCCTGGGTGAAAACCAGGAATCCTAACCGCTAGACCATATGGGACCGTTGACCCGCAGGAGCAAACCACTGTTTATAAATGTAAATAAAGTTCGTAAATTTTACTAATCCGTATTTAAGTATTATGTTTTCTCGCTTTAGTCACTGCACACAGTGACACTGAATCTTAATAATATTAATATCATTTCCTTTTAGCTGTGTTTGGAGTTGGAGTGGCTTTGGAGTATGAAACGCTGTACTTTGGGGACAAGGTCCCATCTAGTGGTCGTTCGATGTTACTGCAAATAAAGTTCGACATGCATACCATAGTGCCTTATTTCTGCATCAACATTGGACAGTTCCAAAATCAAACAACTGAGTAGCAAACAAACCATATGATGGTATATCCTGAAAAAAAAGTCATATTTAAGAATATGGAGGTAATTCAGAAAGTGGGCTGCGTGGCGTGTTCCAAAACTCTTATAAGGTTGCTAAACATATGACGTAATTTTTGCTGACATGATACAAGTTAACGGAGGGGGGTCTTGTCTTCAGAAAAAAATACTTAGTCCCTATTTTCAACGTACTTGTGGTTTCAGAAAATAAAACGACAGCTAAAAAACTTTGTTGATATCATTCACTTGCATTACAACAACGTATAATTGAGACTGTACATTGTCTGCATTTCGATCCCGCTGGTGTAAACCACCTCTTTCCAGCCGAAGTGGTATCGCCCTCAAACTAGCCGAGGATGCCAAATATTTGACAAACTAGCAATCGTCGGCTAGCTAGCAAGAATTTAGAGAGATTCGTCGATATAAAATACATCTCCTCTAGACTTAAGCATCTCAAGTTTATGCCAAGGATTTAAGTTTCTGTGTGGGCAGGATGTCAACTCCAGCAAGACGGCGTTTAATGAGAGATTTTAAACGGTAAGCGACAAGAAAACAACAGAGGCAGCTACAGCTAACTTTAGCATTCGCCGCTAGCTTGTTAGCCTCAGTTCTAGGCTAAATATTCACCATCCAAGAAATACTCAAACACAAAAATATCTACTGGATTATTGGCCTGCTGTTTTTTTAATGTTGTGATAGAATTTGGTGGAATTCTGGCTGTATTGGTCCTATCAATTTCAAGATCGGCACATTTACAGGTAACGATCTTTGTTAACGTTACTTGTTGGTTAGGTAACACCGGCATTAACATAGCTGTCTGGAGCTGAAATGAAGGTCTTTTGCAAGAGCTCTCTGGCTTTGGAAGATGTAGATGATAGCTGACTGATATTATGATCGTAACACGAACAGTTCATTGGGTCTCACTGGAACCTTCCTACTGTTATTGTCTCTGTGCTGAATCCGGAACCCATCATTTAGGATACAACAGTCCATCGACCAGATGGTCCTCAAAGATATATGACACGATTGGGATGATACAGACTGTCCAAATGCGCACTGATCAAGGGATCTCCTATTTATGGACGGTGATAGATCACGGTCTCAGCCTAAGGATAAGTAACCATCTGCCGTGCAGTCGCTGAAAACCAACAGATACTCAGCAACAGTCGGTTCTGACACATGGTTACTTATCCCTCATCTACAGTAAAATCTAATGCAACAGTGCTGATGTCCACAAAGGCCAAGGCCTCAGTCTGGTTGGCACATGGTCAAAATCATCATCATCATCATCATCACCTCGTTTTTTCACAATGGGTTAATGCAGTGGTTCTCAACTGGTGTCACTCTGGGACCCACATTTCCCCATGGTCCTGAAGTCTCGACCCACTTTTACAAAATGAAAAATAAAAATAAAAAACTGTAAAGACTCAGATCTTTAACATTAATACACCGTCCTTATTGAGTAAAGTGCATTTCAGAGCACATTAACTGAGGACGACTACTGAAGTTGCTTATACAGAAAATATCAAATTGCACAAAATGGAGACCAGCAAAATGAAAAATTTGACTTTTATGCATCTCTGCATTCAAAGCATATCCAGAAGAACCTGAGGAGGACCATTCAACAGCATGGACAAACTGGAATAAATACTAAATTGCACTAAATAAAGACTGAAAAAAAAAAAAATACAAACGTATTTTTACTGCATTCAGGCCACATTAACAAGATAACATATGCCTTTCAAAATCAGCTATTTTTCAAAATGAAGGACATGTCAAACATCAGATTAGATCAGCATTAAATATTTACTTTTTTGACCAGCTGTTCGCGACCCATCCATAACATATCTGCGACCCACTTTTGGGTTAATGGATAAAACTTCAGTATGCATTCATCAGAAATGTGGTTGTGATAACTTAGTAGGTAAAAAACATAACTTGTTCTCACTGTGGGAGAAAATTCAAACTAATTTAGCACTTAACGGCAATACCACAATATGAATTTTGCAAGTATACCTGGCAAAAGAAAAAACACAGAAAAGAAATACAATTAAAGTTTGTATTTGATTCAAGTGCTGCGTGGTCGTAATTCCTGGCCAGAGTCCTTCGTAGCATACAGTTTGAGCCTAATAGACAGTCTAACAGAGTCTGAAGTCCCCCTCACCCTCCTCCTGTGTTAGGGTCTAGACTGACCTGTTTTGTTTTTAAATGCTTAAAAGAACCACATAAATTAGGTTTTTCGCATCAAGACTTTTTGACTTTGTCAGGAACCTCTATTTCAACTAATTAAAATTTTTTGAAAATTAATTAACTAAATTTTAAAACGCTCTTATTAAAATGATGGCACTTGTCGTGTTAGGGTCGCTGTTGACCCGGTTAGATCCAAATCTAATACTTAGAGCAAAAACTAAAATCATATGTGCACTGCCAGGCACTACACTGACAATCAGATCCTCTTCCAATCGTATTAGATTTAGAAAATTTACATTTTGCCTGTTTTCCCTGCACAAAAAAACAAAGTCCATCATGTGCAGACATGTGAGATCAATTCAGTATAGATGTCTGTGTGAGTATGTATACTGGTAAAGAAAGGCCCAGAGGCCCACAACAATTATATGCAATATTTTCATGGGTAATAAAGAGTAACAAGTTAACCGAGAGATGAGAACAACATTGGATGATAGAGAATTGTTTTTAGTGTAATTTACAGCTGATTTAAGACACGGGTCGAAACTGACCCCTAACATAGTGGGTGCATAGCAAAAACTAACACAGGAGGAAGGTTAAGTGTGTCTAAATGGTGCTTTTGGTATGAAGTTTAACTCTTAAATGGTTATCAGCTACCTACCCAGGGGACCTATGTCAGGCAATACATTTTTCTAAAGTTTCTGTATTATTAAGTCTTACATAAGCCATATTTTGTGATCTGACTCGTTCTTTTGTGTAGGCTCCAAGAAGATCCTCCAGCTGGTGTTAGTGGTGCCCCATCAGAAAATAATATCATGGTATGGAATGCTGTCATTTTTGGGTAAGTCAAGCTGATTTGTCAATCATTAGATTAAAAAAGAGGATGGAGATTTTTATACATGTACATGTTAGCCATTTTCTGTGAACATTCACTGTTTTTCATTGACTATAATAAATGATAAAGTCATGACAAGGTTAAGGAGTGTGAAATTTTAGAGCTTCTGTAAATTCATTCAGAACATGTTACCTTTTTTACAGACCTGAGGGAACACCTTTTGAAGATGGTGAGTTTTTTCTTCTAACTCCTGACATAATAATTTATCTCTAGCCCTGCAATGACATGTTTCCTGTCACAATGATGATTTAGTCAATTTACATCAGTGCTTTGAAAGTTTTTCTTTTTCTCAACAGTAAACAACTCTTGAGATCTCATGAATGGATAGAGTGGAATATATAATTTCTTAAGTTAACTATCTTTTCTGCACTGAGCTTAAAATAATGTTTTAAGTGTCATAGAGGGCAAACCTGTGAGTTTGACCAGTTTGTACATGCTCTGTACATATTACTTCATGATCACAAAGAAGTGTCTGGATTTTGTGTGTCATATTAACTTCACTAAATTAACCAGGAAGGCCCTAAAACAAATTAATACAGACTAATATCTTTTGAGTTGCTGTCTGACATACAATATTTTCAGTCATTGTTTTTCAATTCATACTTTGAAATTACTTCCTTCGTCTAGGGACCTTCAAACTTACCATTGAATTCACAGAGGAATATCCCAATAAACCTCCAACAGTGCGATTTGTCTCCAAAATGTTTCATCCAAACGGTATGTACTACATAATCTGTTGAGAGGTTTGCCTAAAATACAAATTGCATCAATTAAAAGATTCTTAAATCTTTAATTTCATGCCTAGAGTTGTTGAGTCATCAGTTAATTTAAAAAGCACCACAGCATCATGTCATATCATCTTTGCTTGTTTGCAGTGTATGCAGATGGCAGCATATGCTTAGATATTCTTCAGAATCGTTGGAGTCCAACCTATGATGTCTCTTCTATCTTAACTTCAATACAGGTAACCCAGCATCATTCTATGCATGTCAACACAAACTAGAATTTATTTAAAGACAAGATTCTGTCAAATTTACTGGCAAAGATAAATCACACCCATAAATTTTGGCAGACGGGCAATGTCCACCTGTAATCACAGCTGTTACGTCATATTTTTTTATTACAAATCTAATTAACTGTCTTTCTGATTTGTATATTTAAAGTCTTTACTGGATGAGCCAAACCCAAACAGTCCAGCCAACAGCCAAGCAGCCCAGCTGTACCAGGAAAACAAGCGGGAGTACGAGAAGAGGGTTTCTGCTATTGTTGAACAGAGTTGGCGTGACTGTTGACCCCTGTCATGGTTCCAGTATGAACAGTGTCCAGCCCAAAATCAAGAAACCACCGATCAAGAAAAGAACAAATGATCTCACAACATAAAATGACACAACTTAAAATCTTTCTCAGTATATTTGTCCCATAACTGTTGCTAAGTTTGTATGCTGTTGTGTTGTGGCGGTCATTCCTGCCAAATGCTATTGTTGGGCAATAGCGGATGTTTGTTGAAAGTTAATGTACCTTGTTATACCTGGGTTACTTGCTAAATGCCACAACTTTTCTTCAAAAAGGCAGTAGTCTCTCTTTTTTATCATTTTCACTCAAACATAAATCATGAAGTTTGGTAATACAGTGACAATTAGATTTGTTTGCTGTGTGGTTTGCTGTGTAGATACCAACAGTTCATATCTTAAGACAAAGATTGTTTTCAGTTTTAGTGGCCTCACTCCTTTTGGTTTTCTTTCTGCCTTTTTAAAGCCTCCTTGAGGGATAAAGACATAGTCTGACATAAATGTCCATTCCTCTGACAAGTTGTGAACTCAGATGCTTTTGGGGGTCATATTTCTCCGCAGATGAACCTAGAAATCCATGCCTGTGTTTTTCAAAATGTTCCTTATTCTGGTGAAAATTTATGAATGGACCCTTTTCAAGACTGAAATAACACATGGCTCCCTTTCTTGGCACTTCATAGTTTCACTCTGATGACATTCAAAAGCTGTGTGAGAGTATTTCTATGCTATTTTACAATCTTTTAAACCAGCCCTCATAATAGGCTGATTTAACTGTTCAAACAGGATGGTGTCTGTTTTCAGATTTAAAAAAAAAATTGCACTGGTAACCCATGTAACAAACTGTACATTTTCTTGTAAATAAAATAAATATACAGAAGTTGTCTTTGTTACTTTAACAATCTAAAAACAAGTTCAGACTGTTGAAGGTTATCAGTTTTAATTTATTCAGTATTTACAGCTGTGGAAACAAGCAGACAAGTAACCTTTACTCACATTTATCAGCACTTCCGACATTAAACAAAGATCACAGCTTTGATTTTCCTATCATGGAAACAGCTTGCACAATGATCTCCAGATGTTAACAATATAGCAGGTATTGCTGAGTAAGAGACTACAGTGAGACTGGTACACCTAGCTACAGTTTGATGATAATGCCTCTAATCCTTGTCTTAAAGAATCAACGGTCTACAATGCTCACAAACAAGCAGTGAAAAGCTGCATATTCTGCCAGGTTCCTAACAGAGCCACGACTGAGTGGGCTTTTGGTGCCAAAACCCATACAAAGATTTTTGATTCTTGAAATAATGGGAGGATAATCAGAAACATAATGAAGCACTGAACACAAGCTTGTGCAAAAGTGAAACATACAGATCATGGAATGAGAAGAGACAAAATAGACTTAGTACTCCTCCAACAGCCCTCATCGAAGCTTCAGCACATTTCAAAGAATGCAGAAACCACAGGTGAGAACTGAAAGATCTTGTTATTCATTTTTTACGTAATTCACACAAATATAAAGCAGTAACACTTAGGTGTGCCTTACTCTCAAGTCCAAGCTGATAGCTTTTTTATCTTTAGATTTGTTTTGCATTCCATGCAAACTAGTGAGAGGCCTGAGGTTTCACAAGCTCATATCGTCCCACCTGTCCTTCCTGTAAAAGCTGACCAATGAGCTGGTCTTTGTGTACTTTGCGACTGACAACAAGGAACCGTTGCCGGCCCTGTCCATAGGACTTGCTCCGCAGGCCATACTTCTGAGATATCTGGTGGATCTGCTTCCGTTCATCGTTGGTGAGGTCTGTGGAGAAGCGGAGATCATCCTGCCGGTCTGAACTGGCGTAGTTACGAATGATATCCTCAATATCTCGCTTGCTGAGCTGGTTCCCAGTTTTGTCCGTGTCCATACCCAACCCCTCTCTGGAGAACTGCTCCTTCACTCTGATTGGTTCTGCTATTCCTTCTCCATCACGGCCCAGTCCGCCTCCTTTCCAGCCCATCTTGCGGAGCAGCTGGTTTCCGATATTGTCCTCCTTTATCTCCTGCCTCTCCTCCTCACCAGACCGAGCTAAGATCTGGGAGCGAGAAATGGCGTCATCATGACCCTTCTTCCTCAGGTTGGATTTGACCACAGCTTGTGTCTGCCTCAAAGTGGCTAAGGCTTCTTTTGCTGCAATATGCTTTACTAATTTCTTAGGCCCAATTCCCGCTGCTACAAATTGTCCTTCCAAGTAAACTTCACACTTCCAGTGGTGATCAGGTAAAACCGTGAACTTGTAGTCAGCAGTCACCTTGTTAAACTGAGCTGTGTCGTTAATAATACAGATGGCATTGTCAGAGGTTTCCAGAATCACCAGCTCGCTAAGATGCTTCTTTTTTCCACCGTGTTGCCCAAAGCGTCCAGAATCCAAATTATTTCCTCTGTGTGATTGTTGTTGTTGTGCCTGATTCATGCGAAGTTTCTTGACTGCCTCTTCAGCTGCTGCGTGCTTCGAGTTCTTTTTTGAGCCTGTTGCCTGTGCAACCAGCTCATCCTGCAGGAACACACTGCACAGCCAAAAGCTGCTGTTGGGGAGTGGGTCAAATTTATAATCGATTTGCATGCGATTAAAAGCCGCAGAATTGTTGAGTATGCAGATGGCGTCATGAGCATTGTCCATGACCACGAATTCTGTCCAGTGCTTCCTTTTGTCAGGCTCATATTGGCCCTTAGAAGTGGGTGTTGGCTTGTCTTCTGGGTTGCGGAGGGCGGGCAAAAAGGCTGGTGTGGGGCTGTGCATCTGGCACACAACCATATCATTCACCATGGAGTGTCTGTATCTGCGCTGCACCACACGAACCTCGACCTGTTTCAGAAAGAGTTTCACAGCCTGCTCAGATGCCCGGTCCCTTGCCCCGTTTTTACTCCCAGAGTATCCGGTAGCAAGATAAACACCCTGACATCTCAGTTCACAGGCATAACCGTCAGTTGGCACTTTTCTGTTCTTGGGTAGGTCAGCCAAAGGAATATCCTTTAAGTTGACATAAATATACTCAGGATTAGTCTTGCAGGCTTGAATACTGCGGCTTAGCATGAAGTTATAGTTCGGCGTGTCACTTCCCGTTATGAACATAGGGTCCCTTAAAGCAAAAGCTAGTGTAGATGCTACACTAGCTATCAGTCTTTGTTTCTCATCTAACACTAACTGAGAAATGGGTACAGACTGTGATGTAGAGCCCGACTGAGAAGTGGAAGGACTGCTCCTTCCGGGACTGTTGTAGACTCTGCAGAATGGACTGCTTGATGAGGGACGATCCTGATGACTGTACCCCAAACCCTGACGCCCTGAATCCCAGCCTCCCGATCTACTTCCTCCGCCATAGCCATTGTATCTGCTGGTCTGATTATATGTAGATGCATTTCGAGAGCCGTGGGCTTCATACTTGGCTGTGTAGTCCAGCTGTGTTTTAGCCATGAAGTTTGTACTTGAACCATATCCTCCATAACCCAACCCACTTGTACCACCAGGAAAAATCTCTCTGTCCCTATCTCTGTCTCGATCCCTGTCCCTATGGGAACCCCAAGAGTCAGAACTGTAAGATGGCACTCTGTCAAAAACAGGCCTCAAGGAGGAGGAGCTCTGCGCTCTGCCGGTGCTGCCATGGGAATTATGTTCAGACTCCCACTCTCTCGCACCGTACAGCTCACCCCTCTTGCCTTCCTTGTCGTTCTCTTTCTCATCAGCACCGTTACCCCCACTGCTTCCACCACTGACAAAGTGTACAGGCTCAAATCGAGGTCTAGGACCAAATTTTGAAACAGGCATTTTCCTCATGGGCTCCTCTCCTACAATATAATGACACAGATGTACAGTTAGGAACTCAGAAAACACATGTAATATGACTCTGACTAAATAAACAATAGTTTCAAAAGTGAGCTCAGCAGAAAGCCCAACTAGTCTGATTTTAAAATGTGATTTCATTTCGAGTTTACTAAGCAGGAGAGTCTAAAAATCTTAAATTAAAATGGATAAAGGTGTGTTCACATCATTTCTTCTTCTATCAAACTAACAGTGAAGGAATATGTACAGAAATACAATAAAAGTTTATCCAAACACTTAATTTACTCCATTTTAAAGTAATAACAGACTTTTTTAAGAGCATGACTTTTTTTCATCCCAGTTTAACAAAGGCAAAGCCCATCCTCCCTTTAGTACTAAGAAAATTGAACTCAATAACCTTTTAAAAAAGGCTGATGTAAATAATTATATGGTGAACAACAGGCTGTCATTGCTATAGGTCATGCTACAACATGGCATGATGCCATTGCTCACACTTGAGGTGGTTTATATCATGCTTCTGCAGCTCTAAGGATCTGAATTATGATCATCTGATATTAAGGATTCTCTCTTCATCACAAGAAAACAGAGTACACAGAATGTATGGATATGTATGGATGCATGTTGGTTGTGTCCTCCATAAAAAAACAACAACCTCATAAAAAGGGGCAGTCCCGTATATTTTGGAGTTGGATTGTATGAGGTATTTGTCAAGCGTACTACTCCAGGGAATCAAGAGTCAGCTGAGCCAGTTTGTACAGAAACCAGCCACTATAAGCCAACACTACAACCAGCTCAGATGATTTTAGCCTATTCTTGGTATAAAGTGAATTCGTCAGAGCTTTACTTTGTCATCAAAGAGCCTATTTGTTTGCACATTTGCTGTTGACTGGGAACTTGTACAACTCCATTTCCAAGGTATTGAATTATCAGTTTACATTTCTGTTTTTTTTCATGATACTTGAAGATATTTAGACAATATATTATTACTGTGACAACATTAGTTGTGGACATAAATGATCAACACTTACTCCCATCAGAAGAAATAGGTCTCTTTTTGGCTTCAGAAGTAGGACTTGAGTCAAAGGAGGGCATGTCGCCAGTATCAGTCCCTTCTTCCATCACCTGCACGGTCCTCTTTATAGCCGGGCCATACCTTTGATAAAGAAAAGTCAGCCAAGACTTGAATGGTTAAAATAATATGTACGAAAAAAACACATTATCACAGAGGCGTCCATGCTGCCTACAGAGCCGGTAAACAATCCCTCAAAACAAACACTACCTGTCCACGGCGTACAGTACACGTGTTAAAAAGTTAGTGCTAGGGTGAAATATTGCATTAGCTTATTAAATTTTGGATTAAAACGTGATCAAATGCGATTAATTGTCTGTTTTCAGCACCAAAACAAGGCCGGGACAGAGTGACGCAGTAGGCCGGTGGGGGTCCGTCTCTTACAAGAAAACACGTTAAAGCTTCTCAATAATATCTTATATCTGTACTTTTTCAACTGTGTTATAATCTTACCTTGTGGTGTAGCCCTGGATCCGATTTAAACCACTGTTCGTCAATCTGGGTAAGAGACGACGAGTTTTATTCAGTCAATGATCATTTTCTTACTAGCCTCTAGCCTAACATTAGCCTGCTATCCTGCTAACCTAGTTCTGTTTCATCAACTAAAATCTTTTCCAGAAGTTACCATGCGATATCGCCCAGGAAATAGTACGTAGTTACGTTCGGACCTGTTTAACTGAACACCCGAACGGCAACGGTAACTTAACAGTGTGTCGAAGTCAGCCCATTCAACTAACTGGTTAGCATGAAGCATCCATTTTCTAGTGCAGCTACAGCAAAAAATCATGGCGTCTGACACCGCATCGACCCACAATGCTTTGCAGCCAGACAGTCCGAGTACGTCAGATGGCGCTCCTTTAGACCTCAAGTTTATACAGTCTTCACAGATCATAGTTCAAATCAGTTTAACGAGTAAAATAATTAAAAATACTCAAAAACTGATTTAATGTCATAATTATCATTAACATTAAGATTTGTGGATGTACTAACTAACCGTTTTATCAATTCATGGATATAACACATTGACTTTATGCACAAAAATGTTGGCTTACACTTGTGTAATTTTATTGCTAGCTTCGTGTTCTTTTATATAGTTAGCTACTTATCTTTTTATCATTTTAAAGGAACTTTTTATATTTTTTGGCTCTTTTAAAGGGATATTCTGGCGTAAAATTATGTAACTGTCACAACCCAACTCCAACTTAGACACCCCCTCAAGAGATGAATGTTGCCACTTGCTTCTCTAGTTATATCAACTTTATTAGCGACCGCACAATGGCAATACAGAGAGCCATGCGCACAGCCAAAACGCCACGCTATAGCCACAAATAATGCTCAGAACAGCACCTAACTTCATCAACAGTACATATAGGGTTCCAGCCATAGCACTAGCCACCAAACATCTTTTAGCTTTGCCTGATTTCTTTAGCAAAGAGACTCAACCACTCTCTTCCAGCAGCCTCTTGTTTGTACGGAGACCTCCTTGCGGAGTGACACAGCTCAAGGAAGAACATTTATGATCAGTTCCTCATGAAAATGCAATCAGACCAGACGTTAAGGCAGAAGAACTACTGAGTCTGTGGTGCAAAATGATTAAAGGATGATTATTACTTGAAGGAAATAATAAAGTAATGATCATAAATGTTCTTCCTTGAGCTGCATCACCCTGCTGTAGTCGGTGGACTCGCCCGGAGGTCTCTGTACAAACAAGCTGCTGCTGCTGGAAGAGAATAGGTGAGTTGTGTTTAGTCTCTTTGCTAAAGAAATCAGGCAAAGTTAAAAAGATGTTTGGTGGTTAGTGCTGTGGCTGGGACCCTATATGTACTGTTGATGAAGTTAGGTGCTGTTCTGAGCATTATTTGTGGCTATAGAGTGGCTTTTTGGTTGAGCACGTGGCTCTCTGTACTGCTATCATGCGGTCGTTACTGAAGTTGGTATAACCGGAGAAGCAAGCGGTCAGCAACATTCATCTTTAAACGCTGTGTCTAACTCGGTATTACAGTTTGCTTGACCCTAACTTAATCTTATGCCGGAATATCCCTTTAATGTAATAATGCAATAAACATCTCATGTTGAAACACTCTCATTTTATTAAAAGGTTTTGAAGCAAATGCAGATCACAGCCCTTTACAGCATGGCTTTACAGATGAGGACATATGAAATTAGACCATTGATATTAAGGTAATAACATGGGAATAAAGACAGAAGCATCATGTGTTTAGATAATTTTTTTTTATTGAAAATGTACATCAATGAAATTAAACTTAAGTAAGATACTGAGTAATTTGTGGTGTGGGAAAGAGTTTGACTACAAGAGGTGATGGCGGACACTAGAAAAAATGTATGGCATTTTCTGACACCAAAATGTTACTTTACACTCAGAGTCACGTCCAAAGATCATAGGTAATAAACAACAAGTCTCCACTTCAATACACAAAATATATCCTTATAAATTATATAAATGCATGACTATTTTCTTATTTTTTCATACTCCTATCTGGGATTCAGATCAACTCCACCTTGTACTAATATTTGGCAAAAAGGGAGCTGAAATCAAAGGACAGAGCAAATATACATGAATAATAACATTACTGGTATGCACCATTTGAAGAAAACAACAGTGATGTTGAAACAGGTTGCAAATCAGTTATTGGGGATAAAAAAAAAAAACAAGCAGGTCGAAGATCACAGCTGCAATTAAGTAAAAAGATGCATGCAAAATATAGAATAGGCTGGCGAATTTTAAAGCACAATGTGTAATAAAAGGCCATTACATGTGACCTCCATGGTATTCAACGGTGACACGTAAACACGGGCACCATCAAATGAAGTGCGAAGTAGAAAATATTGCTTTGGCATTTGGATGATTATGACTTGATTAATTTTGCAGATTTTATTCCTACCTGTACTTTAAAAAGCGTGGGTACTAACTTCACATTAAGTGCTTCTGTCCTTGATGATTTTTTTTAGTCAGCAAACCTAGATGTTTGAGTAATGTTGATTTATTCTAACTTCTGTTCAGTCATTTTGAAAAGATGAGTGCATAGTGCAGGTCATTGCTATTTTGCTTCAAGTAAAGATCAAATAATGATTTCCTAAATGAGTCCTAAAGATGTGTAGGCCCCAACAGATGACATCTACTTACTTCAAGAGTCTCCTTATTTACATTAAGACATTAAAGCAGATTTAGACTGTGCCCAGTTCCCCACCCTGCCTGGGTTTGGAGCTTTGTAAGGTGGTCGGAAATACCATGCGAGTCCACATAAGGCCATAATCAACAAAAAAAAGGAGGGATGCCATAGGGAGAATAAAAAAGGATTCAAAACAGCAAGATAAAACAGGAAGAGGTAAAGGGTGCTTAGTTCTTGCCAAAGCTGCAATCCCCTCTTCAGGTGGTCAAGACAGATTAAAAGAAGCTAAAGAGACAAAGAGAGAAAAAGCAGGCAGTTAGAGGAGAGGTGGCAAAGCAGAAACACTTTCAAAAAAGTCAAGCTTGAGGTTTAGAAGTGCATCTGAAAAGAGATGTGGGCAGACAGAGTTAAGCACCAATAGCCCTGTTATCAAAGTTGTTTAGCAATACATAAAGCATAAAAATAATTTGTCAATACTGAGTGACGAAGCTGCAACGTAGTGGTACAAGTCCATATGATTGTCTTGTGTACCTCCCAAATATATTGTAAACAAAAAGTGCTTCCATACTTTCCATCAACAGTGAGTAGAAAATATGTTAGTTATGACAATGGGAAAAAACAGTGCACAAATAAACACAAGCAGAGGCAACAGTAAGACTTAAGCTGCAGAGGGTGAGGTTAGAGTTGCAGCAGATAAACAATGATCTCTGTTACAGCAAAGCAGGTAATGATTAAAAAACCCTGAAGGATGAGGGGGTCCATAAAGCCTCTGGTCACATTTGAGGTACTCAGTACCCACAAAGAGCTGGTTGGCTGAGGACCTACTCAGTGCAGAGCCAGGGATTACTGCAAAGGAAAGTGAAATCACATAGACCAGTAAGCGAGGGTAAAGGAAAGAGGGGAAGGCTTTTCTTATGATGTTTTGACCCGGGTGTCATGAGGAATTAAGGTTTTTTTATTTCTTTACTCCACACACATTTTCTCTTCCACTGAGGCAATTAATGCACCCTTGAACCTTGAATTGGTTATAAAAAAAATGAAGGATTAAGTCGGGTCAAAAGATGACCTGTAAGTCAGAGGACAATCAACCCGATATGAAAAAGCAGCAACATAAATCTTAACCATGAGATCCACAAACACAGATTTAGATTCAGAGAACTCCATTACAGCATCAATATTCACTCCAACTGACACTCTTTCCCATGCAAACCAAGCAGACCCGCTTTCCCCATCAGCACCTAGTCGTTATACACAATGATTATGGCCACAGTTGCAGTATTTGGTGAAAAAATTGGCCTTTATTTGTTGAAATAATGTTTTCTTTTTTTGCGATAACACTGATACAACCAACACAGGACCCTGTGGGACAATTGACATCACGTTGACTTTCAGATGTGCCTTCATTTTAAGTGAAACATCAAAAAGGAAAGTTACAATTGCACTGACAACATTTTAGATACTTAATGAGAAAAATCACATTTGTTTATATAAAAAAGTGCAAATGTGAAAGCTAGGACAAGTTTGCACACAACACATGACAATGAATGAGGTATGGGAGGAGTGGTAAAGAGATTAGGCTCACAACTGCTCATGCATCAGGCTATAGTGAAACAGCATCATCGAGACATTAACACAGGTCCAGATGAAGTTTTAAGGTGAATGTGGCACAGAAATGATCACTCATTAAGATATCAGATCCTCATTTTTGGCATTTTGTTGGGGGTCAATTTAAAGTTCTTAAAAACGTATTTACATTCAGCACGTCCTTACATTCTGTAACCATTCGTCATTAATAAAAGGGTTTATTTTACCAACCTGAACTTATCAAATTGCATGCATGTAAACCACTACACTGTATTTTTACTTTTAATACTTCAAGAGTTGTACTACAGCTATAAAATCTTATCCCAACCTCTCCTTGTTCTTCAGCTGCTTCACATTAAAAACGTTTAACAAGCCTCCTTTTATTCTGAAGCAGTCACAGACAAGTCTGCTGTAACTAAAAACCTCATGTAAAAAAAACCGATAACTTTAAACTGACAAACTAACTCAACAACGACAACACCGACAAACATGTTGGTTATTGCCGTTTTCATGAACTTTTTACTTCTAAATTTGAGAACGAGAAAGTCTTGAGAATCACTTTGATCTGAATCTGGATCTACTTTGTGCACCACTCACTCAGCTGAGATTGTAAACCAGTCCACATTTGTCTTCAATCCTACTTCTTTAATGTGCTGCAGATCTTCGCCCACACTTGTAAACACACTGGACCAGTGTCTGATGCGTGTTTTACTTTACCCTTGATACATTTCTGCTCATCACAACAGTGGTCATGTATGTTAATATTTAAAAAAAGGCTCACTCAAACATGCAAAGAATTATTGAATATTAAACAAATATGGAATGCATTTTAAAGAAATTTCAACACAAAGAAAAGCTGAATAATAGCTTGTACCAACAATTTCAAAGACAAGCATCATTCAGCGTGGGAAAAAAAAATTCAGTCAAACTATACTAGCCCAGCGTCTTCCAGAGAGCAGGGTGGAGGGCGTGTGAAGGGTTGGTCTATGGGGGTGGAGGTAGGGTGAGGGCGAGGGTGGGGAAAGGGTACTGTAAAAAAAGGATGATGAGGATGAAACTCATTCACAGCAGGCGGGCCACAAGGGAGCACTTTTTTCTACAGGAACCCTCAGCTGGAAATGAAAGAGAAGGGCTGTTATTGCTTTCTTTTGAGTTAAAACATCATTACTACATACACACACATGCACGCACTGTTTCATATCTGTGACATCACATTAACATTAGTGACGAGATGGCATTTAAAGGAGACGGTGCTTTAAAGGATCAAGTGTTTAGATGTTAGGAGTTCAAATATATTTGTGTTAATCTTGGACACATTCATATATTTTTAGAGGTTTGGTCCCGCCCCTGAGTGTCAGATAGTCAGAGATGTTGTTGGTCAGGATGAAGATCAATTCCATTGAAGCTTTCCTGATTGGACAAATTTCTAGACTTAAGGTCCTTACACACTGGGAGGGTTATTTATTTTCATGCGATTATTTTGGACCTCAATATTTTTTTCGAACCCGTATCTTGTCAATACAAGCATTCACATCAGCAACTTTTTCCCGTCCTGCGATATTGCGGCATTTATTTTTTTCGTATGATGGTCGAATTTTCTAAAGTTTCGCATACTGTGTGGCAGTGTTATTTTCGTTGACGATGACATTGACGAAAAATATTTCGTCAACGTCATCGACAACAAAAACAACACTGCAGAATATATGTTTAGCATTTGACTGATGAAATGCCCATGAATTTTTCAACTCTGTTCGTCGTCCACCACTAACGTTTTCGTCTAGTCTTGTCAACGTAAACGCACATTCGTCTCGTCACATTTTAGTCATCTAAGACTTATATATCCAATGTGGCCGACTGGCTGATTGTTTACGTGTCGGAGAACAGAGTGCTTTTTGATAAAAAACACAAATATTACAAAGATAACGACCTGAAGGATAACTTTTGGAGAGTCACAGCGTTGGATTTCTCATATGACGATGGTTTGTGTGCTTTAACAGTTTGCTAAACGTCTTTGTTTTAACTTTCATCTGTGCTAAGTAACTTTAGCTCGTAAGCTAACCTGTTCAGATACAACATACCATATGTATTTTCACTTCTTCAAACTCAATCGCGTTGCTGTCACAGCACCATTAGGTCTCGGTTGTTACTTTAAGTTTATGGATAATAGTTCAATGTGCTTATCTGGTACTGGCCCCAACTCAGTACATGCTATCATGACAGACAGTCATCTCAACACTAGTGTCTAATCAGAACTGAAAAACAGTCAGTCTACTGTTGTGTCAGTCTTCTCGCTTCCACCCAGGATGCGTCTTTTTTCCCCTGGAAAGTCACAAAATCGCATCGCGCTTGACCTGTCAGGTGTGTCAAAATTCACCCCACGAATATTTCGTAATTTCGCGTTGTATATTTGCGTTGTTCCCGGTGTGTAAGGACCTTAAGACTGGCAACAGCCATTCCAACAAAGTTACAGAGTCTTAACAGTGTGAATGTCGTCTTTGTTGTTCAGCGTCTTGCTCTTTAAAAAGCAGTTTGTTTTCATCTATTTAAATAGTCTCAAACTACTTGAGGAGTTTACAGATTGTGAGACAGATGTCTTCTTTCACATCTTCTTTCCCCAGCGATCCAGCCTTAACAACGCCTCTCTCTCTGGATTTGGCTCTTATATCAACTCAAGATTGAGGAGGGGGAGGGGTGGTCATATGGTCGGGATATCAACAAAACATGTCATCTGTATGAACAGAGATGGGCCCTGAGGCTGTTTGCTGCTCTAGAGTGACCTGTTTGTCTCAGTCCTGCCTTGAATGTGCTCTTTGTGTGTCTACGGGGCCATGTGGGGAGGCACTTTCAGAGGGCTACAATAAAAAGGGACTGTTGTGGATTTAGGAAGGCAGATGGGATGATATCAAATGGGTGTGTGGGGAGCTAATAAACCAGTTGATTTAAACGCTGGCACAAAGGCGGTAAACACTGCCAGCTCAAGGATATGATTGCCACAGATGTTGCTTAAGACCTGCAACACTTGTAAATCTTATAAATGTCACATTTTAATAACTCTTGAGGTTTTACATGTGTGTGAATTTGGATATCAAAGCTACTACAAAAGTAACTGTGAAGATGCAGACACATTATTGTTTGCTCAGTGTAGATGGGTTAAAAATTCAGTCAAATTAAGGCGCTTTCCTCATTTTACAACTTCATTCTGATCTGGATTGAAGTTTGTAACTAACTTTAGCTGTGTAGATGTAAAAACCATTTGTCATTTGATTTTTCAGATTGTCTGTGGTGTAACTCAAGAGGGGGTCTTACCAGATAAGGTGCCTCATGCAGCATGCAGCAAGTGTGGGTGAAGGAGTTAACTGGAAAACATTATGGATGCAACATAGGTGACACATGCATTTACAGGACAAATCCAGATCTCACAAACAACAAGCAGTTATCTGTAGCTGTGTCTTCTGGGAACTGGAAAAATACTGATTGAACTCTGTTATAATAACTAATGTAGATCCTGTGTGTATGGAGAAGTTAGAAGTTGATTTACTAAATATAAAAGTGATAAGTTAGCTCAGTCCAGACTGTTTTTATCAACCAAAGAGCAACTGCTGCAGATGTTTTCAATCAGTGACCCAAAGACAAAGCTAAAGATGCTGCGCTGCTGCTCCTTTCGAGAGAGAAATGATCCAGGCAGAGTTCACGAAAAGAGAAGAAGTGGCTGTGAAGGAAGGACATTAATAGGGGAGAAAAATAAAGCAACAAGGACCTTCTCAGTGCAAGTGTCTTCTTCCTTTTCTAAGAGGCACGGCGTCACATCAGCTTCAACACAAAACCAGGAGTCCATTAACCAGCATGAAGGGACCAATCATTTTAACACAACACAGTTACTCAAATACCCTTATGACATGTTGTGGAGAAAAGCCTTGTGGTTTTAATCGAGTGATCTAAAATATTTGGGGTGGGGGGGAACTTAATGATAGCAAGATTTAAAAGGAGTGGGTGGGAGTTCAAACTGTTGATTGAGTCAAATCAGAGGAGTGGCCACTGGGACAAAAGCAGGAATAACAGGATAGAGGAAAACTATCAAATCCTTTTCATGAGGCAACTAAGACGGTTATGATCTGTAATACATTATGGGAGTAACTAATAATTGTTAACAGGGTTGCAAAAGAGTTGTTTACACAAATGGGTATTTAATTTCATGATGAGTTTTTGCTTGGCCATCCTGTGTGATGTTTCCAGACATTTGGAAACGGTTCAACTATTTTGATGAGGTTAGCAGTTAATCATTTTCTCCCTCTCTGCTCCTCTTATTTTTCCACATCTGGGATTAATTATAAATTCTGGTCAGCTCTTCACACGTTCTTTGTTTTCTATGTGAAGAGCAGAGCGGAGCATTTATTGGTCTCTAATTGAGAGTCTGAAAAAGCTAGTGGGCGTTTGCAAAGCCTTTTGCTGTAGAGTGGATTAATCTTTAAAAGATATCAGGTGGATTATTAGTGATCTTATTAAGGGTTTCATAATATTAGAGCAACAATAAACACAGAGCAACAATAGGTTCTGTTTTTCTAGACTTTTGCGTCATGGAAAGAATGCTGAGGGATTCGTATTGTGTCAGAATAAACCTATAAATAACATCACTTATTGGCAATGTTTGTGTACGAAACTGTAACACAAATCTCTAAATAGAGACCACTATAGAGCCTTGTTCCTCCCACATTATCCGGACTTTCCCAGTCCTGATGCAACTGGAGGTCGTCTCTTGGACCTGTGACATGAGGACGGACATGGAAGGAAGAAAGCGCACCATGGGAAAGAGAAAACAATACTTACTTTTTCCTTTCTTTGTCCCTCTTGAGCGTGGTGGAGCCTCCTGCCTGCTGGGCCTGGTTCTGCAAGAGCTCTGCGGCAGTCTTTTTCTGTTTGAACATGTTCAGCTCGTCGTCGAGGGACTTTTTCTTCTCCTCCAGCTTCTTTTTCTCGTCCTGGTGGAGCTTCTTCAATCGGTCAAACTTCTCATGCAACTGTGCAGAAACAGCAGAAGAACTTGCTTTACCGAGTCAAATCAAGAGAGTGAACTTCCTTACAGGACGGTTTGTGAAGGACTCGGGTGATGATACCTCTTTCTCTGCTTCTTTGAGTTCAGCCTCCTTCTCTTTGACTCTCTGAACGAACATCTGCCTCATTTCCTCCTCCTTTTTTTGAAGCTCACCCATGAATTCGTTCCTCTTTGCCTCATAGGTCTCCTGAAGACTGGCAGTGGAAAAATGACAATGGAGAAAACAATGACTAACAAGACAACACAAACTCAAACTGATGCTGGATTGTAACGATTGTTTTCCTATCGATTAATCTAACGATTATTTTTTCGATTAGCCGACAAATCTTTCGACTAATTTATTGATTATTGATTATTATTATCAATCGCCCCAGCCCTAACTGTATCGAATAAAAAGGTCAGTGCAGCGCAGGAAGACACAGCTACAGTTGGGAGTATTTCCAGCTTTTAGTTCACTACCTAAAAGGCTTGCTGTCAGGATCTGTATCCTTGAAGCCCATCTCCTCCAGTTTGCAGCGGCGGTAAAGCTCATAGTGGCGTGTGTGGGTCTGTTCTCGGAGGTCCTCCATGTTAACTCTAATCAGCATTTCTCGAAGCTTCACAAAGTCACAGTGATTCTCATTTTCAACTGCAAGAGACAGAACAAAGAGACACATCAGATGACATCCCCCTCATTGAGGAGTATGGAGGGTGTAGTAAGTGTACATAACAGACATTTATACTATTAAATTTAAATATTTTACATGAGAGTTTTTCACAGCTGTGTTATCATACACAGTTCAGCACAGAATAGTGTTCATGTCCTGACTCCTGTGGCCTGTCTATTGATTCTGTTAGTGGGCACAGTGATGCGCCACACTGCCAAGAGTCATGTGAGTACTCATGCACCAATTTTAGATGAAGCCTCAGGACAGAAATATTATACAGAGCCATCTCTTAGCTTTGGGACAGAGCTGGGTTTTTCTCATTGTGCTGGCTGAACTCCACTACCTCGGATTTCATATGATGCAATAACTCAGGTTTTAGGTTTTATCTTTAGGGATGTTGTAGGGTGCTCAAATTGGGAAAATACTGTTGAAATCCTAGGCCTTCCTTCCCCGGGGGAACAAATTTCATAAAAAGAGGGAACAGTATCTCCAAAGATCACTAAGTTTGGTTGTAGGCAAGCTGAAATTCAATCTACCCAAGCAAAGTCAGAGGCAACATCCCCGCTTTAAAAACAGTTTTTGATGAACAAAACAGAGAAGCAATCTATTCCCCAAAAATAACTGTACTAATGATTACTTCTCTATGTAAGTTTTCTATTAAGCAAAAAAAAAAAAAAAAAAAACTTTTTCTGGCTTCTCTGAAGTTAAACATTCTTTAAAAAAAACTGAATGAGCAATGTACACTAATTTAAGTTCCTCAATAGAAAAGTATGCATCAAAATCAACATTACGAAAACTGTAAGATGCAGTCCTACACAAAACCAGCCCAAGTCTTTTCACACCTTCACGTTTACTGAATTTAAGCTGGGTGCTGAGCCAAGACCTGGCAAACCCCAAATAAACACCCACACAAACAGACACGCACTATAATAACAAAGACACCATATGGTTTAAACTGTGCAGTTTAAAGCTGGAAAAGTATCAAAAAGCTTCAAATCAGAGCATTTATCTTTGTTACTTTGTTACTGCTACACTGTGAGAACTGAGTGTGTCATCTACTCGGGAAACATTACAGATCAATAAATTAAGTCAATAGATCTGAATCAGTGCCAGTGACGTAATATTTCCAAATATGTACAAGCTAAGGGTTACTACAGCACACAGACAGTACGATGGCTGCTCCTGACTGAGGTTATATAACTGGTTATCAGTTTGTTTGCGGCCGCTGATGCAGCTGAGGAGGGATATGAGGAGAGGGAGAAGCGGCTCTGGCGTGAGGGAGGGTGTTCTCATTTCCTGAACAGGATGTGACCTCGCCTTACCCTGAACGGTTCCCCAGGGGTACTGCCGGGCCTTCACCATCTTGTTTCCAATCTTTACTTCCTCTGTGCTCCCCACTACAGCGAATGGCAAGTGGCTCTGTGGAGTAGAGGGAAGATAACATTGGTATACATCCAAACACACCTGACAGCTCTGCAGAGTCTCCTCAATACCCCTTCCTAAAATGTCCTGTATACAGTTCTCCAGTGCTGGTACATTCACTACTCAACCATTCAAAGGTATTATCACTGTAAGCATTTTATCCACATGAGGTTCCAGGATGTAGCCCTCTCTCATCTCTCAATCATTTCCAATTTATTAGGGTTATTTAGAAAAAAAATAGGTGAAAAAATTCAGAGGATGTACAACCTTTTATCAAAACGAAATTTGTGGACAGACAGTACAACAACAGGCGGCCTAACACAATCAGTCAGGCTGATTTAGGCATTTCCACAGATCAGACCTCATTAAGAGTTAAGTGAGCCTTGGCTCATCTGTCAGTGAGCACAGGCTTTTTCCCCACACCGCAGACTTCCTGTAGAGTGAACTGGTTGATCGTGCCGTTCTGAGCAAACTCCTCGCTGCATGGAGCAGCTTCCTAACAGCCCGAGCAGTCACAGACAATGCCTGTATTTGCTCCCTACATCACATGTTGTTTACACTTGTAACACATGGCAGAGTTTAGGTTAAAACTTAGGAATGAGGAATGTGCCTCATACATGAGCACAACCATGCACCTTATTTCGAAAATAAACAAACTTCCCCTTACATTCATGGTGGAGTTGATCTCAGCCACGGACTCATCATCAGTGGGAAACTGGTAGATCTGTACTCCGTTGCTGACCAGCTCACTGGTAATTTTGATTTTGAACTTGGCCAGTTCGCTCTTGGAGATGGCATCTGACTTGGCGATGATTGGAATAATGTTGACCTGCAGAATGAGACACAGGGAAAATGACAATGTGCAGGCGATGCTATTAGATACAAAGCGAAATAAAGAGCAGCACTGACCCTGTTTCACATTGGTAGAGTCTCCTTGCTTTGGTCTCTTGTCTATCACAAATCAAAGCTCAAACCTGACAGGTAAAATAACAGAGTTGAATACAGCTAAAGCGTCGTATACTCCTGCTTGTTATCATTTTTAACACTGTCAAAATAACTTGAAATAGATTAAAACAAAAGAAACTAAATGCTATTGTGACTTCATTTTTTCATAACACAGCGGCTCTCCAAAGTACAGGATCTCTGCAAGTCAGACTTTTTGTGCATTGCAGCCAATTACACATTCTCAGGCACAAAGATATAAATAGTACATGCCTCAAAAGCAGCAGGACTTAAATCCCTTAAAAGCTCTCCAAAAGTCTGTCAATAGGCACACAAGGTTTCCAACAAAATGAACACAATCAATGTTAACATAACAAAGAAGGAAAACAGAGATATGAGCAGGAAACAGCAGCAGGGGTCATAAATGCACAGAGAACTGACTGGTGATAAATGAGACTGTTACTCCCACACATCTACTGTAGTTCCTGTATTTCCTGTTGCCTACACATTCAAAACTCATTTACTGTTAGCTGGAGGGCTGCTATTCCTAGCATGGTTGAGAATCATGTGAATCGGATGACGATTCAGTGTCTTGCTCATGGGAGCTTCAGCAGACCGAGTCTTCGAATGCACCCCCCAGGTGAATGTGTAAACAGAGGAGGCTCTGCTCTGGATGAAATTGTTGTGAGCTGCTGCCAGAGGGCACAGCTGCTCTGGCAAACACTGAGCAGACTCTTTGTACAAAAGCCAGGGGGTCCATGCAAATGAGCTGCTGTGGTGGGGACCTCACAAAAAAGAAAAAAAATGAGGCAGCAGTAACCGAGCCGACTGCATTTCACAGCTGACCTACACCAACGCAGAAACGAGACCGGAGCCACTTTGCATGCTGCAGATGGCCTAGAAAAGGTTTACGGCCCGTGACTAGAGTAGAGAGATCAAATGGTGCACACAGTATCATAGTGTTAACCTCCAGTACGAGATATCTACGACGTGCCACAGTTTGCCTGCTCAAGCTGAAAGGCATTATATAACAGCTATACTTTTACATTGTTCTGCTGCAGGAAGGGCAACTGAGTTTTTCAGTTTACACTACAGATGCTGTTGTTACAATAGCTGTGATTCTTGCCTGCTTAAAGCTACTCAAGAAAATAATAAAAAGTCTAGTTTAAGCCCAAAACTAGCTTGAATTCGTACAAAATTTGAAAATGAATCTGTAACTCATCTGACATCATCAAAAAGAAATTCCACTGAGGCCTTATGCTGCATTCGCGTTTCCTCGGAAGTCAGGTGTCTGAGCTTGGAATGACGTCACACCCGAGTTACCAGCACCAAGTTGGAAAAAAGCAAAATCAGAGGCGGAAACAAGAAGGCTACATCTACAAAAGTTGTTTTAGCGCTTTTTATTTTAGTTATTTTAAGTTATTTTAGACTCCCTTTTAATGATTTGTAGCCATCTTGTTTCCGCCTCTGATTTTGCTTTTTTCTGACTTGGTAACTGAAACGCTGGTAACTCGAACTCAGCATTAGGACAGGGGTCTCCAGCCACCAGGCTTTGAACTGGCATCAACTTAGATTGTTTCAAACCATGTAGCAAAAACTCAGTCAGAACCAAAAGGGTGGATGTCATTGCAAGTGCTGTATTGTGTTTGGTTATTTAGTTTCCAGTAAATGGTCGACCTTCTGTCGAATATGACAGGACACTTTTTCATTTCAATTTGGGTGAGAACTCAAAAAGAGGAGAAAACACGGTGAAACAGACAACATTAAGAGGTTTGGTATACAGGAGCTGCTCAAGAAAAGGCCCATGGACAGTGAGGATATTAGACACAAGGAAGTGAGAAGCTGTTTTTAAACCAAAAGTAAAACAACAGCAACATAAAACTTGGTTTCATTCCTCACAAACAGACCCAAAGTTAGAAACAGGCCGTTTACATTTTACCGTAAAGCGTAATAATCCCCTTGCCTCTCTTGTCTGTCTGCGTACTCAAGAGGTCTGGGAACCCATGCTTAAGGGTATTTCAATAGCCTATGGATGATGTTAGTTTATTAAAGCTCACCTTGCTGTCAAGCTTCTTCATCGTCACCAAGTCTAAAGATTTGAGCGAATGTCCCGTTGGAGCGATGAAGTACAGGCATGCATGGATGCGGGTATCGTGATAGCTGTGTAGCGTGCGCTTGATCTTCAGCTCCTCCTGTAAATACGCCTCAAACTGGGCATCGATGAACTCCACAATAGGTTTGTAGCTGAAAACAGACAGAGGAGGAATGTTTGCTATTAATGGTCATCTCAAAGCATGTAACATCAGAGCATCAAAAATACTGACAACCTTGTGTCCGTGCATCGAGTAATTTCAGTAAATCTTTCCATCAGTATTGTACAGACACAATACTGATGGGAAAAATGATCCGGCTGAAATATAAGAAAAAGCTTGACTAATCGTTTTCAGATATTATGCCAGCGGTGGTTTACATTGCTACGATTATGTGCTGGTGCAAAATGCAACAAATCCACGTTATTTACTTGAAGACTTAAAAACAGGCAACTGGACTGTGTAGAGGTCTACACAGTCCAGTTGCCTGTTTTTAAGTCTTCAAGATAACCATGACCTAGATGAATGAGAATCTACATGGACACGTTATTTACTCTGTAACTGGCAATCTGATACTGAACAAAGGCCAAAGCGTGGAAACAAAACAACCACAGCCTCCTCATTATAAAGAGCTTAATCACTCTGATTAACGGTGGATTTCTGCTGTTATTTTTAAAGACAAAGAGCTGGATGGAAAATAAATAAAACAAACTTGTTGTTGTTATGACCAGCAAAGGCACAGCAGACTTCTTTACCTGTCTTCTTTGTTTATTTGGTCCCCGAAGCCCACGGTGTTTACAACAGTGAGTTTGAGGCGCACGTTACTCTCCTGAAGTTCATAGGTGTTGGATTTAAGCGTGACTCCTGGCTGGCTGTGCTGGGTGGGCTCGCCTTCGAACTTGGTGTTGAACAGCGTGTCCATCAGGGTGGACTTTCCCAGACCTGTCTCACCTGACAAAACAAAATAGAAAATTTTACACGTTAAACTAAGCTCTTCTCCTCATAGCTTTACTGTACATGCATTATAAAGACTACTAAACCGAACCTTTTCATTTTGTCATAATCTGACATGCACTCTCACTAAACACTGCACTGACTCTTATGCAGTGGAACAAAAAGGAAGCCTAAAAAATCATAATTTAGTAAGAGGAGACTAAATGTGACATTTTGAGGATGCTGCAAACACACCATATCATTTTTCAATGATAACAGCCATAATAACATCAGAATACACTGTTTGTTTGCAGATGTAGTCTGATGTCCATTACTGTTCGAGGCTGTCAGATGACTCAGATACAGAGCTCTCTCTGTATGAAGCTCTATTTTTGTTCATCACAGCCTGACCTGCAGTCCACTCATGTTAGCGCATTTCTCTTTGATATCTCACAAGGTTCCCAATTCCTTATAATTTCCTTAGAATCCAGATAAACTGCTGCACCTATAACCAGTCTCTGAGCTCTGTTTAAGCCGAGAAGTCCCTCGTGCTTTCAGCAATTTGGAATCTTGTTTGCCAAACTGGAGAGGACTCAAGTCGAACCTCCTGGGGTCATAACAAGCGCAACAAAAACCCTGTGCAGAAGTGTCAGTCATGTTTTAGCTTAATGGAAATGTTCATCTCTGCATTTTTCATTCCTCCATAACAATCAACTCATGAGGAAGCACACAATCACATGCCTTTGCTTGAGTTCAGTGTTGTACAACTTGAAAGCACTGTGCATGTGAGTCAAATGACAGCGATTTAACACGGCATCAAAGGATGTTTAAAGTTTCCTGCACCAATTTCACCTCCATATTGTTAACATTTGTATAGCATGTTTTAAATTCTTGGTTGTCTCAGCACAAGAGGGAAGTAAGAATGATATTTATGTAACTGTTCAAGTGATGAAAAACACACTATTGATCTTTTCAACCTCCTAATGCAGCACAAATGAAAAAAGGCTGTGTAACACAGAGGTTTCCAGCCTGCACACAAACCAAAACCATGACACTAAAAATGGCAAAAGGGAAAGGAGGCATGAACTGTGACAAGACCTATAAAAAGACATAAAACAACATCAAAATTGAGAACTGGTCATTCACAACAGTTACATAGCATCTTCATGAGATATTTTATCTCCAACAAATTGCAAAATTACACTTTTACACAAAGATTTGGCACGCCTGCCATTCGATCAGGAAATGTAAAAAACAACAAAAAAGGCTGAACATTCCCAGGTATTTGTTAACAAATTCCCACTGTTACTCTGGGTTTTTGTCTGCAACAAGATGATCCCAAGCTGCCAGGACTATTAGACTGTGCAGCAGGCAGTGATGCAATAATGCCAACAGACAGAATGTTTTAATATCCAGCCAGTACTCACCAATACAAATGTGAAAAAACATTAGCTCAGGCCTTTCAGCAAAACAAAAAGAAATATAATGACTCACAGTAACTTTAAAACAGTTACCCTTCTCTAATGAAGCCTTTCGCCTTCATAAAGCTGTGAATTCACAGCAGCACTGCTCTGTCTGTGAGATTTCATTAGTGTTGGGTGGGTGCACATTACAAACAGGCAACTAAATATGCAGCATGCCAATGAATAACTCCGCTTAATGAAGCTAAAGAGACTTGTTTTGTTTGTAAAAACTGCATGTATAAGCACGTTTACCATTGTCTGACTCTAAAAGCTTGTATTCTCTTTGTGTTCAGCCATCATGCTAAAAATAAATCAGTTTAATCAAGAAAATGTAAGCAGATGAGTCTGTGTTTTCTAATTTAACCCAAAGCATCTTCCTCATGACTACTGCAGGGAAACCAAGCTGGCAAAAGCTCGACAACATGCCTCGCATCTTGTGAGAAAGCCTGACTTTCACTGAAGCAAGTAAGTCGTCTTTCAGCCAAGGGGGAAGGAAGAAGCTTTTTTTTTTACGCATGACACACTCACCAACACAGAGGATGTTGAAGCAGAATCCATGGTTTACGGACTTATTGACCAGCTGGTCAGGCATGCTGTCAAAGCCGACATGACCGGCCAGAGGGACGGCACGTGCACCTTCACCCTGAAAACAAAAAGAAACAACATGAAGATTGTCATGCGTGTTATGTACCGATATGCACTGACAAACCTATCCACCCATATGCTTTCAGACATGCAAACGGTAGCTTAATGATGCTGTCCTATCAAAACATTACCAAAATCTCCACCATGTTTAATCATGTACAACGATGTGACTGAATTCAGGTACAGAGCAACCTTCTTCCTGTTTCCTGGTGTCTCGCTCTACCCGCAGACGAGGCAGTTACAAACCACAATGTACATATATGGAAGATGTTGCTGTTCATTTTGAGAAAGATGTGAAAACAGCAGAGAGTTTGACAATAAATACAATATTTATTTGCTGATTGTTTTGAAACTGAGGAGTCCCTTCAATGCAGCTGTCTTTTGTGATTGCGTGGTATCACCTCAGTTGAACTCTTAAACTCCTCCTTTTGACTGATTTCGCTTACTTTCACGCCACAGTGACACTGTTTGTAAGCAGTCTGATTTTATATCACTGTGACGCAAACTCTCAAGTGTTTAGAGCACTGTTTTTACATGCGTGTGGGTGGGGGCGTGTGGCTTCTGCCAACCATCTCCATCTCCATCTCTGTGAATTTCTTCTCTGCAGCGTACGTCCACATTTACGAGGTGCAGGAAAGAAAAGCATCTAGATTATACAGCTAAGAAAGGCCTCTCAACCAGCTAAACCTCAGCCAACCACCCATTATGTGGCTCAACATAACACAACATCTCTTTTCAATGTGGAATAGACTCTGAGAGGGAAAACATTCAGTTTGTGGGCTGTTCTAAAATAACCAGACAAGTTGACGGGGCTGGACAGTTGTGGAGTATTTGAATTGTTGAAACTGGGTTTAAACAGCTGTGGGAGTATTTGGAAACCTGGGAGTAATGTGACTGGACAAACAGCCTTTCCTCTTCAGCTGTAAGTGTAACATTCCTCAACTCTATCCTTCACTTCAAGGCACTCATAGCCAAGTTACACACAGTGGGGTTTTCATTCATTGAGCCGCAAAGGGATATCAAACTGGAAAAGGTTGCTATTCTGAGCAGTCTCTCTGGGTGTAGTGGCTTCCTTTTCCATCCCCCGAACAAAAGCCAGGAAAACTTTACGCACGCTTTTTCAAATTGCAGGGCCCAAAATGCCTATAAACGGCAAGAACCTGTTTCGTCCATATTCTCAATACATATCAGACAACGCCCGGTTGGAAATTAACGGGGCTTACATGAAATAAAATAACGGAAATGACTTGAGCACCGTGTCTGTGCTGAAATGGGGGCGTTCAGAATGAATGGCCTGAAGATGGCTCAATAATAGACTGTCGACTAATAAAGCTGATAACGAGTCTACTACACACGACTCTGAATTCTCGTGTAATTTGAATTTAATCTGAAAGTATCGAGGGGATGCATTTGAGAGCGTTTAAAACCGAAAATAAACACTGAAATGAAATGTTGTAACATGGAGCAGTAACGCCTGAGCAGCCATGGGCCTGGTTCTACTAGGAAAGGATTTGACAGATTACAACATGCAATACAATATCCTCTGCATAAAAACATTTACTTTGGCTCCTTTTATTCAGCGACGGTACATTGATTTGGGGTGAAATACAATCACATAAAGCGGGTGGCGACTACCGTTACCAGGGAAGCCGGAATCTTCTCGAATTACGGTATCGTAGGCGGATACTCGGGCGAGTATTTTCAGTTTGATTTAACAGACTACAACAAGGACTGTTTGAAAGGTACGCGATGATACTAAAAATAGAAACCCGTGTAAAATGGGCTACTCACCGCTTGCCTCGCTATCTCAGTTGACGCCATGGTAGTAGCTGTTAGCCGGCAGTTGAACCCTCTGCTGCTCTCTGTGTTGAGCGAAGGGAGCTGCACCGCTGAAGTTCATCGAGGGATGGCTGTTGGAATGTACCATTGTGGGAAATACTGTTTAAGGCAAGATACTGTGAATGTTTCATTGAAACTCGGGGCTAATTACACATCATAATTTACCCAAGTAACAATTCGTTTGAAGTATATCATTTTTAGACAACTGTAAATGTCAAAAAGATAACATGGCTCCCCCCACGGTTGTGGCTCAATAGTTTCGTCCGGTATGAAGGGAAGTGAAGCAGAATCAATAAACGTCACATATAGGATGGGGTAGATCAGAGCAGATTATTGAGTTTGAAGACGCTATTTAATTATGGTGTTTAGTTAAATTAACGCTGTAGCTTCGAGTACAACTCCAGTGCAAGTACAGTAAAAATTAGGAGATTAATAATTGATAAAATAAGTTAAAGAGAGAAATATATAAAATATGTAAAAATTAAGAGATAATATACAAGTATGTACAGTAAAAATGGAGAGTTAATATACAAGTATGTACAAAATAAACGATATTTGCGTATTTCTATCGCAATATCCAGGTCTGCCTACGTGTTTTATTTTAATATCGATATCCGTTAAGATTAGGAAACGCCCATACAAGTCACCTGATCTACACCAACCAATAGAATCCCGGCAGCGAATTTAAAAAGGTGCCGCGAGCCTCTCAAGCACAGTTCATACCATAACAACCTCTAATTTGGTGCGACAGAGCTAACAGCGGAACCAAACACGCAGAACACAACTTTGTACGGTAGGTATCATCGATAACACGGTCGCTGACGAAAGGATACCCCTAAAAAGTGCAATATAAAGAGACTAATGTTCAGCGAGCTCTACAGTGGGGCTAAATTACAGTCAACGAGGCGCCATTTGGATTTAATGAAGCTAACTGCCAGTGTTTTGACCATAACTAACCTAGCTATGCTATGCTACCCTGAGTGTAAAGATGCTGTTTGGTCTCATAGGAACAAAATCAACGTTTTTCATTGTCAGTTTTGTGCGAGTTTTAGCTTTTGCGTATAGTTAAGTCATGAAAAACTAAGCCATCAAAACCTTATAGTATTTGTTATTTTAGATTAACATCAACACATCTGATTGGACCTATACTTTTCATGCTATAGTGTACAAAAATAAAAAATCATCGTATAGGTCTTTGTGGGCGTGGTTTGTTAAGATTCAGGTTCTGTTTTTCAGACAAAATGGCCAACATAATCTTTGCAGAGCAAGAAAATGCACGTCTTCATCCACCTTCTCTGAAGATGCGACAGCGCCTTCAGTCTGCTCCAGGTAATAAAAAGCTAAGTAGATGACAGAGTTCTGTCCTTTTAAAGCTGTGTATGGATACATAAATAGAACACTGCTCTTTTCCCACTTCTCCAGAGAAACTGATGAAATCTCCAGTGACTGCCAAAAGCATTACAACTCCTCTGCCATTTAATCGTAAAGCTTTTGGTACTGTAAATAAACAAGTTTCAACTCCTGCCATCAACACTCAAGAGAAGAAACTCCTGAAGCCCCAGGTTAAAATTCACTGAAATGTAGTTAAAAACTGTAAAGTGACCAATTTAATCCATACCTCAAACTGTGCCTGTGCTGATACAGCTCTTTGTATCCTACAGGAAACCAAAGTCAAACAGGCCCCTCCAACCAAAGTGGAGGAATATCCAGAGATTGAAAAGTTCATACCTTATGACCCTATTGGTAAGTATTATATTAGCTCTGTTGTCACATTTAGAGGTAAATGCATACACAAACCTTAATTATATATTTTTTGTAAACTTGCTGTAGCACATGCTTTATACTAGTACATTAAGGACTCCATTCAGGCCACTAGGATACATTCTCCTTTAAGCTTATCTGTATTTGCTTTGTAAGAGGACATGTAAGGCCAGTGGAGTTGATGTTTTTGACTGTTTGACAATGTCATGTTTTTCTAGATTTTTGGGTAAATTTTGTTTATAAATGAATTGTTCAAAATTTTCCAGAGTTTGAGAAGTACAGCATACCTGAAGATCTGATTCCTCTCAGTGGTTTTGCTCTGCCCGGGCTGGCTTGCTTCTCACAAACCCCACATCATTGTGAGGAAGATCTTAGACCGATTGATCCACTTCCAAACCTGTCACCTTTAAAGATGCCAAAACGTTCAGGTAATATGTTTTTGTTTAAGCTACATTCGCACTAATGATTTTGGCTGATAAATACACTTGGTCTATCGAACTGCATCACAATAGGACTTTGTAATCCCTGAAAGATGTATTCTTATCTATGGATGTTTTTGTTAAACTCCATTTAAAGCTTATTGAAGCAAGAGAGGCTGCCATCACTTCTGTAATCTCTGATAGTTCAGTGTAACACAGGAGGTCTCCTCAGATGGCTGAAGGTTAAACATCAGAATATGCAGAAACTGATTAAAAAATGAGGAGTCCCTTCCCCAAAAAATAAGTCTCCATAGTGATCGGGAATTGACTTTACACTATCAGACCTTATGCAAACCACTGCTGCAGCAGAATTTGGCCAATGTCTGAGGCAATTAAAAGCAGCAGCAGCAAAACATAATAACATACTGGAGCTGTGAGATGCCAAAGACGCAGAGTCCAGAAACACCTGCTAAAAAGGAAGCAACTTTAGCTTCGCATTATTCTCATCTGGCCTATATGAAGGAGACCCTTAAAGGATTCAGATGCAACTTTTTCAGATCCCTTAACAATAAATCAACAGCTGGAAAATGGTCATCTGGAGGGTCTCTTATTAGCCTGCTGCATAATCCAAAAACCACAGTGATCTTTGTGCATTTATGGAAAAAAAATAAAATAAAATTGTCCATCAGATGTATACATTTTTTTTTTTTATTTAGAAAACACTGCTTATATTTGCACAGTACAAAATCGGCAAACTTGTAAGAGGTACTGCTTTGCCCACAGGGGGCACCAAGATCAAGGAAAACAAAGTTCCCATACAGAAGCATCAAATGAAGATCAATGTTTTTAACATAATTGCATTCATCATTTTAATGAAGTTTATTAATGACTGTGAAATACACAAACAAAAATGAACAGATTGAGCCCTTACAAGGTACAGGAGATGTAAGTACACGCTGGCGGATGCTTTGTATCTATGAATGAACTTAATACAGGTGATAGCTTGAAAGTTGTGACAGCACAAATCATCTTATAAATAGGCTAAGAAAGGAAATCTGAATGCTGAGTGTTGCCATACTGCTATGAGGTCAGCTGTGTTAATGTAACTCAGGCTAAAATAAATAAGAAGGTCAAGTTTCTCTTCAAATCCCACCCTGACCTGACCCTTCAGAGTAATTATTGTGGCATTGTCGAGACATGCAGAGTCTGGGGTTTCCACGTGTCTAGTCTTCATGGTGTCTGATGCCAACGCAGCACAAAAGAGGTAAATGGAGCTTTGTCTTGGCAGAGGTAGTGCTCTGATCATGATAACCTGAATCATCTAGAGATACAGTTGGCTTGTAAATGTTACACTATCTGATAAGAACAACAGGAGTGATTCAGAAAAGTAGATCTCAATGAAAAACTTGCAGAAGTGACAACCGTCTGGTTACTGTGGCTGTTGCGTATGAAGCTTAAGCTTTAAACTACAGGTGTCATTAACCCACTGTATCATTAACTGTACTGTATCTCACTTTTTCAGATTGTGGCTCCGAGCTTGACGCCTTTCTCCAAACACTCAATGAGCTGACTGTTGAACTTCCTCCAGAAACTGATGGTTACTGAATTTTAACTGTTGTGTCGTGTGTTTTTCAAGACCAAATTTTTTTTTACTGCAATAAACATGTTTTATCTTTCACTGGTCTTTTTTTTTCCTTTGTAAGTTTGAAGTATCAAATGAGCAGTCACTGCATTACTTCCTGCTTTTGGAGCCCCTCAGTGGTCACATGTGAGGGAATGTTGCCATTGGTTTTGCCAGAGATTAGAATGAACTTTGTCTCATTTCCTCTTAAAAAGGAAAGAAGAGTCTCGACTTGGATCAATGCGCTGTATTCTGGAGTAAAGAAACTCAAAACCCACGGACTTGCATTTGGATTCACCTGAAACCTTTTTGTTGGGGCGTCTTACAGTTGATCAGTCGATACTGTTGGAACCCAGCGTGCGCTTTGAACTGTGAGCTGATTCAGAACAGGTGAGTTACATAGGCATGGCGGCAGTGAGACAAAAAAGTTAAAGATCTGTAGGATTTAATGGTATGTGGGGGAGAGAGGGGAACTAGTTTATTTTACCAGGATATGAAAAGAGGAAGTCTATCTTTAAGTTGGAGACGCTTAAATAAGATTTTACGCATTGTTGGCACGTTCCTTGACGTTGACTCATTAAGATTAAATGTTTTCCCTCTATGACACAGAATGAGTCCACTGGAGTGGAGGGAAAACTGTCCCCACGGTATTAATCTGACACCGATGTCCTCTTGGGTGTTGTCCAGATAAAGGGAAGTCAACTTCAACTTGGCCAAAAAGCATGTACGACAGCGGATCGGATGATGCTGGATATGAACCAGCTGTCAGCAATGCTGACGCCCACAGCCGGAGTGGGTCCAAACAGGGCACCGTTGTGGATAGACTCTCGAGGTATGGCGTGCAGGTCATGCCGGGTGCTTTCCAGCAGCGTAGGTCGCGGCTGCAGAGGCAGAGAGAGGTCACTGACAGCTCTGTGCCCGGACCCGGAGGACTCCAGAGAGAGGCTCCGGAGAGAATCACGCTCACACCCGCCTCGCGTAAAAAGTACCTGAAGGAGCTGCTCCTGAGTAATTCATCTCATAGCGGGCTTAGCAGCGTGCTTTCCTCTCAAACTGAGAGTGTGTCCACGGAGCAGGACACAGACTGGGCTCTGTACCCGATGGAGCACGCGTGGATGCTGAGCGCAGTGGAGGGCAGCTATGAAACCATCCTGGAGTTTATCTCATCGGACCCGAATCTTCTCACGAGGAAGGATTTCATCAGCGGGTACTCGGTCCTGCACTGGCTGGCTAAGAGAGGTCAGGACGAGACCTTGTTGAGACTCCTGCGGTTCGCTGATGGTGCGGGGATCCCCGTGAATGTGAACGTGCGGGGCAGCGGCGGACTGACCCCGCTGCACGTCGCCAGCATGCACAGACAGTACATGGTCATCAAGCTGCTGGTGGGGGCTTTCGGTGCCAACGTTGATGCCATGGACTATAACGGGAAGAGACCCTGGCAGTATCTGGAGGGAGACGCCCCGCCAGAGATGAAGGAGCTGCTGGGGACCTGGGACGATGAGCACAGCTGTGGGTGTGGGCCAGATGACAACAAAAACAGCAACAATAACAGCGCTGGGGCGGTGAGCATGAGCGCGCATGATGAGGTGGACAGCCAAGAAGAGGTGATGAACCCCTTTGACCGGACTAAGAGAGGGGGCAGCTGGAGGTTTGGGTCTCTGAGGAAGCTGCTGCCCACCTTTTCATTTCTAGGAAAGAAGACCTGAAAACTGTGAGGCACTTTGGAGATATACTTAGTTTCACATCCAGTGGTTTACAACTGGCTTCTGAACTTGTCTCGTTACAAACTCATTGCTTGTAAATTCAGTACTTACAGTTAACCAAGTGACATGTGCCTAACTCATTACTCTATTTCTTGAACTAAACTTGAATTATGTCAAAAATAGTTCTGTTATTACTGACACCAGTGGGAAAGGGTACCAATCGTCCCAGTAAACCTGCTGGTTATTTTCTGTAATGTAAAATCTAAATCATTCTCAAACCCAAACCAAGGTTCATCACTCCTGCCATATTCCACACAAATAAAACTCAGTATCAAGTCATCCAGTGTATTCAGTAAAATGATCCATCTGCATTGCACCATCTTGTCTTAAACCATGTGTACACTTCTTCCCAAAATGTCCTACCGCTGACCCACTTCTGCTTTACGTAAACAATCTAATAGTCATGGCTGACGTGGCGAACTTCTCCAATTTTAAGTCCTCCAATAATCATTTCATAGTTTATTTTGGGCATCTCGAGGAGCAGTGCTATCTTTGGCTCGAGCAACAAAGCCAGAGCTTGAATTCCTCCCCAGTCTCCCATAGAGCAGTAATTCAGAAGTATTTGCTGTGTGGTCGAGAGGGTGAAACCCCCTTCAGAGTGCTTCTGTTTTTTGCAGAGCTGTGTCAGCACTTCCTCTCACCATGAGATGTTTGGTGTCCGCAGGAAAAACACTCAAGCTCTTAAGGTTAAAAGTCTCAGCTACACTTAAAAGGAAAGTCAGACTGTGCTGCATCATTTCAAGTTTGATCACAGATCTTTTATTGTCAAACATGAGCATAACCAGAGTATCTGTACAAAAAGACTGCTGCTCCAGATAACATGGCTCCCTCCCTCCCTGTGCTCAGAACCAGCAGCTGAAGGTCCTGGCAGATGTTGGGATGGAGGGATGCAGGGATCCACGGACCCTCATGTTTACAGGCCGAGCTTGGTCCTCCTCCAGTGTCTCCTCTTGGAGTTGTACCTTGATCACAAACACAAAAAATGTCAGAACATATTTGCGCAGTGGAGACAGCAAAAAAACCTGGAAAAACCCTTCATCTTTATTACCCCTGCCATCAGGAGTCATCGGTTTAACCCGACAGTGGCTGCTCCACATAAAAAGGTTGTCGGATTAGGTTTACTGTTGAATAGTTAAACTTGTCACAACCTTTAGAGTTATCAAAAACACTGCCATGCTTTGTAAACTGATCTCAAGTCTTATTTACTCTAGATTCAGGGGAAAGTAATTCCCAGAAAGTACTCAAATCCATTAAGCCACTGAAGACTGTTTACAACTGGAGCTCTAAATTTTCAAGTAACCAGTTTCATAGACCACGAAGTGTGGATAACTACCCTGATCACAGCAACCTCTATAATTTACCATCAAATATTTGCAGACCAGAATAATAAAACTATCCCGTAGTGAATTAAAGTTTTGAAATTGGCTCATAAATCACTTTTTAGAAGAAACATTAATAACAGCAATTTTAGGACTCGATTCAGTAATTTCTGCAAGAACTGACGCTAAAGGAAATACATCAGGCAATTAAGTGAGCAGATAAAATGTTCTGGCACACAGTGTGATGTTTGGCTAACAGAGCGTCCTTATCACACACAGTGAGCAGGAGTAAGAGCTCTGCAGCAGAAAGATGCTCTCAGCAGGGTTAATGACAGCACTCTACTGCAATGTAGTGCTGCAATTGCAGACCTGCTTTGAATAACATGGAAATCCTGCTTCTATCCTGCATTAGTCAGCCATTAAATCACCTTAACTCTAAGTGATAACAGAGATGTGGTACAGAACATGCAGGCTTACAGTGCACAACTGAAAAAAAAAAACAAAGTACAACATGTACAAGATTCAACATCCTACACATCTTTGACAGTGTTCACATGTTATAAACTCATTCAGTTTAACTGCTACTTCCTTTAAAACCAAGTTTCGGTATGTGTTTGTATACCAGGCTGTCATATGCTATTGCACTGCAGGTGTAATAGTTGTACCTTGATTGTCTGATGCAAACCAATAGATTGGTTCAGAAATAAAATGTTAAATTATAGAAATTAGTGTGCACCTTTACTTTGTCCATAGCAGAGGCTGTATTTTGTTGGGCTGTAGTCTTTTGCTGCGTTCGAGTTACCTGGGAAGTCAGAAGTCCGAGCTGAAAATGACATCACACCCGAGTTACCAGCGTTTCAGTTACCAAGCCAGAAAAAAGCAAAATCGGAGGCCTGAAACAAGATGGCTACATCTACGAAAGTTACTCTAGCATTTGCCTTATGTTCAGACAAGGCTAGCACTAAATTAACTTTTGTAGATGTAGCCATCTTGTCTCTGCCTCAGATTTTGCCTTTTTCTGACTTGGTAACTCGGGTGTGACGTCATTTTCAGCTCAGACCTCTGACTTCTGAGGTATCTCGAACGCAGCACTAGTCCATTGTTTTTGTTATGATGTAAATAACCTTATACATCAAAGCATGAAACTGTGGTTTACAAGTACAGAAAATCCCTAAAATTAAGACAGCTACCACAACCTTACTATGGTCTTAAATATACATAATAACACTGAGAACTATTGTACTGTGCTTTTTTGAGTTTCAGTATAATACATCTGATAAATCCTCAGACTACTGGGTAAACACATGAGGAGTCTAACAGAGTGAATGGGAGAAGAGTTTGGCATACTGAAACAGCTGAGTTCATTGTTAGTTGAATGCAGACAGGGAGTGCAAGTTTCTTCCTACTCAACCATTTCCCTACTTACTGAACAATACTCTGCATTAACTCTGGTTTACACTGGCCATTCATCAGAATCAGCTTTGGTCAAATATGTGTACAGATGCAAGGAGTTTGACTGGTAAACATGACCATTTCCTCACGTATCATTTCTGAACAAGAGCTTGAATTCCGAATGAGAACAGGTTTTAGTTATCATGTCTGTTGCAGCTTGTTTCTATTTGATATTCTATCTGCAGTACCATTGCATCTTTAAAGCCACAGGTTGAAATGAGGTGGTAGTACTAGCAGCCTGCATCAGTACAAGTCAAGGTGTAAATGGAGGTAAATAAGATTCACCAGTGACTGGCTGGCTCACTTGGTTGTATCCATATAATCACCATTTGAGAACACGTCAGCTCAGTTTTCTACCGTTCACACTGCTGTAAACGAAAATAAAAGCACGCAAACTTCATGGACTCACCTGATCTTGTTGCCAGTCTTCATTCTGATCCACTGAGGGATGGGCCTGTTCTGTTTCTGCTTCTTAGCGAGGAAGCGCTTAATCCTGAAAGTCTTGTGGGACGACTGGAAACCATAAAGACAGCCATTAACGAAGTGTTAACACATTTTAATACCACGTAAATGTACAACGCTAGAGCGAAGACTAAGTAAACTCCCTACACATGAGCAAACAAGTGTAGCATGTTTGCTCGTATCCATACAGGCTGTGTGCCGGCTAGCGTCGTTTGATAGCTTTAACTTTCTCTTATCAGTGATTTTCAAGCAACATATATATTTTTGAGGGTCAATTGAGATATTTATTTTATAGTGGGTGCATTTTTTCAAGCAAAGACAGGCTATTGAACAGGATGTTTAAAGATTTTGTATTTACCATTTTGTCCACAGTCCTTTCCCGACTATGGCGGTGGTCGAAGAGGAAGGAGGAAGTGACGCAGCTGCTTTATACAATAAGAGTCCTCCAAACAGCGACTCGATGTGGATGATTGTAACTATTGACACAACAGCTAAAAATGCAATTCAGGCGCTGCCTAAATCACACTTTGCTGATTAATATTTTTGCTTTGTAGAAGCATTACTGCATATTAACGATTTGATTCAACAACTTGAGCATTGCTTACAATTAGGGCTGGGGGATATGGGAAAATGTTTATCACAATATATTTTTTTCATATCAGTCAATATCGATATGTATCACGATATAAAAAAATGAAATTTAACAGTGCTTATTGGTAGCACATCTTAAGAAATACAATAAGATACTGCATCTGTGAACGTGACAGAATGCCAACTATCGGAAAGGATATTGACCATGTTTTATATTGATATTGAGGGAAATTGATTTTCAATATATATCGTTATCATTTTATCGCCCAGCCCTACTTACAACTCTCGTGGTGTATTTACTCTTTTACAAGACAATCAGACCTAAGATAGAGAACTGGCTTAGTAAAATGGGTAGCCACTAGCCAGACATATCGAGCTATCTGCCAAAACCTAAAACATTTTCTCCATCCAATTTTTTGGCAACTTTTGTGCCCAATTAAAAAATTGTTAGGGGGTGGACAGTAGGGCTGGACATACTTGACAAAGACTCAAGCTGAGTCTTAGCAACCAGTTATTCTAAATTTACTAAATCACACGTACTTTGCGATATATTATATGCACTTCTTCTTAAACCGATGTAAACACTGAAAAGAATTCAGAGAGTAAAAAGTATCTCATTGACGACAAAACACATGTACATTTAGAAGAAATGCTGTTTTATTTCCAGTCAAAACTGTACATTAGCATCACCAGCAGTGATATGTTCTCATGCTGCCTTAAGATTGGTGCAACACACATTAACGATGAAGGAGATTTAAGGTTAAAAAAGAGGGAAGGCCACAAGTTTATCACTTTGTCTGCATGCAGGCATGGCTGTAACATGACAGTCTGGTCAGAAATGGCTATTTCTCCTCTCTGTATCAGTGTATGAACACAACACATGATCCTGGACCAAGTCAATTCATTCTGCTCCCACCAAAACAACAGCTATTTTGGACTTCGATACCATGATGAAAGTCCTGCAGAAACTTTTGGATTGTCTAGCCCTCCAGCGCAAAGTAAAGAGTAATTCAAACGTGAACACTTCAAATTAAATTTGGCAAATTAATCAGATGTCTCATTCAACAAAGTGTGAAGACAATATTAATGTATTTGGTAATGTGAAAGTATTGAGTATGTGAAGTTTAAACCTCTGTAGAGCTTTTAAGGAGTGTGACATTTACATGAACTTGAAAGGCCATGTCTGCAGTGTGAGGAACACTTAACTTCAGAGAAACGATAATGAAATAAGGTCACTTTTGGGTTCACATGGTCCACCTAAGGCGCCGTCCAGCCAAACTCTTTTCAAAGCTGCTCCAGCTAATGTGCCCCGCAATCTAACTCTTTCCAAATCTCACTTTTACCTTTCCTTACAAAAACTTCAGAGGCTCACAATCAGTCATCAGATCTCTGCATCTGTAACTGAGAGAGCCACGCAAACCTGTTTGACCTGACCTCTGAGGAGTCACATCACTACTCTGAGCCTGACAAGCCCATCTGTTCCTTACTTTTTTTCAGAAAACAAAAATGTCATGGTTAGAAATTTGTTCAGTCGTCTCCTTTGTCGACCACTTTCTCCGTCTCAGTATCTGGCTTCCTGTCCGCAGAGTTGGAGTCTCCTCCTGTATTCCGGTTGCGGCTTCTAGCCCCTGGTTGGTACAGCTGAATAGCGGGTCGGTCCTGATTCAAAGAAACATCACTGATGAGTATTTTAAAATATTTGCAGGAGATAGTTATAGAATTTGACAGGCTGCGGTCATTACCTTGTTTCGTAGTCTCTCTCTTTTACCACCGTCCTCCTTCTTGTTGTCTTTGGCAGGCTTTTCTGTCCTCTCAGAGGGAGCAGCATCACCGGCATTTTCACCCTTCTTCTTCTCCAACACACGGTCTTTTTCTTTCTTGACCTCATCTTCCCGCTTCCTGCATGAATTTTCTCCAACCTGCCGCTCTCTCCTTCTTCGCCGATCTTCATCCTGACGCCGGAGACGCTCCTTTTCCTTCTGCCGCCGCTCCTTCTCCCGCTCTCTTTCGCGCTCTCTGTCTCGGTCTGCACCACGCTCCCTGAACTCTTTCCGTCCTTCTTCATCACCTCTGTGTTTCAAGCAAAATCTCCATTTACAAAACTCTGAACTAACTGAAAAATCATTTTTAAAATCTTAAAAGGAACTTACTTTCTTCCTCGTTCTTCCTTATTTTCACTGTTGTGACGCCTCTTGTGGTCACTACTCCCCATGAATTTGTCCTCTTTGATTGGCTTCTCTGGTTTCTTGGCTTTCTCCTTAGGCTTCTCAGAATCTGCTTCATCACCTCTGTCTGGCTTCTTCAGGAGCTACTCAGTCAAAAGATGTAAATATTATCAAATACATAAAAAAAACCCACACAGGTTTACATCACTTAAACCCACTGCAGCACACCTTTATTTTTGGTTCTTCTTTGACTTGGTCTTTGTCTTTCTCTGGCAGTTTCTCAAGTCTCTTCATCTTCTCAGCCTCTTTGCGCTTCCTTCTCTCCTCCTCTCTCCACTTTCGACGCTCCTCATCGCGCAGACGCTTGCGTTCAAGCTCCCTTCTCCTCCTCTCTTCTTTTTTCTCCTCCCTTATCCTCTGCATAGCATTAAAACAAGACATGAGGCTACCCTTGCAATTTAACATCCATGACAAATACATCAGAATGTTAGACCACAGCACTTACTCACCTGTTTATTCTTGAGAAAATCCAACAGAGGGGTGGTTTTCTTGGCTTTGAAAGGGAAAACAAACACATTTATACTCACTCTGTGACTACTTAAAGTTACAAACGTAAATGTTTAAGTGCAATTTTTTTTTTACTCAAAGAACAGTCATCTTACCAACAAGCTCCTTGGACTTTGCTTCAAGCTCTTCCAACAGGGTCTCAGGTGTTGAGGCCAACTTTTCATCATCCCCGTTATAATACTCAAGGAACTTCCTGTAGTCAGGATCTGAATGGAAACATACAGAAAACAAAAATAAAGTCACTCATAGTTAGACTTAGGGTTTTAAAACTAAAACTCAGTTAAAAAAAGAAGGACCATTTCTCTTTATCTTCGAATTAGAGATAAATAATAATGGAATTTGGTTGTGCATGCAGATATGATTCTTCTGATTCTACACAAGATCATATATTATTATTATAATTGGACATGTGACAAAAAGCTTACCCTCTGCAATAGTTCCACATTTCGCATCCTTTTTCTTACTTCTTTTCTTTGCAGTCTTTTGAAAAGGTGCAAACTCCACAATGGCAGGATACTCTTGTCCTGTGGAAACGAAATATACCAAGGAGGTGAAGTCTTCATTTATGTCTGAAAAGAGTGTAAAGTTAGCAGTAAAAGTATGTGTTTTATACCTCTGCTGTCAATGAACACGTATCCATCAAAACGGTCTCTGAAGAGAACTATGTCCTCCTGGTTTTTGAAGTTGATGTAAGCCCTTGCGAAAAGGTGAGGGTAAAGGCTGGATGGAAAGAACAGTAAAGACAATTTTGTTCATGAGGGGTCACTTTGAGTGATTTTTACAGGATAAAACCGTTTTATAAACTGACCTGGTGTCGTTAGAGAAAAACTCCAGGTAGTCAACATCTGGCAGAGGCTGTAGCTGCTCCTCCAGCTCCTCTTTAGTGAGACTTGGTGGCAGTCGTCTGATCACGATCTTTGAAAGAGATCATTTCAGTTTGACAGATCAAAGTTTCATTTGTCAAACTCAGTAAGGAAGCAACACATGTTAACCTGAAGCTAGGCTAATTCAAACTCAGATCTGGTTTTCTTTAAACTTGAGTTATATCTTTAAACTTGAGTTTGTTTCACTTAAAATAAAATGCTGTTCTATCAAGCGACATGTAGCCAACTTAGCTAACGCAGCTAGCAAGTTTTACCTTTGTCATGGCCTCTTTCTTTTCTTTCGGCTTCTCCAACTTTTCTCCATCTTCACACCTTATTTCCACCCTTTTCTCCTTCGGTCTAGTGTTTTCCTTATCTTCCTTCATATTTGAGAAGCGCCGTGTCTCATATCGCACACTTGTTTACTTTCTGTAGCAGGTTAGCAAACCAGGAGCTAACGAACTAACGCTTTTTCTAACTTCCCCTGTCTGCTCCAGGCAATACCAGCGTTTCAACAGGAGGGGGCGCTGCAGTGCAAACTAACTTTTTTGTATTTTTCACTAAAAATAAAGCTCTAACAGTCTAACTAATCATGAATCTAACTCTTTATGAATCAGAATAGCAAATCAAATTGATAAGAATTAAAATAACGAGGTTCTGATGAATATAAAACTCAAGAATTGTGCTTGTACGTGGCTTATTTCTTTAACACTTAGCGCTTTTGTGAGTAGCTTTAATTCTAATGTTTTGCACTTCGTACTATTTTTTAGTTTCTTTCAGCTATTCTTTTATTTCAGCTTCATTCCTACTTTTATTCCCTTCTTTTGATATTTGTGTTTTCAAAAGCAAGTGTAATGTGTGAAGTATTTTGACTCTTATTCTGATTGTGGAATTAATAAATCTATGTATTTGATTAAATGTAAAAATTCTGTCTTGACGATTTCCAACACAAAAATACAGTTGTTCTGTTGTTATTTTTATTTGTTTTTTTTTTATTTGTTTTGTTGCTTTTATTGTTGCCTTTCACTGTATATGCACTTCGAGATCTGTTTTCTCAGATGTAAAGCGTAATATAAATAAAATGTATCATGAACATTATTATTTTCTATCAATAGCGATATCTGCATCTGATTATGCCTGCAATTGTAGCCAACACTGTGCAATTAAAGGAAGAAAACTGTGCCCTGTATCATTCAGACTGCAAAATAGATGTTTTATTAATATTCAGCTGTCCGTGTACAAATTCAAATGGTATTGGATTCTCTTAAATTTGAGGGGCCATGCTTTTGTTTTGAAAGTATAATCTGGAAGTATTCTTCTTCTTCCGGTAGCTGGGTAGGTCATCGTCCCGTCGACATTTTGTTAGCTTCTTAGCAAAATAAACTGTCGAGGACAGGCGTAGGGCAACTTCGTTGTCTTCAAAGTTGCTTTCTGTCACCTGGCAGAAGAAGACTTGAACAATGTGGTACGAAATTTTACCCGGCCTCGGCATCATGACGGCGTGTCTAACCATTCCTGGCATCGCCACCGCGTATATCCACAGATTCACCAACGGAGGGAAGGTGAGCATAGACATGCAAACCAGCACTCTACGGCTGGTATATTTGAGTATATGTTATTATTACTCGTATTTTGTGTTATATATAGCTTTCTTTACAATTTCGCTTGCTTCTACTAGGAAAAAAGAATCGCTCGAGTTCCTTATCAGTGGTTTCTGATGGAGAGGGACAAGAGGGTATCAGGAACTGGGAAATACTACGAGTCTAAGGTTTGTGTACATGACTGTAAAGCTACACACTAGGGGAGAGTGGGAAAAAGTCAAAATCATCTGGTCTGACACCTATCTTCTTTCAGCAGTTTTAAGTGTTAGACTTGTTGCAGAGGGCCCTTTTTGTTTTAGAGCCCATAAAGAGGGATCAGTCTGTTTCTGAACCAGTTAAAACCATGTTCAATGATGACAGAAAGCTCACACTGAAATAAACAGGGTAGGAGGAGTACAATTTTAAAAAATTGTTAAAAAAAAAAAAAGTGAATTAAGACAATTGGTTAAATTTTTCCATTGCAGAGGGAGTCTTTATTTTCTTGCATAATACTTTTATTGCAAATATTACAGCAGCTTATAAACTCACCCTTACAAGAAAATGTGCATGACGACTTCCAGACACAAATATAAGCCACTCAAATAAGAGAGTAACTCTGCAGACCCTCAGACCCCACATTTCCATCTTGGTGATTTAAGATCTAAGCTGATCACACCTCTCCCTTAACCCTGTTAAATATTGGTGACCCTTTTCCTTTTCTCAACGAAAAAGTGACTTGAAGTATTAAAAGGTTTTGCTCAAGAGTTAAAGTGCTGATATTGTTTTCTTTTTCTTCCACAGGGACTTGAGAACATCCACTAATGATGAGCAATATGAAGACTCTGACAAGGAGAAAATTTTTGTGTTGTACATCAGATTATATTCAGTTGTTTTTGCTGTCTTTGAAAACAGATGTGTCCCTGTTGTCAAATAAACTGTTCTATACTGGAAATATTGTTTCATTTGATGAGTTCAGAAAGTGAGAGCAGATATGTAGCTTTGTGTACCTTGCCGAGGAGTTGAGAATCCATTTGAGAGGACAAAGAGAAGTACAAAAGAGGAAATAAACTGAAACAGAAATGTGAAATAAAGCAATAAAAAATGGTTGATTAAAGTTTATTGACCCCCCTGATCTCAATTAATCCCACAAATGTACATGAAAGAAAATAAACATTTATCAACTGAAAGGAAAAACTAAATATGGAAAAATAATGTACAGTTCACTCCTTTACAAACATCTTTACAGTCAAATCCTCCCTCATTAGAGTACAGTCCACTCAAAGTGAAACAGGCATTCCTCTTAAAATATTCAACAAACATCACAGAATAAAAGTTTAAGGTGTCCAATAACTAAGAGGAGTAGAAATATGATGTTCACTTTTCTTCTTTGCCTTTGGTTTTGCGGTACACCATCTCCCTGAAGCTGGACAGGATCTTGCTCTCCCTCTTCCTCCTTTCCTCCTGGTTGAAGGAGGCCAGAGCTCTCTTCTCGTCTGCACTGTAAATCTGGTTTTCCTTTCTCAGACGCACAGCCTCCATACGACGATGTCTGCAGGGTTACGATTATCACATTCATCAGTACAACAGCAACGTGAGAGACATCCTTTAGGACTACTCTATTATGCCAAACTTTATATATAACATGATGTAAAACTAGTTTTAACTAGTTCAGGATGTATACAGAAATCTCTCAATACATTGATTACTGCAGGAAAATGTAAGTCTAACAGCTAAACAAGACGTACCTGCTGCCGCTCATCACGTATCCAGATTTCTCGAAGTTTGCAATCTCGTCACTGGTGAGACCGATCTCTCCTCTTCTGGGGATACGTTTGCCTGCTTTAACATACTCCGCCATAGCAGCACCTTCACCTGGCAACAGGGCATGACCAAAACTGGAAGACAAAAAAACGCATATCACTACATCAATGTACTGGTAACTCTGTCCTAAAATTAGCCTGAATATCTGGACAGAACTTTGCGTGACTTCATCAATGAGACACTAAGCTGCTTTATGAGATAAGTGGAACTTTGGCTTGCTGGTGGCTCTGAAAGAGAAGTCATTGGATTTTCTAAGTCATGAAATGAAGCCTTTACAAACCCTGAAGGTCCAGATTGAGTTCTATAGAAATCAAACAGTTGTTGACGTGTGAATGCCACCATAATTGTTATCATAATGGAGTAACTTAATATAATGTAATTGCCGGCGCAGTAGCTAGCGTCAAATAGACTCACTCTAAAGGCCTGTCGTCCTGGGACATGTGGGTTAATGGAGCTTCAGGGCCAACCACATTTCCATCTATGCAGGTTTTCTCCACCCACATCACCCCGTTAGGATCCTCCTCCTCTTCCTCCTCTGACTCCTCACTGCTGGAGTTGCTGGACTCCTTGCGGCTCTTCTTTGCCTTCTTCTTCTTGGACTTCTTGGACCTGTTAGTAATCAAGTAATGGATCAGTTCATTATTTATTATTTTACTTATCACTTTTAAGGCAGTAAAGGGTCTGGCTCCAATCTATTTAGAACTTTTAACCCCCTGTGAGCCAGCCCACACCCTGAGATCCTAGGGTGGGGGCCTCCTGGTCGTTCCAAAGTCAAGACTTGTAACTAAAGGTGACAGGGTCTTTTCTATCAGGGCTTTGGAACGACCTCCCCGAGGAGATCCAGCAGAAACAGTCACTGCTTTTAAATCACGTCTTAAAACTCACTTTTATAGACTTGCTTTTATGTGACTTTGTCTTCTTTAAAACCTTTTACTCTTCTTATTCATGTTTCATAATAGTCCCCTTGGTCTCAGAAGATTTTGTGATTGGGTTCCTGTGTTGGCTGGGTATCACGGGCTCTTATAATGTCTTTGTTTCAATGACCTCTCAGCTCATGTGACATTCATCAAAGCTTTTATGTCTTCCACCAATTTTTATTCCATTTTATTTCTTTATTGTCAGTAATGTGACATTTCCCCCCAAGGCTTCTCTTGTTGTTGTTCTGTTGTTTTTATCGTCTTTGTTTTCCTGCATGTTAAAGCACTTTGTAAACTCTTGTCTTTAAAAGTGCTATATAAATAAGGTTATTATAATTATGATTATTATGGTACCATTTGTAGTAAGAAGAGTGCCTCCATGTTAGTTTACATGCTTACTTTTTGCTCTTCTTTTTCTTCTTCTTCTTTTTTACTTCTTCCTCTGAAAGAAGAAAGACAGTGTTATAGATCAGCTTCTATCACTTATGACAAAAACGTTTCCTGAGTACAAACTTGTATAAATATACCATCTGAATCAGATTCCAGGTCACTGTCCTCAGAGTGCTTTTTGCTCTTTTTCTTCTTGGATTTCTTCTTCTTCTTTTTCTTTTTCTTCTCTTCTGTGAATGACAATTGAAAACCCCTTCAAGTTTAAACTTAACACAACATGACTGCAGTTAACTCACACTTAACCAATACAGTGGCTATACCTTCTGAGCTCGACTCTGAGCTGCTGTTTTTCTCATCCTCTTCAACTGGTGTGAATTCATCAGAGCTGGTGGAGACAAATGAAAGACATGAGCAGTACTGGAGGGGAGAGAAGCGTTTATTCTTAAGGAAACAAGGCAATGGCTGCTCGCTTATTATACAGAGATTCTTGACTTACTCTGGCTCCTTCACTCTTGGTGAATATCCCCAAACTTCAGGACAACCTAACTCACCGATCCTCTCCCTCTCTTGCAGACGTCTGTAACAGAAACACAAAGATTCATCAGTCTACACAGGTTACGGTTTGTTTTAATCTGAGCTTTTTAGAAAACAGTCATACCAACTTCACTTTTGATCTAAAATCTGTATAAAACTAAACTTGCATTACAAACACATTTTCTTTTCCTCTTCAGCAGAACTATAATATAGACTGTCATTTTCAAGTCTAACGGACTCCAAGGAGAATAATTACAAAATCATGAAATATTACATAACTGTCTCAACAGGATTCACTGAAATTGTCATACTTTTAAAGGCGCAGTGTGTAGAATTGAAAAGGCAGAAGAACGAACGCGTCTGCAGTACAAAACGATTAATATGACGATAATTACTTCAATGAAATGATAAAGAAATGTTCTTCCTTGAGCTGCGTCACCCCGCTGTAGTCCAGAATGATCACCATAAGTAATAATCACCATATTAATTATGTTGCAGTCGGCAACACTCATCTCTCGACGGGGTGTCTAACTCGGTGTTATGGTGTGTTTGACCCTAACTTAATTTTACGCCGGAATATCTCTTTTAATATCAGGGGAATTTTAGTAGAAATGACCCAGTTCTCTATATCCTGTCCTTGATAATCCACTTCATGGGCCCTCACCTCGCTATAAAAGCTTCTTGTCTCTGTCTCTGAGCGTCGTCCCTCTGCTGCTCGTAGTAATAGTCATCCTTAAAGCTGCCGTGGTTTCCAGGACCGTCTCTCTGACTGGACCAGTGGTTGTGGTTGTAGCTGTTACTGCTCGTGTTGTTGTGACGATCCCTGGACCTGGACCTCGACCTGGATCGGCTCCGGCGTGGTGATCCGATGCGGATCCTTCTCAGGTTTTTGGCCTCTTTGAACCTTCGCTCCCGCTCCTCTCGTTCCCTCTCCCTGTTTCGTGGTTTCGGGAGTTTCGGTCCAAAGCTGTCCGGAGACAGGCTCCTATCGCGGCTGTCGTTACGGTTGCGGCTGCGGGATCGAGTTCGGGGTCTTCGGGCCCGCGGACTCCGAGACCCCAGGCCGTCGTCAGAGCTCGAGCGATCAGAAAGAGGCATACCTAATGATGCCCTGTGAATAAAATCTTCACCTGGAGACAAAGAAATGTGATTTTTAATCGCGAACTTCTTCTTAAAATGCTTGCCACGGGACTGTGTTGTTAATGCGCAGGTAAAGCGTCCGGAAATACAAATCAGGAAGTTCCTACACCTAACTAACTAAGTAGAAACCGTTCCCCTGTTGCAAATGGTTCCGGGAGAATTGGTCATGTAATTTCTAATCGAATATTATTTACAAGAGTTTCCTTTTCCAGTCATTAACCAGAGAACACTATCGCCAAAATTAGCAACACTCTCACTATCGCTGATGATTTTTACCCGAAATAATATACCCAAGAAAAAGTAGGGGAGAGTGGGGTAAGTTGAGCCAGAGGGTAAGTGCATCCCAGCAAACCAACAGAATGAGTGTAAACATAACTGTCTTGATAATATAGCATGCCAAAAAAAGTGGTCTCCGATGGTCAACTTACCCCGTATATGGAGTAAGTTGACCCCCACCCACACACTCTCCACCCCAGCCCTCCCTCACCTTCTCTCTCCCTAAATAACAGTCACTTCTTCACATTCATGTGTATTTTTATCTATTATACACTATTCAACTGGTACAATCATTCTTTTTATTATTGCATATAACTGCTAAAAAAAACTGTTTTGTAAAAAGCCATTTTAACACGAGAATGTCTTTAAATGATCAGAACATTCACAGCTGTATTTTTGATAAGAAAAAGTAACACATTTCAACAATCTGAACTGAAACTCTGATCCTCTCATCAGACTCCTTTACTTTCTCAGTTGAGCCACTGACTCAATTTACCCCAGACTTTTGTTCTAGGTTTTGATCTGATGTTGTAGCTCATAGATACCACAACCTTACTCCACTCTCCCCTATGCCTTCAAAGATATCAAAGGCTGAAGCTACCCAGGGACCCATGATACCCAGACAAACGCAACATAAAAAAAAATAAACACGTAAACAGGTTTGGTCGGGTGAAAATCACCTGGCAATATTGTTCTAGGGTTAAAAAAAAAAAAAGATAAAACAAGGCATACAGCTTCATGCCCACGACAGAAACCACAGCAGTGAAATTGCTTCAGTGGCGCCTCCTGGTGGAAATGAAATACCGGATCTGGACTCAGCAGCGCCGAGCTGTCAGGGGGAGCAGAGTGTTGTTAGCCATTGTCTGTAGCCTGCTAGCTAAACTTACAACAGACGGAAGCATCTGTCACATTTAGCCTTGGCAGAAAACACCTGGGTTACAGGTAAATAGAAACATTTTAATAATAGCCCTATCAAGTAGAAATACTTGGTAGATTAGTGCACTCATTGGGGAGTCTCATGAGAAGCTATCATGCTAACAAGATGCTAAATAGTAGGCCGCAATTTCCGCTTTTTAATAAAGACGGAAGAGACAAGACAGCTAATGTTACCATTGTTAGCTTCCTGACAACATCAGTGAAATACTGGTATATAAGCATAGGTGTCACTTTGAGGATATTTATTTCCTCACTAAAGTGAAATAAGTCTGGTTTCTGCAGGTCTAATGTCAGACAAGACTTGTACTCAAGTCGGGTGTAAAACTTTGGCAAGCTAACGCTAAGCTAACACCTACTAGTGTAATGTTCTTGTTGTCAGAATACTATGAATAAAGTGCCTTCAATTTGTTAACAGGGCTAATGATAATTATATTTTAATTTATACTCATACTGCTCATGTTTGCATCAAAGAGGCAACCTGTTTTTGGAGATCTTAATACTACGAATGCTAAATAATACTGACACTTGAACAAAAGCAGGTGTATTTGACTCAAGAAGACAATCAATATTAGCCCTGCTATAAATCCTCATGTCTGTATGACTTGTCTTGTATTTGACCAAAGCGCAGGTGTCACTCACAGGAAGAAAGGCACTGAAATGTCTTAGTTTAACTGCACACATCTCAGATTAAGAATAAGGGTGTCAAGGGTTACTGTGGATTTGTAAATTAAAACTAAGCAGACTTGTGAACACCCTGTTTTGTTGAAGCAAGTATGCAGATTTATGTTGTGCATTAGAAGAGTAGTTCTAATTTGTTTGCTTTCATTACCCATTTACAGACATGCCAAGTCTAAAGCTGATATCTGCAACCGACACACAGTACTCATCAGCTGTGCTGAAATCAATGAACGAGCAAAGGAATCATGGCTTATTTTGCGACGTCACCATTATCATACAGGACAAGAAGTTCAGAGCACACAAAACAATCCTGTCAGCGTCAAGCACGTATTTCCACCAGCTCTTCACTGTCGCCGGACAAGTGATTGAGTTAAACTTCATCAGAGCGGAAATCTTCGAGGAGATTCTCAATTACATTTACAGCTCTAAGATAAGCCGTGTACGCTCTGACATGCTTGAGGAGCTCATCAATGCTGGACAGATACTAGGGGTCAAGTTTATTGCAAACTTGGCATCCCCATTATCACAAGTGAAGGGTCTGCCCGGTTTGTCCAAAGATACTGAAAACAAAAATGACACAGCTGCAGAGCTGATGCCGATTATCACAGAGTCTTTCTCAATATCCGCAGAGGAGTTCAATCAGACCAGCAAGTCTGCAGGCAATGATGATGATGACTCGGACAATGATGTGATGTTTGTCTCTAAAACAGATGCTCAAACCAGAGCATCAAATCTGAAAGCCACCTCTGATGAGGTTATCGATGTAGATTCAGGTGATTCAGAAAATGTAGCATCAGAGCAAAATAAGGACTCTAATGATTCAGGGTCAAAACAGAAAGAGAAAACCAAACCCTCTTTGAAAACGTATTCTGCAAAGCCTCCGAGTGTCAGTTGTCCAACCCAGAGTTTGCCAAACAGCAGTCCTGTGCTTAGTCCAGACAGCAGCTCAAATCACTCTCCTGCCCCTGCCAGAGTTTCCTCAGCAAGTTCTCCTGCAACACCAGCCAAGTCGAGCAGTGTCATCCCCGAGCCCTCCAGTGCCTCCAGTGCGTCTTCTGAAAATAATGATATAATGGGAGTCCACAAGAAGCATGTTGCTACTTCATCTCAGCAGGGAGATTTCAAAATTAGGCTCCTGGATGTGTCTGATAGCACCATGAATCAAGTAGACATTCCTAAGTCGGGTATAACAGCCAAGAAAACAGTGACGCTCAACACAGGTACAGAGATTGAGTCGATTTCATCAGGCTGTAAAGTGTATGCTAATATCGGGGAAGACACATATGACATTGTCCCGGTCAAAGAAGATCCAGGGGAAGGAGGCTCCAAAGCGAATAAAGGAAAGAGGATCCCGATGCAGACGCCTTTAAAACAGTTAGATAAAACAACACCAACCAGCCCAAACAGAAAGAGGACCAAGACCGAGCTTGAGGATCACTACGAGCTAATCATGGATGGGAAGACTTTCTATGTGTGCATTGTTTGCAAACGCCCCTACGTGTGTCTGACAAGTCTACGTCGTCACTTCAACACCCATTCGTGGGAGAAAAAGTACCCATGCCGCTACTGCACCAAGGTCTTTGCCTTAGCGGAGTACAGAACTAAACATGAAATCCACCACACAGGAGAGAGGCGGTACCAGTGCTTGGTGTGCAATCAAACGTTCATTAACTACCAATTACTGTCCACCCACTGCAAGCAAATCCACGACCAGGACCCCAGTGGGAGGAAGGAGAGGGATGACAAGGACAACAACTTATACAGACTGCTTCCGTGTAAAACGGTGCAGATGAGGTCATACTCGTGGACTACTGAAGGGGAGGGGGTTCCTGTCATATCTGAGGATGGAAGTGTGCATCACATATCCAGCGTCAGCGAAAACATGCAGTCCTCGACACAGACCAGGATGTTGAACTGGGACGACATCTTTGTGGAACCTGATGCTAAGATCAGACCGGAGTCGACCATGAACACTCCACCGCATGGAACAACAGAGTTTGACTTTGTTATACCAGAGACCTACTGAGCTTCACCTGCACTCTGGTACCTGTGCCTTTTAGGTGCCCCTCCCTCCATTACTGTTTGGTTCAACATGGATGATGGTCCTTTTTTTTTGTGTCAGCATCAGGTAGTCTCAGAGTTCAGCAGCATATGTAGGGGAGTACCTAACTCAGATTTTGGTAAGTCTCATAGGAAATGACTTTTCTAAACTAAACTTCAACTCTTCATTTCTCTTTTTCTCTGTTTAACCCAGCACCACAGTCCTATAGCAGTCTCTACAAGAAGCAGGTTTACCTGACTGGAATAAGCAGCAAAGATGTCGGATCTCAAAATGTTTATATTCAAATTAAGTTGGATGTCAGGTCTTGTTCCCTTCATTTATAACTCCATCAGAATGAATGAGGGCTTTCGGTAAATAAAGGGCTCTTGGAAGCCAAAGTTCACTTGAAGAACAGCAGAGAGACCGTTTTGAAAATGAATCTGCATAGTTAATATTTTTACAAGTTTGAGAGAATGAAGCCTCTGCAGATTAATTAAAGGGATATTCCGGCGTAAAATTAATTTACTGTCAAACACACTGGAACAACAAGTTAGACACACCCTCCAGAGATGAATGTTGCCAACTGCTTGCTTTTCTAGTTATACCAGCTTGAGTAACGACTGCAGGATAGCAATACACAACGGTTTGAGGAGCCACAAACAAACCTCAACCAAAACGCCACTCTATAGCCACAAATAAAGTTCAGAACAGCACCTAACTTCATCAACAGTACATATAGGGTCCCAACCACAGTACTAGTCACCAAACGTCTTGTTAACTTTGCCTGATTTCTTTAGCCAAGAGACTAAACACAACTCACCTACTCTCTTCCAGCAGCCGCTTGTTTGTAGCGAGACCTCAGGCCAGTCCATTGCAGACTACAGTGGGGTGACGCAGCTCAAGGTAGAACATGGCTCCTCAGACCGCTGTGTATTGCTATCGTGCCTTCGTTACTAAAGTTGGTATAACTAGAGAAGCAAGCAGTCAGCAAAATTCATCCTTCAAGGGGGTGTATAACTCGGTGTTGCGGTGTTTGTGACCCTAAATTAATTTTACGCTGGAATATCCCCTTAAAGAAAATGGGAATGAACGCCAAAGAGTCTTTAAAAACAAACATTCATGTTGAGACTCAGCCTGTCATGCATCCGCTCATGTAGTGCTCCACATACAAAGTAAGAACCAGAGAAAAAGGTCCAAGAAATGAACTGTCAATTTTAAGTTGACTGACAGTCCTCTCAACTAATGACCTGAATCAGCTTTTCATGAAAAGACCAAGAAATTCGTAGTGTACTGCTCTTTTTAGGGTGTGAGTTTATACTGGGCTAACAGTAGAGCCGCACAGTTCGAGGTGATGAAATGTGAACTCAAACCTGCCAGCCAGGGGTGCAGCTAAACAAAAAGTGAACGCTCGAAATAGTCACAGATTACCGCTTTGATCCGAGGAAGGAAGAGGACAAAAAGTGGCAGGTCACTTTAAATAGTTCTCACTCTGCTTGTGAAATCGCCTCGATCTTTGTTTAATCATTAATGATCGGTGCATTAGCAAGAAATATTATTCATGCAGAAGTGGTTTATAAACAGAACATTGCAAAAATAGTCTGGTATCTAATGAAGAAAGATTTAAGTGTTGCACTGAAGGAGCTGTGCTGTTTCACCACCAGGTCATCTCTCCAGAATCAGTCAATGGAAATAAGAGACCCCCTGGGCTCTGTGTGGTAAAATAGAAACAGGGTCGCCTATATAAGTTGGTTTTCTGTGTCACCAGGTGACACCTCTTCTTTCAAATGCATCTGTAATTTAAATATTTTGCATAACTCACAGCATGTGCCCCCAAGATGAAATAATGTTGATGAAAGTCTGTAATAAAATCTGATCATTCCAGTGTTTTATGTTTGAGACTATTTAAAATTTATTTCTGTTCAAAGGAAAGTTTGAATGTTATTTTAAATATATTTTGTTAGAAATTTGTTCATGGATTATTTCATTCCACATTGGTTTGGAGAACTCTTTTTGTCCAGGAAGTAACCTTAGTGTCAGTTTAACACACCTGCGCATTCTCATGTCTGTTTGCTGCATTTTTAATCATGTTGGTTGTAAAACCTGCCGACCTAACATAGTCAGGATTTTGCTCATAATTGTGATGATAGAATTGATATAAGCGGGGGTAACCACACTGGGTTCATCTAGCACTTAGCTTCGGAGCAGACAGAAGACTTTGTAAAAAATGTTTCTTTACACTTTGTTTTTTCATTGTTGTCAAACTGTAGTGAGTGATGAGTCTGATTGAACAATCATGTGTGATAACATGGATTCATGCTGTCATCAGTCAATAAAATCATACAGGTTGTTTTTTAAATAACAGGTAAACAATGGAGTGTGATGTACAGTGTTTCTTTGGGTTGATTTCTCACTATTTTATTGTCAGGTGAATTTACGATGTTTGTAGCTGTAGAAATATTTAAATAATCAGTTTTGATGCCATTTCATTGTACGAAATCTCGTTTTTTTATGCTTGTTTTCTATAATGATTCCCTGATAGTAAAAGTATAATTTATTAACAATCTTCAGTTCTTTTATGTAGCAATGATTTTGATTTTCATTTCAATCTAAATCACATCCCTTGCAATTCTTACATGAGCCAAACAAGCCTCAGGTGTAGTTGAGAGAAACAAGACAATACATACTCACGCTAGCATTACATTGCAATTCATAGTTTTTTTTAGGTTTAGAGTTAAAACAGAAGATGGCGCCAAAGTTTTTTGCACAATCCCAACCTCACCAGTCTTTAGTCTTCAGTCTTAAATAACAGGGATCAACAAAATCTCTAGGGTTCATTGATTTGTTAACATTTTTGGAAATTAACGCCTCTTTCCTCTCAGTTGAGATATTTCGGCTCAACATTCGCAGAGCCACACTCGAGGCTGGATTGAAGAGCAGCAAATCCCATTTCAATTACACAAAACATGTTTTAATGGCAAAACAAAAAGGAGCTGACAATCAGCCCCTGAGGACATGTTGAAATTATAAAAGCAGTGATAAAAGCTGAAGGGGGTTACTTTCATTTTCACTTACCCTCAGTTGGTTCTTACTTTTTAAACGCTATGATCCCCTCTTCTCCATGTCAGTGAATCCAGCACTGACTTCACAATCACTTTTACTAACTACAACACATTCAGCTCCTAGATAAGACATGACTTTACAAAGAGAGAGACGGTATATTTTTGCCTGAATTGCAGCTCTGTGAAAATACAATAAATAGTGTTTGTAGAGTAACTGTTAACAGTCCTGACTTAGCTTCTAAGGCTGGATAACTTTGTTTTTTTTTTTTTTATATAAACATTGCTCTGCAAAGTTCACCAAACACAGATTAAGATATGTCTGAACATAAAGTGAAGAGTTGATAAATAGATACCATGATCTGTTTGTATACCATAGGCTTAACTGTTGAAAGAGCATCTGTATATCTTACTGCTGTACATACATTATGATCATCTAGGAGCTCCGTTGCTGCTAACGTTGCTGTGTTATACTGCACAGTGACACGATTTACCGCTGAAGGAACAACTGCTTGAGCCGACATCTTTACAGTGCTGAATTTTCAAGCTGATTCAGATTCAGAAAGCGCTCATTTAACTCTGTGAAAGGATCTGCTAATGAGTCCGTCCAGATCTCCAAGGAGAAACAATGAGGATGTTATTATTACCTGTGCCACCTGCAGCCAGTGGAATCTACAATACGTGGGGTAACAAAAAGCCCGAACTGTGAGAGTTTTTCACCATGTACAGAGTAAGTCCAGCTGACCGTGAGCTGCAGCGCTGAAAGTCTGTTTTGCATTAAGGCAGTTAGATGTGTAAACAGTCCTGTCTGTGAACCTGCTGCCTCACTCTCTCTTGACGTGGATTTACACATCACACACGGGCAACGTGCAGGTATGAGTCTGACTCGTGCTCGACAAACACTTCTTTTGTGCTCAACTCAAAGTTGGCGTGCTCTGTGTCCGTGTTCCTCCTCCTTCTCCTCCCCAACATCACCACCACCACCATCCTTCTACTCTGTCCTCTGTGATGGTGACAGAAGTCATGTTAGGGGCTGTATGGTGGGGGCTTTTCATCAGGATGGTTGTGTGGAGGAGAGTAGCGTGGAGGGATCATAGTGGGCCACAGGTGACTCGCTCCAGACTGGGAGTCATCTGACAGACCTGAGGAGTCGGGAAACATGTAGGAGCCCTGCAGGACAGAACAAGCCTTTTTAGAAGAGCAGCTTTATGAGTTTTGTGACTACAAATGTGCTGGATGTTACTAAATACTCAATTGAGTTATTTTTCTCAGAATGCAACTGGTAGCTGTGGAGCAAACAAATACAAAAATACAAGACTTTAAAGGGATACTCTGGCGTAAAATTAAGTTAGGGTCAAACACACCAAAACACAGAGTTAGACACACCTTGGAGAGATGAATGTTGCAGACCGACTTTAGTAACGACCGCACAATAGCAATACACAATGGTCAGGGGGGTTTACAAAAGCCTCAACCAAAACGCCACTCTATAGCAACAAATAATGCTCAGAACAGCACCTAACTTCATCAACAGTACATATAGGGTCCCAGCCATAGTACTAGCCACCAAACATCTTTTTAGTTTTCCTAATTTCTTTAGCAAAGAGACTAAACACAACTCACCTGCTGCGGGGTGACGCAGCTCAAGGAAGATCATTTACGATCATTATAATTTTTTTGTAGTAATAATGGCCCTGAGGTCTCGCTACAAACAAGCGGCTGCTGGAAGAGAGTAGGTGAGTTGTGTTTAGTGTCTTTGCTTAAGAAATCAGGTAAAGTCAAAATGATGTGTGGTGGCTAGTACTATGGCTAGGACCCTATATGTACTGTTGATGAAGTTAGGTGCTGTTCTGAGCATTATTTGTGGCTATAGAGCCGCGTTTTGGTTGAGCACTTGCTTCTCTGTATTGCTATTGTGCGGTCGTTACTAAAGTTGGTATAACTAGAGAAGCAAGCGGTCAGCAACATTCATCTCTCGAGGGGGTGTCTAACTCAGTGTTGCCGTGTGTTTGACCCTAAATTAATTTTACGCCAGAATATCCCTTTAATAGTTCCAAATTACAGATACTGTCTCATGATTTTTAATGGTTAAAGTCACCCTCTGCTCATATCACACAGCGCTGCAGGTTTAAATGTACCTGCATGTCATAGGCAGAGTAGGGTGGCAGGCAGGGGGCAGTGTCGTAATAAGAGTTGAGGGAGGTTGTAGGTGGAGGAGGCTCAGAGGGGACAGGAGCCATGATGGCCTCGGGTTCAGATGAGCTTTCTGAGGCAGCAGAGGGAGTCTGGAGAGGAAATGAAGCATATTGATCAGTTTCTAATAATACAGAGGAGATATACTAAGGAGCTAGTTTTTACAGATGAATTGAAGACTGTCAAAGATCATATTTAAATTTTAAGGTTTAAACCAATATAAATAAAGTAAAATCATAGATTTTTGATTAAAAGTGACCAAAGGGTGATTTAAACAAAAATGACAGCTGTTTTAATCCACATTATCTACTTTAAATGTTCAGACAAATGTACAGATCATAAACTAACATCAAGTATGTCCTAAACAGAAAAGATTAAGATTCATTGAGTTTTACTTCTAACGTCTGTCCTGTTTTCACAGAGTGTGTAGTCGTTTTGGTGAAGGTATTTAGGAATAAGAAGAGAAACACTTTTTGAAGACCATCATGCTTTGAGGTGTTTGAGGTGCTGTCTTTTCCACATTCACTTCAGCTACCATGTCTTTGAAGCCTCCCAGAACTGCGGCAGTAATGATGCCCAAGAAGAGCGCCACAATGTTGAGGATGGTCGCGGACCATAAGAGGTGATAGAGGTGCACCACGTCCTGGCAGCTCCTCACGTCCGTGTACTCATGGTAGCCTCCGATCACCTCGACTCGGCTAGCCCAGTGGGTGGATAAGAGAGGGAGACAGCCTACAGTCAAGCCACAAATGTCACTAAAAACGCTGCTGAGTATTTATATGCAGGAGACAATGAAGAACATAATATGATCTATGCAGATTTATGAATCTACATCTGTCCAAGATGGATAGTTGTGATTCAAATCAAGAGACAAGGACAACATAAGTAGGTGGTGCTTGGTCAAACACATATTACATGCAAGGGAAATGGCACAAAGGGTGAAATCATAATAACGTGATTACTCGTGTTCAGTCAACACTTATCCAAAAAAGTCAGTCATTCATAGCCAAAAATGCTCTAGAAAAAAGGAACCTACTTCCAAATCATGGATGATTTCCTAAACTTTTTCAAAACATCTTTATTCTGAAGTCCCATAAGAGGATGATCTCTGAAACAAAGGTCAAAAGAAAAGAAACATTCTTCTTCTAATACAATCAATGTTGCAGTGCAAAAAAACTCTTCCAAAAAATGACACAAGGTAAGCATCAAAAAATCCCACACAGTCAAAGCGACACAGCAAAGCAGGAAGGACTGTCAGATGGACGTCAGCGTACTCACTTCCCGCAGTTGTACAGGTCACAGCAGTAGCAGGTGTTGCTCTTCACTCGCAGGTTGCAGGGCGAACGTGATGATGTGTGACAGGGCACCTGGTGGGCAAAATTCATTTTATAGTCTCTTTACTTTAGGCTCGGCTCTCAAACTGTGCTGATGAACAGCCCAGCTTTTTATTTTCATGTACAGACAAAAATGTGTTGTTGCTTACATCACGTTCAGATGAGGTCTCACTGGAGTGGTAGTCACAGCGGCCGGCATATAGAGGTCTGAGGTCCTGCAATGGAATTAATATGTCTACAGTAAAAATCATTCCAGACTCAATCTGTCAAACCTAAGAGAGTGCATATTTAATTGTATTGCTTATGTTAAAAGGGATAATCTGGCGTAAAATTAAGTTAGGGTCAAACACACTGTAACACCGAGTTAGACACCCCGTAGAGAGATGAATGTTGCCGACCGCTTGCTTCTCTAGTTATACCAACTTTAGTAAGGACCGCACGATAGCAAAACAGAGAGCCATGTGCTCAACCAAAACGCCACTCTATAGCCACAAATAATGCTCAGAACAGCACCTAACTTCATCAACAGTACAGATAGGGTCCCAGCCACAGCACTAGCCACCAAAAATCTTTTTAGCTTTGCCTGATTACTTTAGCAAAGAGACTGAACACAACTCACCCATTCTCTTCCAGCAGCCGCTTGTTTGTAGTGAGACCTTCGGGCAAGTCCATCGACTACGAGGGGGGGCGCAGCTCAAGGAAGAACATTTATGATCGTTTCTTTTTCATTATCTTGAAGTAATAATCATTATATTAATCATTTCGCACTGCAGACGTGGTAGTTCTTCTGCCTTAACATCTCGGTCTGATTGCATTTTCATGAGGAAATGACCATAAATGTTCTTCCTTGAGCTGCATCATCCCGCTGTAGTTGATGGACTCGCTCAAAAGTTTTTCTACAAACAAAGGGCTGCTGGAAGAGAGTAGGTGAGTTGTGTTTAGTCTCTTTGCTAAATAAATTAGGCAAAGTTAAAAGATGTTTGGTGGCTAGTGCTGTGACTGGGACCCTATATGTACTGTTGATGAAGTTAGGTGCTGTTCTGAGCATTATTTGTGGCCATAGAGCCGCGTTTTGTTTGAGCGCCTGGCTCTCTGTATTGCTATTGTGCGGTCATTAGTAAAGTTGATATAACTGGAGAAGCAAGCGGTCGGCAACATTCATCTCTCGAGGGGGTGTCTAACTTGGTGTTACGGTGTGTTTGACCCTAAATTAATTTTACGTCGAAATATCCCTTTAATAGTTCCAGATTACAGATACTTTCTAATGATTTTTTATGATTAAAGTCACTCTGCTCATTTCACACACAGTTACAATATGTAGATAAATGAACTGTCAAACAAACCAAACAGAACAATCCCAGGATCTATTCATTTCCCTGCACGGCTTTGCTATTCTGCTGCTCTTATACTCAACTATGTGTCTCTGAGCTTTACCGTACAAAATAGTGTTTGCTGAGAAATTTTCCATTTTCCTCTCCACTGTCACCACAAGCAAATGAGAAGCCAGCCTCCGTTTTCATCCAGCCATAACTTATTGCAGTATAATTGTTTTAAGAGTGCATTAGAGGTTATTTATTGTTTGTGTACTTTCCCTAATGGAGAACAATCTCCCTTCGCCACAAAATATATTTATCCTGCTGTGGAGGGTGCAGCTGTTATAGCGCAGTTATAGCCCACCATATGTGAGCCATGTCCTTGCAGGAGGGCACACGTTAAATATATACTGTAGTGCAGAGTCTAACAAGCTTTAATGGCTACGGCATTGATTAATAACCTTGTTATAAGTCTGTGCATAAGTGTTAAGGGATTCATAATTTAGTAGCCTACTTGAATGAATAGAGGCTGTGGTGATACTTACAATGTGCCTTGCAGCAAAGACTCCGTCAACAATAGCACAGCAGAAGGCAGCCACCACTCCAAAACTGATGAAGACAATAGACGCCACCAACTGTGAAGGAAAACATCAGCTTCATTTCTTTTGATGGAGACTATCAGCTTAATGCTTCAGCGCTCGGTTTCATTTTCAGCTCTAATGTGGATCACCCTGCCTCTCTGGGTGTAAACACCTCTGGATGAAAGGGGGGCTGAGTAAAGGAGAACAATGACTGTGCGCTGTGGTTGCCACCTAGCCCCGGTGGTGTTCACGGCTGGCACGTCGCCCAGCTCTTTATAGGTACTGACACCCTTAACTCGCCCCGCTCTCCTCCTTTCACCCCTGAAAGCCTGCCTGGGTTTAGTTACAAATCACCCACCCAGTCCGCAGCCACCCCGGCACTCAGGGGGGAGCGATGCAACAGATTCAGCAGCAAGTGATAATAAAGATTTATGACAGGACCAAGTTGTGTGTGATGCATAAATACATTCAGCAGCATATGAGAATTTCATATGCTCAAGATCTGGCTGACATAGTAATAGTCATTACAAATGATTCACTGTTAAACTTCCTGACAAAATGAGCCACACATCTATTCACCTGACAGACTGTGTGACCTGACCTGACAGAAGAAGCTGCTCCTCCTGACAGAATTAAAGTCTTTCCGTCAATCAAATTATTTGAAGTAGAGGCCAGTTTTGTAGATTTTTCAAACCAGAATAAACTATCATTCTTTTGTGTCCATTATGAGAGAAAGTAATGCTTTTTTAGTTTCATTAAGTCTGTGATTTATTACCTTAATGTGAATTTGTATTTATCATGGCGTGTGCTGCTGACCTCTTGGCGAGGTCATCCTTGTAAAAGAGATCCTGATCTCAACGGGACTTCTCTGGTTAAATAAAGGTTAAATATAAAATAAAAATAAGGTGAGGAGGGATAATTTTGCTCTCGGATAATCAGGACAATCAAAGAGAGAAAGACGGACATGAGGGAAAAAGAAAGAAGGGGATGACATTTAGCAAAGGGCCACGGGAGGTTGAACTATCAGCAGCTGGGTTGAGGGCTTCGGCCTCTGTGTGTAATAATAATAATAATAATAATAATAATAATAACCTGTAATATATATTAAACACAAACATCGTTTGACAAATCAAAATTTGATTTGAAATCATGGACATCCTCTGTACAAGAGAGTAGAGGGACCACTCAGCTTGTTGCCAGCACACCTGCTGTTCTGGGGATGCAGAAGTACACAGCTTAGGCACTTGGAAAAGCCCCAATAATGCTCAATGATACACCAACAAAATAAAATGCTGCCATCCAGATAATGCCTTTTTCAGGGAACATCTTGCATATTTCTGAATTACAAAATCAAACCTCATTCAGTATGTACTCCAGCAGTGTAGCTCAGTAGAAGAGCACTAGTTGCCAAACTGGCTCACCTCCAGTCCTGATTTGTCACCCTTTGAAAAATTCTGGCACATCACTGCACAAAACATACAACAAAGGAGACCTCGATTTCCTGCCAGAATCCTTTATTGGACAAGAAAGAGATGACATTTCACTATTAAAACCCAGACAACTGTTGGCCTTCTCATTTCACTAACATTTACAGTGTTGTGTGAAGAAGAGGCGATGCAACACAACAGTGAACAAGTCTCTGCTTCTACTTTTTTAGCCAAGTTGAAAAAAGTAGAATCCTAAATGAGTGAACATCTATCCAAAACAATAAATGTTCCAGTTTTTAACTTTTGAGTTATCTTTTTCACATTTTCAATCAAAATTTATGGTTTAAAAGATTCCCAAACCACCCATATCAGCTTTTTTTTTACAGGTTACACAATGTTCCAACTCGTGTTGGAATTTGGGTTGTGAGCTGTCCAGGCTTCAGTCTTTCTGGGCTCAAATTTCAAAGTACTGGCAAAAGTAAAAGTGCAACGATTGTAATGCAATGAATGCTGCCCTGGACACCGCTCTGGACACACCCCTGTATAAAACATGGAGTCAAGAGTGTCAACAACACATACTTGGACAATATTTATACTTCATACCATAGTGGCTGTAATCCATTTGTAAATGTGGGTCTCCTTGCACAGCTAGCTGCTGATCTCTGCTCCGAATGATCACTGGAACCACAGATGTTTTCTATCAGTTATAATTCCCTGGATTCACTGACTTAAGCATATTATAAATCAGCAATTTTCTCATGACTTATCTCATTCTCAAGAAAATTTGATAAAACAAGGATGATGGCTCCCAGAACCATCAATAATCTCAACACATCATCCCCGCAATAATATTTTATAGTGTATAACAAATCAGGGGCAGCGTGGTTTGACCTGTCATAGCTTGGCTTTGGTGTCCACATACAGACAGATACTGTACACACTCTCTCTGACCAGGATGACAGACAGTCAGACTGTACCGCATGATGTGAAAGGTGTCACGGTTCAAACTCATTCTTCACTCAGTCCTGGCAGCCCCTGCCTGGCACTCCCCACCTGCTCCTCTCATCTGCAGTTTCCTTCCCCACATTCCTGTGTGGACATCTGTCCTCCTTCACTTACACCCCATTTCTATTTCTGTCTGCATCGCCTCTGAAGCCCAGGAGACATGCTCTGATACACAAACCTCCTCAGGCAGAGGAGGGCCTTGCAGTCAGGGCCAGGTTTGCTGTGTGTCTATTATCAAATTAACAACATAATCAAGCTGCTGGCTGTCGTGAGGGTAACTGGGACTGATAGAGCAGTTTAATGACTGTACTGTGAGACTGAGGAGACAAGGAGACACCAAGCAATGAAAGTGATCTCAATTCACTGAGGTAACATAAATCCTCTTACCATCTGCCTCTTGTTCTCTATCAGATGAGCACCGATAATTCCCAGAAAAGAGCCAAAGCCCAGCTGAAAAGGAGAGAAAACAGCTTTTAGGGCGTTTATCTAATAAAGCTTTCATTTCATAGCACAGTGGATTGAATCAAGTGTTTCTGTGAATCCCCGGAGAGCTATTTTCACAATCTTAACATCATTCGTATTTAAGATAAGCATAAAACTTGTTTATTTACTATAATTTGAGTGTTTAGCTTGTCTTAATCTTATGTTTACCTCCTCTTTTACAAATCACAATAAATCTCTGTGATAGATTTCCCTTTAGTTAGTGTAATTTTGCATTTGTAAGATTTATGAGCAGCATGTTTTATTTCCTCATTTGACAACTTCAGTAACTTCTATTTGATGTTGATGGTCTGTGTGATAAATCTGAAGGATTTTGTGTTTGAGCAACAGGAAAGATCTCCAGAAATGTAACTTCATCTACTGTTTGTTTTTTCTGATTGCCGTTTAGTGAAAAAGGCTGCATGCTAAAAGCCAATAAAACCGAAGAAAAAGGCATTTATGGGCTGGGAGACTTCGCCTCACTCAGCCTCTAATGACAGTGATGCTGAATAATGAATGTAGAGGGGAATTCACCCCTCAGAGACCTTCAGTAATGAGGATCATCAGAGTCCAGAGCAGAAGGAGCTCACTTCAAACAATGTCTCTTCACTCATTAACTCTGACAGTGAACAGACTAATTCCAAGGTGTGACTGCGCACTTACAATGACTCCTGGGTAGTAGCCGCCTACGGTAATGTTCTGCGTCCTGGTCGTTGCTGCCAGGCCGAAGATGAGGATGAGCACGGAAACGATGAGCAGCAACACCGTCACTATAATTGATTTCCTCTTTCTCCTCTTAAAAGAACCTACAACACAAAAACAAAGTGAACAGTTACTGCTAATGCTCTCATCAGAGTAACTCGCCGTAACCTGTTAAGTGTTGAGAAATAAAAAAAGAGATCAACAAAGACACTGATGGGGTGGGAAGTAGCTAAAAAGGCTTGTGACTGGACAGTTTCTCTCTCGCATCGAGCATAAAGATGTTGATTCTGGCGAAGGATCTTAGCACATTAATGAAACCAAGATGTGGATGATTCCCGAAAGTGGAATTTCTCAAGTCTTTGAAGTAGACATGACTCAACCGGAACAAAATCAGTGTCACAATAAAACAAATGATAGCTGTGAGGTTGTTGATTCACGCTGCCAGGTCGCCGAGTTCTGATGAAACACATTGAATCACTTCAAAACTCATACGCATAAAATATACCCCAAGATGTTTTTACAACCTTTAATCCAAACTTCACATTGTAACTAAAAAATATAATATTGATATAATACTACAGAATATTGTTCAAAATATCTTAATAACATTGAGGACTTTCTACTCGGGCCATGTACTAGAAGGGATGTGGTATTATTGGGTTAATGTGATAATGTAAACTAACTTATACACTGTGATGTTTTGAATCTATTTTAAGAGAAGTGTCATACAATGATAAACAGGCTAAAAAATGATATTATTACATGAAAGCAGTGTGATCTACATTTGTTTTTATGATGACAGAGACTTCCACTTGTATTTTCTCCTCCATGAGAAGAACATGTAAAGTACCCTTTAACAGGTAATGTAGTACCACTTAGGGTGTCCATAATGCTGAAGAACTGTACTCCATCACATTCAGCTAACCTCCTCCCTGTGTAGATTTGCCCCTGCCCCCATGACAGCTCAAGTTTGCTGTTGAGAGTTTAAATGCATTTTATCTTTTTATCCAAAGATTAAATTGAATTAAAGGATGCTGTGTGAAATGTTAAAAAGGGCAGAATATGTAAATCGTTACATGCAGTTTTCAATGTTTGTCAAGTCTAGACTAAAGACAGGCCAGTTTATCACATAGACTTTATATTACAGATCAACGCTGTTGGAGTTTATGCAGAATATGGTTTGGAAATGTACAAGTTCTCCCCTGAAAATAGGCAGTGTCTTGATGGTAGCTCATGTTGTCACCAAACCTGTATTTGTTCAGCATTAATTGGACCTTCCCAGACGTGTAAGCTACTTATGTATCTCTTTACCAGCACAGATGCTGATAACAGGTCAGGTGGTCCCTCACCTCTTTCGATAGTAAAATGTGGATTTCATGATTTCCAAAAAGAATGTCAAAACTTGTATCATTAAACCACAGGACAGCTTTCTACTTTGTCCCGGTCCATTTGTGAATTCTACATACCCTGTTCTTGGGAGATAGATCTTGGTAAGTGAGTTTAAACCTGTACAGTGAATTCCACTACAGAGTCAAGCCTGTTTTTGACACCAAACGGCCTAGAAATCATTGCCATCCAGAGCTGGTTTTGGGCCTTGTTCCTTTTATAAAACCCTTTTTCTAGATTCTCTGAACCTTTTAGTATCATGTACTGTAGATGATGAAATCCTCAGATTCTTTGCCATGTTACTCTGAGGCACGTTGTTTTTAAATTGTTGAACTATTTGCTCTCATAATTCCTCACATAGGGGTTTACCTCCTGTAATATTTACTTCAGAGAGAGACAGAGTGTTCTTTGTACACCGCTGCCTTTCTAATCTGTTGCAAACTAACTGAATAGGGGATGTTGTCTGCATCTTAAGTTCTCTAAAACATGTTGCTTAAATGAGCATATGTATTTCATAAAACAATTACATTTTTCTGTTTCAATGTTATATTTTGTCTTTGCACTATTTTCAGTTAAATACAGTCTTTAAATACTTCATAAACCATCGATTGCTGATTTTAACAACTTCTTCACACTCTCTGACTTTTTACAATTGGAGTTTTTAAACACAACCGCTTGACACAAATTGCACCTGACAGAGCCAGAGGCTTTCCCACACGCAGTCAAATAGTCTCTGAGACTGTACTCCTTTAAACTACTTAGATTTAAAACAGTTATCTGAGCCTCCTCCCAGAGGGCATCTCTTCAAATGGAAGAGGTGCTGGGTGAGAATCATCTCTAACAATATTCATCAAGGAGAGAGAGAGAGACTCTCAGAGAGCTTTCCGTAATTGTAGATGCAGTCTTCAGCATTTTGTCTAATGTCTTTGTTTCATCAGGAGTATTTAGCAAACCAAACCACGATAGGGGATGGTCAGTCTACTTTTGCTCGTGTTTAAATGTTTCTGTTCAACTATTCAGCATTTTCAGGTAAATCGCGGCGGCACTATCAACGACAAAAGATAATCTTTGTCACTCCTTTATTCTGTTTTTATACGTGGCCACAGGCAGACGTCACTGCAACAGAACACTGATGCTCCAACCTGGAGATCAATACGAAGTACATCAATGCTCATCACTGCACTGGGCCGGAGCCGCAGCATATGGTTTCAGTCAAATGTTGTCACCATGATGCCAGCACAGTGAAGGACACAGCCTGTCATATTATTTATTCAGAAACTTTTATAAAACTGCAGCTTTAAGAATAAGAGTCTTCACGTTTTGAGATGTTACTCTGTATTATTAGGCTGCATAACTGCTCACTGAAACAGCACACTAAACTATTACATCATGGCATCATTGCCAGCAAACAGTTTGCAAATTTTTGCTTCTAAAAATAAGAATGTTTTGTTTTACCAAATGCCACCTGACTCCACCCTATTTGCACCCAGGCTCATTCATGGTGTGAATTTCTTGTGAAAAATATTCAGAGTTTAATGGCTGTACTGAAGCCCGGGTGTTTAAAATCAGTGTATTTGTTAGTGTTGTGTCGTTCGCAACCAGTCATTCAAAAGGACCGAATCTTTTGAGTGAATGTACTGAACCTTCCTCGAGTGATTCGTTCGTTTCTCACTTCAGTTGAGCTAAAGTGAGAAACAGCATTGCCAGGCGAGCAGTCAGCGAACGAGGGACCGCATGCACCAACACCTGAATCACTTGGTGAATGAATCGCACATTGAACTACACTCTCTGGAATCATTTTTGTCTGACAGAACTACCTTTTTTTTTTACCGCTAAATTGCCACCACAACAACTTGCATACAATAGGACACAGTATGTAACAAGTAGTGCATTAAACCCGCAGCAGGGAACGGAGCAAGTTCAGTTTGAATTCTTTTAAACGTTCAGTGAACGAATCACTCACTGAGCCCAATTAACCGAGCAGACCAGATAAACAGCATACCATAGGACAGTACACTTAAAACATCAGGACTTATAAACAAGTTCATTTGTACAAACCTGTTTGCCAAAGTAACACAAACAAACACTCTCGTCTCCCAATCCCAGAAGCTTTGAATTGAACTGAATCCTGAAACGTTCAGCTATGTATCAGTTCAGGAGGTCGAAGTCGCAGGCTTCAAGCTCTACATGATTCAGTGATTTAGTGAATGAATCTTTTGAACTAATCTTGTTAGTGAACTGATTCTAGTGATTCAGTACATCTAAAAGAACTGCCGTGCCCGTCACTAGTATATGTAGCCCTTTAATGCCTGAAACCACAAATTATGGCCAGAAAATTCAAATTGAAAACTGAAATCAAAACGTCCTCAAAATTTAACAACTATATTTATTGATCTCATTTGGTACATTAGATGTTTTTGGAAACTTATAAACTACAAGAGGACACTTTTATCATTTATCTGACTGTATTCGGGTGTTTTTTAGTCATTTGTTGATTTGATAGATGTATATAAAAGTCTGTATCAAAGGCATTAAAGGGTTAAGTAAAATAAATGTATTTTTAAGTAAGCAAGATGTAACCCAGAGACAGGTGTAGCATCGAGTGTTGATAGGTGAAGTGACAACCTCTCTTTTTGCCTCATTGGAATAAGACGTTCAGACCTGACATGGATGATCTCACTCGTGGAGACTTCACAAAAGAACTCTGGAGCCTCACTCGACCGTGATACCTGTTTGAGGCTCTGCGGATACTGAGCCTCAAACAGAGACAGATTTTCGCTGATCTGTCATTAAATAAACGGGGCGTTTTTCCCCTCTGTGGTTGAAGCTAAACATCCTGCCAAAATCAGCGTCAGACTGTTATCCATCAGAGACAAACACTCGAGGTGCTGGGGGGTTACTCAACGTCGCCGCACCTGCAGTGACGCGCTGCGGCCTGGAGCAGAGGAAAAAAACACGATACAGTGATGCAACGAGTGTTTTTGTCTACCTTTGAGAGCTGAAAACCGATGCTACAGATAGTGAACGACACACTGACAAAAATCAAATGGCAGTATTTTGTCTGGATTCAACAATCCCCGCATTTTGGCAAAATTGACACATTATCTAATTGATAAAAACTGCTGCAGACGCAACGCTGACCTTGCACATAAATACATACCCATGCTTGTTTCAGACAGGCTCAGTCCACTGGATTGAAGGCTCTGAGCAGCAGCAGGCATGCTGGCTGGCTGGCTGGCTGGGAGATGTTAAGCCTCGTCCTTTGGCGATCCTCTTGCAATATAGTAAACAATCACGACTCAGTCAGTGGTCTGCGGTTTATATTTAGGAGCTAGTAACTGTGTACAGTCGTGAGCTGACGTAGCTGACGGTGTGCTCGCTTGTTGTTGTTGCATTCTCGGACTGTCACCCTCCGTCTCCACTGAGCCCGGGGCGGCTCATTTACATCCCCGCGGCTGTTGACGCGGCAGTCGGTCTCTGCTCTCGCGGCGAGTCGGTCTGAGTCAGTGGGTCGTTTGTGCTGGATGTGTGTGCGCATGTCACAGACATACTGATACAGACAAACCCCGGACAATCACGGGAACAATTGTTTTTTCGAAGTAAAGAAAGGACAGATCAACACAAAATAAATAAGCTAGTCTATTCAATCACTTGCTTCGATTTTTTACTCAGCATTGTAGTCTACGGTGGCCGAGAACCGCCACTGCTGCAGATAAAAAAGAATGCAAAAAAAAAAACAAAAAAAAACGGAAGTCACAATGGAAGTTGCTGATACAAAAGGAAAAAAAGAAACCGAAGCAGGCTGTAAAAAAAAAAAAAAAAAAAAAAAAAGCCACAACAGAAGTTAACGACACCAAAAAGAAAAAAGAAAAAAAAATAGTGATAGGGAAAAAAAAAATACTGCAAAAAAATAGGAGGCAAATAAAAAAGCCACAACAGAGGTGAGTACATACAATGGACAACTCCAGCATATTGATTTTTAGCCAAAAAGCTCTCGTATTTCCACGATCTTTCTTCATTTCCTGAAACCAACATTGCGCAGTAGCATTGTACGTACTTCAACACTTGCGCAGTTGCATTGTACGCATTTGGCAGGAGAGTCGCCGAAAGTCACTGTGATGATGCTCAACTCAAACGGCTAGCCCCTGGGTGAGCTACGTAATCTACATACGCCCATAGGCTGTATCAAGTGTCAATCATAGAAAACACAAACCCCCTAATAACTTTTAAAAACTGAGCTGTACAGAAAAAAGAGGACTTGAGCACAAACTGGTCTTACAATAACTACGTCAACACCGCAACTAGGGGGGAGAAAAAAATCATATTCTGTGTAATAAATTTCTAGATTGTCCACAGCTCCATAAGCTTTGCTGGAGGAGGCAGGATTTATGACCAATACTCCAGCCAGTCAACAGAGGGTGCTGTTCTCAGAGTGGCTTCACCCAGAGAGGAGGCAAACGCTGTCCATTCTATATACAGTCTATGTGATGCACCAGTGTTTTACGATCTAGGCACAGACGACGACGGCGAGAAGACGAGCCAAGAAGTAAGTGGAAAGGTTATTGTTTAATTTCATGTGACATGGCCTAACCAAATGACACATTGAAAAGTTTACAAAGTGAATTTAAACAATAACCTTTCCACTAACGTCTTTGCTCGTCTTTTCGCTGTCGTCTTCTGTTCCACAGATCATAAAACACTGGTGCATCATCATTATTGGTCCCCGGCAGCTCCCTTCTGTTGTGGCTTTTTTCATTTGCATCCTTTTATTTTCACAGTAAGTAACTTTTTTTTTTTTTGCATAGCCACTTATTTATGTGTCGTTTACTCCCATTCTGGCTTTTTTTTTTTTGCATCCTTTTATTTCTGCAGTAAGTTACTTTTTTTTTCCATCACCACTTTTTTTTGCGTCATTAACTTCTGTTGTGGCTTTTTTTTTTATCTGTACAGATTCTTTTTTAATTTGCAGCGGGCTTTGTTTTTTTGTTTTTTTTTTTTCTTTTTTTTTCATCAGTAACTTCCGTTGTGGCTTCTTTTTTTTTGTATTCTTTATTATTTGCAGGAGTGGTGGTTCTTGGCCACCGTACAAAACACTTGCTTTGATTTTTTTTTTTTTTAACCTGCATTGTAGCCTATTAAACGAGTGCAACTGATGCTGATGAAAAGTTAAACTTTCCTAGGAATATATAAAAGCTTTACTGAAACTGTATCAGTAGCTTTCATGACCTCAAAAACCACCAGGCTGCCGACCTAACTTACCATGGTGTTAAAACTCAGGTTCAGTGTGTTTGCAGGCTGTTTGTGGGCCTAGCTCTGGTACAAGTGTCTGGGTCTCTGACTGTCTTGAGGCACAATTTAGAGGAGTCAAGGCTGAACCACAAGCGCCATCTTCTGTCAGAAACAAAACATTACAGAACAGGTAAGAAGCAGCACATGAATAATCCACCAGAGAAAGTTACATGGCAGGCCAGTGAAGCATTTAAAGCAAACACACTCCTATACGTTATTTTACAGTTTCAGTCGTATTAATATCTCTTCTTGAATCTATAGACCTGATGACCAACCCTGATAACTGTCTGACTCCCAAACCATGATTGTGCTTCTAACCAACATGTGCTTCTAACCTTCACAGACTCCATGAATTGATGCCCATCTCCTAAATATTTGGTCACATGATTGATTTCTTTTACCATTTCCAAGCAACAGGGTATGGCTCAACTTATCCCACTCCCCCCTATACCAGTTTGCATCTTGAACTGTTAGATATTGCTCAACATATTGCACACAGTATAATAGAATATTACAAATAATAGCTTAATGTACAATGCATTATCAGTATTGCACTCTTTGATTATTGAAGTTTTGACCCGTTAACAATCAGTTGAATGTAATTATATGAGTGGAGAAGTTTGCAGCTACTGCTGGAGAGATAATTCCAGTACCAGATCAGAGTGTGTACCACCCAGAGAGAGGAGGTGTAAGGTTTGATGGCAAGCCCACCTTCATTTTTGACGGACTACAGTGTGACTCGTTGTGCAACAACTATGGTTACAGAATAAATGCCAAGAAAAGACAGGCAAGTAACATGCTTACATAGCTGTCTTGATACCTGAAGATACTGTATGTGAGTTACATTTTGTGCCCCATGGCATACAGAGGATGCTCTTTATTTTTTTTTATTCCTGCACCTTAAACAGCCTGATAATGTCCCTGACTCCTGTGCTGAAAGAGGAAAAAAAGCACATGCACAGTGAAGGGGGAGTGTGAGGTCAATATACTCTGTTCTGCAGCTCACTTGTGCCCCCAGCAGATTACCAGCCAAGGAACCTCCTTTACTCTCTTGTAAGGACAAGGCTCGTTCAGATGCAGTAAAGACCTGCATTGAAATTACATGTTTTAAGTGATTTGCTTTAAAAAAAAATCTTCAATGACGTTTCCTGATGAAGCTGCAGTTTTTTCTTTGCACATGCCTTTGCACAAGAGTGGCCTATACGCGCGCACACATCCAGAGGAACACGTGCACGTTTTTGCCGCGCAAATCTCAAAGGAGAGATTTTTTCCATGACGCAATTTCTTTTGACTTGTACAAAGGAGAGGAGGGGGGGAACAAAACTGTCTCAAAAGTTCCCCCTCGCCCACTTTTACATGGGGGTAACAGAGCGTTACGTGACCGGAGTGCAGATAGGTTCAGGGTTTGAGGAGGACTACTTGATCTTCTGTATAGAGGGGAGCTTCTGGTTTGCAGCAACAAGAGTAACTGCAACTGGATTAGTATGCATGCATGTGCTGGAACAATACGTCTGATTCTTGATGCGTGTGTGTTTCATGTCAATTTTAGTCTATGAGGAGTCAATTAGAGTCATAATGAGAAAAAATACATATGCATCGTGAGAGTCTACAGTGCACGGATAGCGGTGTATGCATCAAGACAGAGATTGATAACTGTGTCTTGTGTTGGGAAAAGCTATAAATATTGTATTCAGGCTTCAGTCTTAGGCAGACAATGGCTCATGGTGTGCGTGTACTGAATGCAGTGCTGTGGTCCTGGCGGCTGCCAAAACGTCTTTGGGACCAAATTAAAAAAAGGAAAAAAGAAGCACTTTGCATCCCACCCCCAGTTTTCCTCTGTCCTGCGTTCATTCACTAAGATGCGCGCCTAGTTGAAGGAGGTTCTCCACACCCGCGTGCCTAAAACTTTCTAATGAAACCCCCCAAAACTTTTTGACGAACATTATTTTTGACGCTCTGGAGGTCAAGAGGGTTGTCGACGTATTAACCCGCGTCTTTTATTGAAAAGAAAACTTCAGGTATGTTAGAACTTTCATCGAATATGAGGAACCAATTCTGATGACAGATGACTTTTGGTTTGTTGTTTTAAGAAGTAGCCTGATAGTGCTGAGAAACTTTTTTTCTTTTATTTTTTTTTTCTTTTAGTAGAGCTTAGTAGCTTTAGTTTCAGTTGCACAGAGGTAGATGTGATTGGCTTAACAAGTACCTTCTCTGTCTGTGAAGAACATGGAGCCCAGTTCCACAGAGGGAGGAGCTGAAGAGACGCTCCCCAAAAGTTACCCACCAGGTCTTGTAAGTGCTGAAATTAAACAGAAAACACACAACTTTTAACCTAATTTCTTCCCTTTAGCACATTCTTCTTCTTTTACATGCAATTAAAGTTATTTTTACAAACACTACTATCATCATTTACTCAGTAGTCAAGCGCTTTCATCTGCTGAATACTCAGACTCATAGCATTCTTATAAACAATTTACGTCAGATTCTTTAAAAGGTCAGTTTCTCACGCATGACTTGTGTCCTGTGGCTCCTCTGGGATCTGTGTGTCCTGGCCTGAGGATGCTGAGAGTCAGTGAATAACATCTGGCTGTCAGAGTGACCCTCCAGCTCTGCTGTCTGCAGCTGCTGCTCCAAGCAGGAGGGTCCACTCAGAGGAGGTCAGCTCTCCCAACGAGTGCCACAAAGGTCACCAGCGGGTTTATAATTTGCAGAAACAGGCGACAGGACCTGCAGTGTGATGTTCATTAATATGCAGAGCGCTCTCTGGTACTTTGTAGCATCGGTCATACTCGGAGCAGAAGGCATGCCATTTTTATTCCTGTGGTAATTTGAAAGAAAAATAGGGTCGACTGCAGAACGTAGCAGTTGAGAATATGTGTGGTGAGGGCTTTTTTTTCTCTTCTTCTTTCCACCAGCCTCACAAAGTGATGCTCAAACATGGACAAGAGCTGGAGGAAGAGCAGGAGGAGTTGGCCGAGCACCAGCCTCTGGAGCAGGAAGACCTGAATTTTGAGAGGTGGAAGCGTAGGCCGATACCACAGAGGACACTGCACCAGAAAATAGACGACCTGAAGACGTACCTGTGGAATGCAGAGACCAATGAATTCATGGGTCGCTCTGGGAAGAGCTGGAGTGAGTTAAGAGGAAAAAATAGGTTCTCTAATGTTAGGATGTGGAAAAAGGAAGTACTTTAACGCTAACTTTACTTTTACTGCATGATTTTAAGAATTACAGATCTGATGTTTGAGTGATTCGCTTCATTTAGTTTTAAAAAGGCTTTAAAGCACATGAGTTTTTAAAAGTTGGATTAGTTTAAGGGCTGAGAAATGTCTTCCAAGAGTGTGTGTGTGTGTGTGTGTGTCCGAATGCTCAATGTTTACATAGGTGCATGGACAATTCAGAGTGTCCCGACAAAAACAGACTGCCTGGGGACGCATCCCCAGCGGGAGCGCGCTGTTCTGGGCCTTGCATTGGCCAGGAATCACATTCCTCATCATCTTACCATGCTCTCCAGTGCCTCTTTCCCAAAGCCTCTGGCGACCTCCTTGCTGAACTTAGCATGCTTATGGCCTCTCAGTTGCAGTGAAACACGTAGAGGTGTCTTTTTTTAAGTCCACATAGCTCTCTGCCAAACTGAGCTTTGGTGCAGACAAACCTTTTTTGGCAGAAGTGACAGCCTGGACCAGTTTGTCGAGTCAATGATGATGGGGCAGCCTCTTGGTATTCCAGAGAAGCTGCCATCTGACGCAGGCAAGCTCCCCTCCCTTAACTCCACTGTACACAATGGCAAACATGATCCAACTGTGTGTTAAGAGAGAATATCCGAGCAAAGTGTGCGTTACTTGCACAAGCTCAGATGCAGGGCTAACAGAGCTCATTTCAGCCACATAACCAGTGTGCACACTTGAAGCGAAGGGAGTGGGGCCCAGTGTGTGCGATGAAGAAAAGACCCTGAGTTGAAGTCTATGCTGTGTGTCCTGTGAGACGAGTGTTTAAGAGGACACAATACCAGAGTGGGGTGATTGGGGCTCCTTGGAGCTGGCTGAGCCTCTATGGCTGCAAAAGACCTTCACTACGATGGCAACCGGAGGTTCACTGTGTTCCTAAGTGAAAGGACAGCTGGGAGAATTCTCACTGAGCTCAAACAGAAAGGCCTTTGTGGCTCTGGGGACGCAAGGCTGGCTGTAGCTAGTCCCCTGTGAAATTGCCCGAACAGCAAAAGCCATTTCATTTAGGGCACGTTTGTCTTGATTAGTTGCTAATGGACTATTTAATTGATAATTGCACAACAGTGATACTTTTCTTGGCTTCTTTCTTCTTCGGGTTCTCACATTAGCTCAGTGCAGTGGAGTTCATACCAGGTTTTCCCAAGTCTAGACATGCTTTTGTATTTATGAACGAATTAGTGAGTGTCCTGATTGAGGACAGTAGCCGAAGTTCAGACAGACCACACAGTCTGAGGAAAAGAGTCTTTATGGGTCATTGTTTTCCTCCTCTCAGATCAGCGGCACTGTTTATTCAGACATGTGTTATATAAGCCAATTACAACATCAGAAATATCCCCCCTCCTAACTTTCTCCCCTCCTCTTCTAGGCCTCATCCTCCTCTTCTATGCTGCACTTTATATGTTTCTGGCAGCCATGTTTGGCGGCTGTTTGTTTTGCCTCATGTGGTCAATTAGTCCCTACCACCCCACCTTCAACGATAGAGTGATGCCACCAGGTAAATATAACCCTGAACGCAGACTACGTCACCCCAATCTTTTCTGCACTTTTGTCTGTTGCTTGTACTTGAGTCTCAGCACAGTTGACTGTCTCTGGGTCTCCACTGGCAGGTATGACGATGGCCCCACACCTAGAGGGCCACGAGATCGCCTTCAATGCCTCCGATCGCAAATCTTGGAAGAAGTATGCAAGAAATATGGATGAATACCTAAGATGTGAGTCAGTGGGGATGAGATTTGGGGATTCTGATGAAGTTGCCGGGTTTGAAACAGGCATGCAATGAGTTAATCCTCATTTTCACCACCTTTGTTCCCGTTTTTCATTTGGTTCCTGCAGGGCATGCTGGGAAGGGAAGCCTCTTTGTGGGCAGAGTGCAGCCATTCAATGTATTTTTTTTAAACGCCCAGCTTTTGTCAAGCTTCCTTAATCAGAGGCCTGAGTCTGGCAGGGCATTGCTGTAGCGAGGGTTTATTTATGCCCTCCCCCTCCCTCCCCTCTCCTGTTTTTTTTTCAGCGTATAATGATGGTGCTCAAGACAGGAAGAATATTCGCTGCTCACAGGACAGATACTTCATGCAGGACGACCTGGAGGAGAGTGCAGAGCGGAAAGCCTGTCAGTTTAAGAGGTCCTGGTTGGGGGACTGTTCGGGGCTGCAGGACCCCCACTATGGCTACTCTCAGGGAAGGCCATGCATCCTCCTCCGAATGAACCGGGTAAGAAGAGTGCAAATCTGTGGAGCAGAAGAGAGACCATAACAGAAACTGACTGTAGTATTCTCAATCAGGGACACCTTGTGGTCATTTCAAACACGTGAATACATGCAGAATTTTATCTTCCTGGAAAGGACAATCTATTTTATTTTAACGTTTATGTAACAGGGACAGTACATACAACACTGCCACAAAAAATGGAACAGCTAACTTGCAGTCTTTGTCCCTGGTCAGGCTTTAGTGTAGGATAAAATATACTGAATACTATAATACAACTTTAGTGGATGGATAGGTGACATGAATAAATAAACACAGCAACACAATTTAAGCAAACGTTTGGATGCCATTTTTATCATTACCATTAAAATCCTCCAACTGTAGTTAGCTTTAAGCAAACACAACTACAGCATGTGCATCTAACAAAAGGCATTCAAAGAGAGATGATTTAGCAAACTGCGTGCAACCAAAAGTTGAATTGCACTGACACTTTTTATTTTCTTCAAAAAGATTCTTGGTTACTTACCTGGCCAGGGCAAACCAATAAACGTGACTTGTGGAGTTAAGGTAAAGTAGATACACACCTTCTTGCTCGTGATATAATCTCGTATGTATAAAACCGTCACGTAAGTGTCTCTGTTCTCTCTTTCAGAAAGGGCCTCCAGAAGCTTTGGGGGAAATACAGTTTTTTCCCAAAAGCTTTTTCGAACTGAAGTACTACCCTTACTATGGGAAGCTCAGACACGTGAGTGAGAGTTTCATCCTTGTAACGAAACATGAACACGTCATTCAAGTCCAAAATGACAACCATTTAAACCCATGTGTTTCAGGTAAACTACTCTTCACCGGTGGTAGCTGTGCGTTTCGCAGGATTGCAGTACGACACTCACTTCCAAATACAGTGCAAGCTGAATGGAAAGGGCATCATCAATGATTCACCCACTGACCGCTATCTGGGCAGTGTCACCTTTTCCTTGGATGTCGGAGCGTGAACAGGAGGTTCTGACAATGAGGCATAAAAATATACACAAAAGGTTGATGATATACCATTTTTTTTTCATGAATTATGAAATTACCCTCGCCTCACCTTTACTCAAATATCCATGTTTTTTGCTGTGAAACAAATTCCTTGAGAATTAGCTATTTACTTGTGTGTTTCTGATGTATCTTTGTACCTTGAGCATGCTATTGGCACCTGCACACCAAACACACAGTGCTGAGCACAGGACAAGTGCGTAGAGTGAGTTGCAATTCCTGATAATTCATAATGATTAGTAGATTAATCAAACTAAAGTAAACTTTGCCCAACAGGTAGCAGTTTTGGCTATGCAAATCCAATTATGACTTAAACATTAAACAGCGATTAGATATTATGTTTATCAAATTAGATAATGTTTTTGTGTGAATTTTTTCAATGTGATAAAGCGTACTAATTGTTTTTGGGTTTGCATTATATTTTTTAAACATGTATATTGTGAGAATTCAAAGAACTATCATGCAAACACTGAGAGCAGGACTTGTACTGTACTTACACAGTAAAAAAATAAATGATTGCAAATACAGTATTACTTTATTTTTGTCAAGTAGAGTAGTGTTATACATTTATGATAAAGCATCACATGCCTCTTCGCTCCCGCTTTTGTAAAAACATTTGCTTTTGAGAATGATATACTACATGTGACTGATCAATGAAGAGAGATCCCATACTGTGAAATAGTTTGTAAAAGGTCAGTACCAGTTAAGTAAAAAGTAACTGTTTCCTTGTAGTACTAATCCTGCCTGAACTGTGCCACTAAACCCGGTATCAATGTTGTATTTATTCAAATGATAGTTCTTGTAATAAATACAGAGTCCTCTTATGAAGCTTTGCTGTAGATTTTTTTTCCACTTGGTCTTTGGAGCTTTTGTCGACTGAAAATTTTCTTACAATCTTCACAAATGGTCTTGTCAACAAACATTACAAATAGTTAAACTTTTGGGAAAGTGTGGGTATAGATACATTTTCCCAAAAAAACTTTAAAAGTATGATTTTATTTGAAAAAGTTTGCACATAGCCAATGAAACACTGAAGGCAAAATTAACCCCTGAAAGGAGAGGTTAAGTCAGATAAAAATGAGAGGAGGTTCACTGCTCTGTGAGTGTGCATGAGCAATTATTCTTCAACGTATTCTGCCATCAAGACAAGATTAAACCACATTCAACACGACTTCTGAAAGCATAAAGTACAAGAGTCCAGGTACTTGAGTGGCCGGTCCTGACCTGTCACTCATTTAAAACAAAAATCATGACTGTTGACTAACGGAAATCCTGTCAGGAAACATTTCACTTCAGATCAAATCCCCTGACACTTTTCTTTGTGCCCCAAAGTCGGCAGTTTTACCCAAGAGGAGGTAACACGATGGTAAATATACCCAACTGTTTTGGAACGTGTTAGTTAAACAGTCACCGATAATCTGCCGGCCGATCGGCGCAGATTTCCTCAATTCTGGGGGATCGGTGATCGGCTGATCCTTACATATGAAACTGATTTTATCCACCCATCTTATATTCCTCAGCAAAGGTCTGAAAGTAAGCCATTGTAGCTTTTTGCTTTACTAGAATGAGAGACCCATCCACCAGGTCACGTGTGCGAACACGCGTGCATCAGCGCGTAATCTCTGAATGGTTTACTATCAATCCGATTCTGATTACAGTTTGATCCACGAGCAAATGCAAAATTAGGTTAGCCTAGTTCAGTTTGGCCTCATTATCGACAAAGTCATAGCTGTAGGAGCTCAAACACCCTGAACAACATCAAATGTAGGTTTATTTTTTTATGTGACAATAACATTGTGCCCATATCACAGTGTGACCTCTAAAAAATGAGAGGAAACAGTTCAAGCAGACCATAAGGTCATAAAAAAACACAATTGCCCAGAGTTATATGGGCAGTTTGAGCAATCTCAGCAATCGACTTTGCAGTGGAAATATGACATATTACAACCTGTTGACCTTTGAATTCAGTTTTTGTCACAAGAGACTCACAAGCTTTTGTTCTACAACTGAGCAGTAAAAATCTTTTTTAAAAAAATGACAGTGATACAAAACAAGAACGAAACTTTATTTAATTTGTTCCCCACTTGTGTTTAACAAGCTCATCCTATCACATTCTTCATCAGATGGAGACAAGCTTCAAGCAAGCAACTCAGAGGTGCACAACAGAAAGGCACGAAACTGTCTGGGGTATGTGTGTGTTTGTGTGTGATCGAATGTACAGAACATAAAGAGAATTACGTCAGTGTTAACTCTTGAACTGCTCGTACTCATTATGTTATCGTCAAATCAATGATCTATGAAGATTGAGGTGAGGTGTCAAACATCCATGTGTTTAACTTTTGAATTAACACAGGTTCATAAAGGAACACAAAATGTAGTCAACAAATACTGATCTTTAAATCGAAGTGTACACTAAAATAAAGTAAGCTTTTAGTCTCGACAAACACCTAACATCACACGTTAAAAAATAAACAAAAAACTGGTCCCATTGCTGGTAAAGTGTCGTGATAACTTAGCATCCCTTTTTCCAAGCTACGATTAAGTGACTACATGTGCAACACTTTCATTGAGCTGTTATTTTATGTCAAGTTGTGGTTAAAGAAACATTTAAAAACAGTGAGAACTGGACGGGGAAATGAATGACAAAGTGTTTCTATTAGCTTGCTCGTACATTCACGTCATCAAAAATCAATGTCATTCATTCTATACAAGAGAGAAATTTACATGGATACTATTGTACAGCACAGAAATCGAGAGGGAAAAGCCTCTCTGGGGTTGGGAGGGGAGAGGAGCGCTCTGGGGAGGAGGTGGGTGGCCAAACACAGCCATGAATTTAAGTTTAGAAACATGCAATCTACAATCAAACAATGCAATATTGATCATAAATGTTTTGGTACTTGTTTCTGTCATTGGCATAGAAGCAAAACAAAATGAAACTATTGGAGGTTGTTGCTGGGATAAATTTGAAGCTGTGTATGAGAAAACGGTTATTTTGGGGGAGGGGACAGAAGAAAGCAGGAATTAAGGTTTCTTTTTTCGGATGCACCGACGGGCAGCGGAGTGATTCAGTGGACATTTTTAGGGAGTTGTGAGAGTTGAAAGGGTGCAAGAGGCAGAAGCAGCCGTGTTCGGATTATACGGACTGGTAGCCGGTGCGACTCTTCCTTCGGCCAATTAGGTAAGAGATAAGCACAAGGACGATTAGGAAGCTGAGTGCCACGCCCACTGCGATGGGCACTAAAAAGCTCAAATCAGAGTCCAGGAAGCATTCTTCAGCTGACAGATAAAGACAGAGAGGAAACAAACAGAGGGTTAGTGGTTTAGTTTGCTGAAAACACACAAAAAAAGAGGGAGAAAGGATGTTAACAGTCCACAAAGGGGTTAGAGAGGAAAGGACAGAAGCAAGTTAGGATTTCAAACCTACAAAACAAAGGTGGAATCAGCTCTGTGAATGCAGTGTGGATTACAGGATAGGTTATTAAGATACCCCAGAGGCACAAGAAGGAAAACACTCAAGTCGTCAGTACTTATTATTCTGCATGAGCTCCACGATCAGGTGGAAATTAGATTGTTAGAGAGCCAGTTGTACAATCAGGGAAAATGCCTAATGCTTGGCAAATCCAGTGGCAGCATCTTTCCCATCTTGTCAACAGCATGAAACACTACATAGAAAGATCAGTACAACCCAAGTTGGAAATTTCTTACACTTAAAACATAGACAGCAAAGCAAACAGCCAGCGATTCAGCAACTCATCCTCTGTGCACAATTAGTTTTTTCTTTTTAATCAGGTGAGTTTATCTAGAAAGACTCGTAGCCGGTGGCCGCGTTTCTCTTTCTCCCGATGAAATAGGCCGTCAGAACGATAAGAATGAGAACAAGCAGGGCAACGCCGACAGCTATGGGAACAAGGAAGCTCTCTGCATCAGACCGGCATTCCACAGCTGGACGAAAAGTGAAGAGAGCAGAGAGATGAATGTTTTACAGGCTGAACAGTAGACTTCAGATAAAAAAAAGAAAACATGGTTAATGCCTGAAAGGAAGAACCAACCAGCTTTAGAGAAACCAAGGTGTTTTAAAGTATGGACAGTGATACTGAAGAGTTTTTAAAATGAAGGAAGATTAACTCAAGTCTCCAGGGCAGCAACGCATTTTATTTCCATGAATCTTAAAATACTAAAAAGCTCCACTTCAGTCAGACAAACAATTTGAAATCCAAATTTTCACTATTCAACAGCATGAGGGAAAAGAGCTGAAGTCATTTGAATCAACAAAACACACAGATTGATCTTTTTATTACAAGATGGTCTTGCAGCACAAATTCCCTTTGCTGAACATGTATGTGCAGGCTCTTCAACGAGTGAAGGGAAATTAAATGATGAACCAAAACAGCGAAGTCATAGCAGTATTAGTAAGTTATTGAATCATAAAAGAAGGCTCAAATGTGGCGCTGAGAAGCCAATTAGAGGATTTTGCCATCAGCGGTTGGGGAGTTAATCTTGTGAAAGCGAACATTTAAACCGTTGCTGCAAAACCATCTTTATAATTAAGGCAACTGAGTTTGTACACAGCTGAAATACTCCAAGCAGCAAAAATCACCAGAAAATCAAAGCTCGTAATTGATTTACAGCCATTATCTATTAACACGTACAATGTCCTGGGAAAGCAAATTTTATTAAGCAACTTATAAAGCAAGCACTGTCAAGTTCAGCATAGTTTACTGCCTGTTTTCTTTGCCCGAGTCCTGAAGAGTGGAAACTAGGCTAAAAAACGCAGCACTCTGCTCAAATAAGGCAGCAATAAACAGCTGTCACCACTTGTCACATTGGCTTTCTGTCAAAGAAACACACACGAGGAACTTGCCTCTGTCTGAAACACAGCATCAATGTAACCCGCACTAATTCTCCTAGCTGAAAAGCTCCTGAAAACTTACATTTTTCCCTCCTGAATGATTTATTTTGGTTGTTTCCAGACATAACTGTTCTGTGTTTAAGAGAAGCATTGGAGGAAACATTTAAAACGAAGTTTTCAGGAGTTTTTTTGGACCTGTGATGCAGCTGCAGCAGTCCAAGCAGACTATACACAGGTGACATGATGTGACTAGAGTCTTAACATGATGCAAAATATCTAAATAGCGCCTTAGTGCATTTGTAGGCATGTATCTTTTTCTCAGAATTGCCCGTACTGAAAGTTAATATCTACACACCAAATTTCTCCCTTTTCTTAACATAATGCCAAAACGTATTCAACGAGAAAAGATGACCTTGTTTTCCAGATTTATTCTCTGACTGGACCATGTGCAAATTTGAGAGACCTTCTAAAGCAGCAGACATTTTTAAATGGAGTATTAGAAAAGGCTCAGCTTTGAATGAGAAACACCAACTTTTATCTTGTTATGTGGAGTTTTAAAAGTCTGTCAGGGTCTCAAAGCTTGAAACATCTTTTCTTGTCATTACTTTCACCTGGATTTTAGTGCTTGAAAACATCAAAATGTTTTCAGTGAGAAAGGTCACTTTGATTTTACATTCTTAATATGACTGAAGCCGCACAGTCAGTTTCCATGGTTTCCCTGCTCTACAGGGACAAACACTGAGGCATATTTCATTTAGCAATTTTTTCAAATGGAAAAGATGTTAAATCAAAAATCAAAGATAGAAAGCTGCTTAACAATCTGTCGTTGAATTATAAAAGAAATCAAGGGTAAATCACTTCAATTCCGTAATGTAAATATGAATGGGGATGAGAATTCAAACCTTAAAACAAAAATAAAAACTAAAATTGGCTCAATATTCAATAACGACAAAACAAAAACATGATGGGGAATGTTTTCAGAGCAAGTGCAGGATCTGGAGTTCTGATAAAAATGAGTCAACTTAGTGTTCAGAGGTTTTTGTAATGGTATAACTCACTGTGAGTTTAACATCTTTTATGTAATTGTTATTATTACTGGAGTTTTTAAAGATGCCGTCGGGATCTTGCACTTGCTCATTTACAAAAAATCACAACTAAAAGGAAGGACATCAAATAAAACAGCACAAAAACAATCACAAACATTCGGGGTAGACAAGTTTGGTCCTTGAGAAAAACACCAAACCCCCATGTTCAGATGGAATTTAGTCTCTGCATATAAGCACAAAAAAGACCCTCTGACTGCAACTCCAGAGTAGTTTGTTCTCACGACTAATTACTGAGATGGTAAAATCTTGTTTCGCTATAAAACTGCATCTTTGACTCCTTAATCTTTCAATCATATGCCAATTTAGCAATTGCACATGAGACCCAAGGACCAGGCTTGGGTACCCCTTGATATGTCAGGATAGATCACACATTGAAATTAAAGGGTCTGATATCCAACATAAGTCTTTCTTCGACCGATCACGTATGCGATCACTACAATGAGAATCAAGCCAGCCAGAGCAGCACCAACAATGATTGGGATTAAGATGCTGGTGTCATCCAATGAACATTCATGGGCTGCAGATAAAAAGAGAGTCAGTCAACAGGTGGTACAGACAACAAACAATGTCTTCAGAGAGACGCAAGTGAAGCAGTAAAGCAGGTGATTAGATACAGTCTAACTTTGTCACAAACATTTTCTCTGTTTCTTAGCTGTGAGGGATCCCACAGTGGTGGATTTACTAATGGCTCGCTTTGATTCGTTTGAATTAATAAAGCGTGTTCAATAAAACTCACAAAGAAAATCTTGTTCTCAAGTTCAAGAGAAATTAGGCCAAAAAAAACCTGTCAAAAATGCCAAATTTAGATGCATGAAACCAAATACTCTCCCTTTAGCAAACGTCTTAAAGTGAGGTTGAGCAGCTTAATTTGTGGCTGAGTTTAGTTAGTGGCACTTTTCTATTTTTATTAGTACCATGAAAAAAGAAATGACTATGACTCATCTCTGTAAAGTTTAGTCATCACTGTAAAAAAAAAAATCAGTTAGACACGCCTGACGGCCTTAAAGCAGCAAGAAAACGATTCAACAACTTGTGGAAAACAAAGTCAACCCTAGCATCCCGATGTGCTGAAATACAGATATTATGTTTGCTGACCATGGTTCATTCTTTGTATCAACATTACTCATGTTCAGATTATTCTTAAACAATAATAAAATTTGGGCTCTATCACATGAAACCAGCTAACAAGTGAATGTCTATTTCTGCCAAATAAAATATAATAACAGAAGAAGTCATTTAGCTGGGCTTTTGGACATAAAAACATTATTATCTCTAATTATTGTGTTATTTTTGATTAAATAAAATACATTCATAAGGTTGCATGTAAAATACAACCAAATGAAGTGGACTACAACTATTATAAGAGCTGTTTGAAAGGCTTCTCAGCACTAGAGTTGGTATCATTGAACAATTTCATCAATTTAGTTGATTTCAAAACAACAAAACTAATGTCTCTTCAGCTATACAATTTTTTTCCACATGTGGAAAAAAATTAGGGGTGGGAGAAAAAAATTAATTCACATAAGTATCACGATTTTTGTTTTATAATTTTTAAATTGATTTTTATGTTAAAAAAAACTTTTTTTTTTTTCAAATTTAAGAACAAATCTTGAAAACTGCCTTACATGTGGTGTGAATTTTTGGGGGGAAATACGGTTATTGGAATAGTCAATAGACGATCATAATCATTCAACTGTTTCACTGGTGTTAAAAATGCAGACTAAAAATCTAGAAAATCAATAATATTGTAGAATAGCAATTTAAATCGAATCAGGAGAAAAACATATCATCCCAGCCCTCCAGCACATCAAACAGTTTAGTCAGAGTCATGACAGAATATCCTACCTGTACTGAAAACCTCGTTCTTGACCCCGAAGGGCTGCACTCGAAGGTCAAAGGTGAAGAGGGTGAGATTGTTGCTGATGGTGTAGTTCTGCTCTTTGTTGCACATGTAGGAGGCGCCGAGGGCTGCCTCCCACAGACTGAGGTTGGTGTTTGACTCTGAAAAGACAACACCTAGAAAGACACGAATATTCAAACTCAGAAATTCAAGAGTTTTTATCCATATGTCCAACCTATTACAGTATATGGTTCTTATTACCAGAGCCTGTCTTTCCGGTGATGTTCAGAGCCTGCAAGTGGAACTTCTTTGAGTCCTGTTGACAGAAAAATTAAGTTTTAAAACACAGACTCAGTATCCAGAAGACCCAGATGTGAACATTTCCCAGTTGCTATGTCGCATTTTGAAAGGAAGAAACGTAAATATTCATAAGTTTGTATTCTGCTTCAAACAAAAATAGTTTTGTTTTTGATTGTCATGTATCTTAGTCCAACAAAACCCACTGAATTCAAAGAGGGCCTTGGCAATTTGTGGATTCTACTTCAAGTTTTAGGGTGAAGGGTGAGAACGGCCGTCACCAGATGGGTGCAATCTTAAGTCTCACCACTGGATGTCACTAAATCCTTCCCACTGCTCCTCTAAGAGTGTATTGATATTTTTGATGAATGGCTAGAAGTAATCAATGTATACCCAGCACCTGCTGCTTTTCAGGTTAGTTTGGCTGCAAAATTGTCCAAATTCTCAAAAGAAAGAAGACAAGAGGAGTGAATGAGAGACTGTGCAAAATCATGAAAAACCCTCTGTTCCTTTTTAAAAGTGTTCTATTGTTTGGCTTAGTCTTCAATAAGTTTCATGAGCCTTTGAAATGCTGAGAACAACAAGGACGAAACTACATGAAGATGAGGACTTACATTGGTGAAAGTCAGCATGATGGACATTGTGTCCGACACCAACACCAGTTCACTGCTGTTGACTCCACATTTTCCAGAGGCTGAGGTTGTATTGGAGTCGAGGTTCATCTCCTGGTATTTCTATGGCAAAGGGGAAAGAGGGGAATCCAATAAATGTGGTTTGTATCTGATTATAACTTCAAAAATAAGTAGCTCTGAAAGATTTTAACACCGCATGACAGCGAAGGTACCTCTCCCAGCTTCAAACCGATTCGCAAGCCAAATTCGGCCAACAGACAGGCTGTGCCGTTCTCTGGCTTGACGATATACTTCCCGATGCCAGGTGTGGGGAGGGTAGGGGTTGGGGTGGTGGGAGGGGTGGTGGGAGTGGTTGGAGCTACAGTGGTGGTCGTTGGGGCATGAGTGGTGGGGGGAGGAGTGGTCGCAGGTATATCAGCACGACAAGAGGTGACTGTAAAAGGGGGGGGAGAAAGAGAGGAAAGTGGCGATTAATACCAAAAAAAGAGAAACAGTTCAGGCTGGTGTAGGTGTGACACTGCAGCTGAACTTACTCCTCTCACTCTTGCTGCCGTTGCTGACAAAAGCCTGCATGAGCACGTTCCACAGAGTCTGATTGACCATATCAGACTGGATGGTGTCTCGACTTTTGCATGAGTAGCAGGTGTCTTTCACTACATCTGTAATCTCAGGCTTGAATGTCACAGTCATGGTATCTACAAAAAAATCAGAATAACATCAGCATCAGAACAAAATCCCTCATCATTAACTGTGTCTTTTTACTGTGATGAAGTAAAGTAAGGGTTACCATTTGATGAAGCATCAGGGAAGACAGCCTTGTCACTGAGGCTGTAGGAGAAGGTGATGATGTCTGCCTGGTACTTTTCCCCACTCAAGGTGAAATTAACACTCCAGGTGTGTCCTCCAAAATTAATCTTCAACATGGAACTTTTGGGATTACACTCACTTCCGTCTGTTGTGACGTTACTGGGGAGTTCAAACTCGGCTGTCGCACTCTGGAAAGGGCAGAGCATAACCCCATTTAGCATGATTACATAAGTTTGATACTGAACTGTTTAGGATCGGCCTTAAGGACCTTCGGGACTGATTAAGTGGGTAGATAAAGATATGAAACAATCTGTTGTTTTTAAGATTTAAGCTCTTTACTTGGAAAGAGTTTCTGTGAGCTTTACTCATTTGAACATCTGACTTGCAAAGACACAATCACAGGCATTGTTTCAGGAGAGCTCAATGATTGAAATCTCTAATGGCGAGAAAACAGCTATTTTCTTTGTAGTGACCCCTTTCATTTCCCCTTTCCTCGATGGCATGGACTCTAAGGGGTTGTATGACAGTCACGCTGTTGAGCTGCCCTGATAAAGGCAGAGCTGTTTTCTTCTGTAGTAATTACATAAGGATACTGTGTGACCGGATGGAATAAAAAAAAAAGAAGCCAAACAGAGCCGGTCAAAGTAGGACATCTGGTGTCAAGTGAGAGGAAGATCAACACTCACCGTGTTGTCAGCTTTTTCATATGGGACCGCGAAGTTCACTGTTAGATTGGCAAATATGCATAGCTTGTCTTCACCGTCATTGACCGTCACCTCGACGCCATGCGACAGCTGGAACACTGCAGAAAAAAAAAAAAGGATATATTATTCCTATTATTCTATAAAGGTTTTTATTCAAATAGACAACTACCACTGCCATGTACTTAGACAACACTGGAGTATGCTATTAGCTGTGTGATGATAATATCATGATAGCTCGAGTTCAATTTCAGCTACATATTTCCACATACAAAAGTCAGCATTTTAAATACTAAAATTATTAAATCAATTTGTTTTTCTGCAATTTCTTGGGTACACAAGAACCACATAACCTTCAGAAGACATCACATTCTTTGTACAAGATTTTCAATCAAACTTGCGATGTTTTTCTGTACCTTTTCCCCTCCCCAAATTTTACAGACAAGGGGCCAAGGTCCATCCACATTTACTGTATAATGTTGGTTGTGTGCACTGTCATCAAAAACTCAACGGCTTTCCAAAGCACCTGACCTGAACTTTACACTGACCAGCCATATAATGAACACCTGGGCAATCTAATGCGCAACCACAAATCCTACTTTCAGGAAGCTTGTAAGTATTCAGTTTTTGCTGATCAGACGTGTTTTTACTGTAATTTACATTTATTGTTAAAGACATTGTGGGTTAGTGGTTTACTGGAGCGTATTATAATGAAATATATTCTTTATATTTTGTAAAGTTTAAGAACAATTATCACCTGTCTGACCATGTCAATAAAAACTTAAAGTAGAATTAATGGTACAGCTGAATTATTGAGTTGCATTAAATTGTGTTTAACTGTTATGGCTGGTCAGTGTATGTTGGTGTATGTTTTTACATAACAGAAAGAAAACACTAGATATTAGGGGTGGCAGAAAAAATTGATTCACATAAGTTTGTTTTACAATTTTTAAATAGATTTTTATGTTAAAAAAGATAAGCACAATAAAACTATAATCCATAAACGTATGGTAACAACCGAGACCTAATGGTGCTGTGACAGCAACGCGATTGAGTTTGAGACAGTGAAAATACATATGGTATGTTGTATCTGAACAGGTTAGCTTATGAGCTAAAGTTACTTAGCACAGATGAAAGTTAAAACAAAGACATTTAGCAAACTGTTAAAGCACACAAACTATCCTTCAGGTCGTTATCTTTGTAATGTTTGTGTCTTTAATCAAAAAGCACTCTGTACTCCGACACGTAAACAATCAGCCGGTCGGCCATGTTGGATATACTGGTGAAACAGACATCGCAGCAACACGCAATCTGATTGATCAGAAGTGGACACACAGTACGCAAAAACTTTAGAAAAATTGACTGTGATCCAAAAAAATAGATGCCACAATATCACAAGACGGGAAAACGTAGCTGATGTGAACGCTTGTATTGACAGGATACGGGTTTGAAAAAAAAAAATATTGACGTCCGAAATAATCGCACGATAAAAATGCTCCCGTTGTTAAAGGACCTTAAAAATCGAGAAAATCGACAATATCATAAAATTTCAATTTAAATCGAATCGGCATCCTAAAAATCGTAGAAGAATGGAATTGGGTGGAAAGCATATCGTCCAAGCACTACTGGATATGGAGTGACCCATTTCAGATCTAAAATTAACACTTCTTTTCCTCTCACAGATTTATTTTGAGATTAGAAATATCAAATTGTCAGAAATAGCTATGGTTAATACATGTTTGAACACAACCTTATGTGGTCTTCTTGAACCCTTTCAGACTTTCAGACAACATCAACAACATCACTAATGTCTCACTTTTATTTTCACTTTTGACTTTTGTGTTTAATGGTGCTATACAAACAAGTTGATCTAATTGAATATTCTTTTTCTAACAGTCTGTATCACATTTTAAGGTAATCTGCTGTGAGGGTGTTGGGTTTTGGCAAAGAAAGTTATGGGGGAAAAAAGGACAGACATAAAAACATCAGAGCAACAACATGAGCAAGAATAGATTTATGACTTGCAGCGCCAGTAATAACGATAAATATGTGATGTCGAAAGTAAAAACAAAAGAACATGTTGTTTGGATCACCCGTTTGCTTTTTTTCTCAGCCTTTTCCTCTGATAATTGTTCCCCAGCTGGCTGAACTCGTTAACCGCTCATATAACAAGCTCTGGTTATAGTTTTAGGGCTATCACGTGCTTGCTAACTGTAAACTGCCAAATGTTGCTAACCGTATAAGCTAGTAGATGTGCTGTCAACACATCTAATTTTGTTCCCAGAGAGATCAAAGACACCATTTCTTCCCATTTATCTGAATATGAGTCCGTCGTGTTTGCCTGCAGCAGTTAGCGGTTTTATCCCGAAGTCTAATATTAGCGTCAAAACAAGTGTTATCCAACCAGCAAGCTAACGGCTAGTCGAGCTAGCATCACCTGGGCAAAGTATAAAACTCAAAGCGAGCGTAACACTTGAGTTACAGAGCATATAAAGTTTTTTAATATGCTAGATAACAAGTTAAACTGCTCAGAAATATGTATTTTGTTAAGGTTTGTTACAGTGTCCAAGTCTAATGTTGTTGACGTAGGTAACAATTAGCAATCTAGCTAGTTTCAAAACATCACGACTGGACGAGACTGCTGCGGGGATGACAACCCGGGTTTGTTTTAAGGCCTGAGCAGTTAAAACACACATAAATACCAAATATACGTAGCTTAAAGTTCAGTTAAACAAGGGAATATTCTCAAAATGTTCAGGACTGCGTTTAACCTGCGCCCAGAAAGCGCCACCAGGCCAGGGTATCTATCCCATGAGTTCAACCGCGTCACTTCGCAGCAATCATTCCTCTCACTCTTGACCATCAATTTCAAGTTAAAAAACACGACTTACCGACGCCAGATGTGAGCAGTAAAACAAAGGCAGCATATCGGTGCATGATCGCTCAGCAGTGAGGAGTGTCAGCCACCGGAGAGACGACGAAAATAGCCCCGACGAGAACGCTCGGCCAGCGGTATTGGAGATGATGAAGAAGCTGTGCAGTCGCCGACTGTACCAGGAAATGGAAGTCATATGACAGGGACCAATGTGTCAAAGCAGAAAGAGGCGAGGGTTTACAATACAGCCATAAAACCCTCTCGTCCTATTGAAGGATTACTTATTACACTTTAAACCACCAAAATGAGAGTATTTTCCAGCACTAGACAAAGACTACTAACAAACAATTTCATGGAGACGGTGTTATTCCTCTCTTTAACAATCATATGTTAAGTATCAACCCCTTAAAGCAACATGTCTACAAGGCTCCATCTTGGAGGAAATTGTACAAATGCTGGGAAATCTAGAGTATTGATTTTTATTCCATCTGTAGTCTGTGCAAGTTGAATGTTGGTGTTTGTATGTTGGGTGGAGTACACACCAATCATCCAAAGCATTATGAACACCTTGGCAATCTTAGGTATTCCAACACAACAGCTGTACCGGCAATTCTGCCTTCAGGGCATATCTTGTGTTTGTTGGCATGATCAGACAGGCAATAATTGTCTTTACATTTCTTACTTTAACTTCATTAACAAACATGAGAAGAGCATAATAGGAACACCCTTTACAACTTCAACAATTAAATTAAAAATATCACCTGTCTGATCATGTCAATCAAAATTGAAGACGTCAAATCATGAAAGTAGAATTCAAGAAGGAGCTGTTCCAGCAGGCTGCACCACATCGCCATGGTGACCATATTGTTGGTTAATATCTGGTTAGTTGATGTTTTTAGTCTTAAACTGTTTAACTATTTTTGCATGCTCCTTTCACGCAATGTTATGGCAAAGAAAAAAAGCAAGTAACATCCATCCATCCATCCATTTTCTACCGCTTATTCCCGTACCAAGGGTCCCGGGGGGGCTGGAGCCCATCCCAGCATCTTCGGGCGAAGGTAGGGGACACCCTGGACAAGTCGCCAGTTCATCGCAGGGCTGACATATAGGGACGAACAACCATCCACGCTCACGTTCACACCTACGGGCAATTTGAAAGTGGCCAATTAACCTAACCCCCCTTTGCATGTTTTTGGGATGTGGAAGGAAACCAGAGTACCCCGAGTAAACCACTACAGACACAGGGAGAAAATGCAAACTGCACACAGAAACGCCCTGACCTGGATTCGGACCCAGGACCTACTTGCTGTGAGGCAACAGTGCTTACCACTACACCACTGTGTCGCTCCCAGCAAATAACATATAGGAAAAAGAATGCTTACTGATGGGGCTCTTTAAACACAGGGCAATGTTTGGGATTAAGGATAAATCAAAGAAAACCCAACTGAAGCAGTTATTTTAATCTGAAGCGATAAATCTAACAGACTCATACAAACAAGGGCTCTACGCAGTCAAATTTTTTTTTTTTTTACTTGTGTTGAGGAAATCCACTCACTTTCCCTGCACTCTTCATTAAGGCCTGCAAGCCTCACAGGGAGACATACAAAAATTTAGTGTAAATATGTGTAATGACACCAGGGAAGATGAAGGAATTGGCTTTGATGTCGTTGTGCTCTTAGTAATCTTTCTAAGGGTTAACAAAAACCTACAAAGCAGTTGACTGTCAGATGAGATCATTTAAAATGTTACTTTTGTGATGTTATGTACAAAAAAATACAAAGACAGAACAAATGAGAAAGTTAAATGCATATAGTTGTACAACTAAACTGTTTTAGCAGCTTCAATATGCCCTATAATGAAAGAAGTGCTCCTTTTTTGGCACAAAATGTTTGAACGCTATGTGTTCATGATCACAGCTTTATCAGATGGCCACACTGCCCTTAAAAACTGTTGCTGCAGGATCATACATTCGACATGGATATTTCCCAAATTGTCAATTGCCTACTGCGAATTTTAGCCCACTAGTCCAACGTTTGACACTCACTGAGGAAACAAGCATCAGTTTAGTATTTTCTGATCCTTTTTCTCTCCAAAGTGTGGTACATTTAGAGGTTTAAAAAGTGAGTCAGGAATTGCTGAAAAAAAGAAAAAGGAAAAAAGGATGTGAAAACAAAGAGCATATAGTTTCAAACTATGGACAAGAACCTAAGTCTGAAAATAAATATTTTTCCTCTCCTTAAAAAAAAAAAAAAGAAAAAAAAGAAAAATGAAAAGCCAACACAACAACATCTGTGTGTCCTCTCTGTCCGTCTGTGGCAGCCCAACTCTCTCAGCTGTGCTGAGAAAAATGGACAATATTCTCTTTTCAATGGGCATGCAGTCCACAGGATCACAAGACCCCTGACAAAAAACAAATCCTGTGGAGCAGTATCCATTCACTTGTCGGTCGCTGGGTTGAAGATGATAAAGGTTAACGTCCACTGGAGCAAAAGATTTAGAGACTGATCACCTCAGCCTGACTGGACCATCTGTGTCTCTTTTTTCTGTCACTTTCTCGTTCTCTAAGCCACATAGTTGTACTGGTTGGAGTTCTCTTTGTCACGCTCCATGTAATCCCTGTCAATAAGAGACTCTATCCTCTTCTTCAAGTCAGCGGGCTGAAAGGGAAGAGGAGACGCACAAGTTTACACGTGGGGCACACGCCAACATTTCTGGTTATTTTTATAACTGTGATGCAATTAAAGAGAAAGCTGATTCATGATAGCCATGCCCAGTGTAACTTGGTAAACAAAAGTTCGTCTTGTACAAGCAAGTAAAGTCTAGCATTAAATCTTATCTTTTAACTGAACTTTTAACTCAATCAATCAATCAATCAATCAAATTTTATTTACACAGCGCCAATTCACAACAGTCATCATCTCAAGACACTTTTCAAAGAACAAGAGCAGGTCTAGACCATGCTCATTGTTTGATGAATTATCAAGACCCGACCTAAGATGGGATTTGGCCCATCTCATCTAACATGAGTAACAGTGGCGAGGAAAAACTTTCTTATAACAGGCAGAAACCTTGGGTGGGGAACTGAACTCTCTCTAAATATTTCCAGTTGATAGTTTCTAAGAAGCTGAAGGTGGTTGAGGTATCGTGCTTTTCCATTAAAATGAAAGAAAAAAGAAGTTAGATTTACATTTTTAAGTTTCATTTCAAATATAACTAAAAAATGTGATGAAATTCAAATTGTATGTCTAAAGTGTTGTTGGATCAGTTAACTCTTTGAATGAAAGCATGATGTGTTTTCTTTTGTATCGATATTTGTTTTTCAACAATGTGAAATTTGACAGTAATAACATCATAAATATCTTTTTCAGACTATTTCAAAGTTTCAGTTCTTTATAAGCCTGAACATCCTGTCCACATTCACTCCTTTTGTGCCATTATTATTAATTTTAACTTAAAAATAAGCATAATAATTGTGTAATATATTCGTTGAAAAATAAATAAATAAGATTTAATGAAAAACATCCACTCAAAATAAAAAAGAACTGTTTAGAGTTACACTCTTTCTTGTACAAATCAATGAATTGTGCTTATTATAGTTCAGGGTTGTGTTTATCACCTTAACAGGGAATTTCAGCTGGTTGTACACTTCAGACATCAAGAGATTATGGCTCAGGGTCTTCCTCATCTTCATAATCCGCACGATGGCGGCATCGATCTGGTACTGACGATCCTGGAAGACCCTTTCTGTGGTGCTTGCCTGCTCCTCCACCTGAGAGGAAATAGGTTTGTCAAAATCATCTGCCATCACCTTTAAGAGACTGAAGGGAATAAGTGATTAGGAAGTCAAATATTTACAGTTTCTTTCATCTGGATCTGATTGATTTTGATCCTGAACAGCTTGTGTTTGAAGTCGTCATTGCAGGAAAACTTGTCCCCGTCTTCTACATCTTTGCTTTTTGGGATTTTAGTGAGGACACGTGCTTTTCCGCAGGCCAGCGACTGCAGGGTCCGGCGCAGTTCACTGTCTTCTGTTAAGAAACAGAACCAGGAATGGTGTGTTACATCAGCAGCACTACATGATGAACACTCAGTAAGACTTATTTTTCCTTTCAAGTGCTGCCAACTTCACTTTATTGTGATCATACAGACCTATTCCTGTTGCCAGTTTGATTTCCTCCAGAGTGAACTCCTCTCCTTCATTAAACATCAGTAGCACGAGTGTTTGGAATAGTGACACCTGCAGCTCCTTCTTGCCCTTTAATAGGAGAAATCAAAGAGAATCCTTAAGGCTACGCTTATTCATCAGGTGAGCAAAGCACACCAGTGTCTATACAAACTAACTAATACCTCTTTAAATTCAGCTTTTAAGACACAATGACCGAGTGTGGACTGCCACTGCAGCTTCCTGCCGCTGTGTTTGCCCAAGTAGAAGGTCTTGAAGATTTCTTGCAGTCGCACCATCTAGAGAACAAAAATAGAAGCGTTATAGAGGAACATACAGTATAGTTTTCAAAAGACTGGTGTTTAAATAAAGCATATTATGACATTTTCTCAGCACTTACCTCAGGAGGCAGGTGCACCTCCATAGGGACGTAGGTGGGCCAGTAACCCATAGTGAGGATGTTCACGGTCAGTTCAATGTTGCCAGGAATGTTTTGGCACTGCATATACTACAGAAAAACAAATAGTACACAATGACATGTGATACTTATTTCTGCCCCGCACACAAAATTATCAATCACTCCGGGGCTTGTTTGTTGATATTTAGACCAGACTACACACCAGGTGTGAGTGAAATGTAATAACAGACTATCTGAATGACAAATTCACTTTTTCATTAAGTGTTATGATAAGACACCTGATCTTATTATTCTAATCTGTAAACAATTTTGACATTTCATAAAACACTCACAATTTTATGAAACACAATACTGACTCATGTCAAATTTATTATTTAAAATTGGTGCTGACATTGACAAATGTAGTTGAAGGTAGTCTCTGAATACTTATTTCCTTTGATGGAAAAACTAAAAAGAATTGCTCGTTCACTTAACCTAGATTTCTCTAAATGCTAATTATTACCCTGTAAAATAAATTTGATGTGAAATTGTGTAATATTTCATTTATATATCGTATTTTACATTGTCATAGATCTGATAATATCCAGAGTTTGATTCACCTACATATGCTCTAAGTTGCCATGAGGGATGCCCAGTTAATATGGATACTGGATGTTTGGATTTTGGACATGGATGTTAATTTTTTTTTAGACAATTTTACTAAATGTCTGACTATTGCCTCTCAAACAAAACCCCAGTGTCTTCAGGATCAAGTGAAATCTACACAGACACAGACAGCATATATTCATCTGGAATGAACCCACCATTGTCATTCTTACCTGTTTGAACTGAACCATGATGTCTTTCGAAAGCTCCATATCCTTGAACATCCCCTCCAGTTTGCTGGTGAACGCTGCTCCACATTCTGAAAAATCACCAACACAAACAGGGTCAAACGTTAAGATGTGTTTGTAATCTTAATAAGCATGAAGTACTATTATGAAATCTCATTCTGCATTCACTGTGTATCAAGTGTGTATAACAACAGTCAATACTGACCATGCTTCAGCTTTGACAGCATCGATTTCTCAGCATCCACAGAGGCACTTTTTCCAACCAGCAACCTCTTGGCCAGATCTTTTTTGTAAAAAGCCTCAAAAACATCTTTCCCTGCGATGGCAGAACATTTTTTCATTAGAAATGACCTAACAGAGGATAACTTTAAACTGCATTAATGATAGTGAATATTATTACCATAGATGAATCTAAAGATGATCATGATCTTATCCAGCATCTTCTCCAGCTCTTCATCTGTGGCCTCTTTGTTTCCTGCTCTTAGTTTTGAATCCACATGCTTTGCTGTATGTAAAAGAATATTGGTAAGTAAAGCTTAATGATGAAGTTATTCTCCTACACATCGCAACTGTTATAAACTGGAGACAAAACTCCACAGACCTATGAGTTCTGCGGGTTTATTTGGACGTTTATTGATGAAAGTTTCGAATGCCTCCTTCATGGCGTTGACAAACTTCTCGTTCTTCATGAAGCAGATGTCAATGATGTGATCTACTTTGTCTTTAAAATCCAGCAGCTCTTGCACCATCGTTTTGTCTTTTTCTGGATTGATTACGATTGTGCTCCCAAAAGCCTTGATGTTGATAGTAAAGACATTGCAAAACAGTTGTCAATAGTACACACAAAACTTATGAATGTTCAACAACTCCATTATACATTATTATTATTGGGCTTTTATCCTCGTTGTACCTTTATGTACTCTATCCAGTGCTGGAGGAGGACCTGAACACCACCTCGCACGCGACTGAAGAGCTGATAGAGAAGAGATAGATCCTGAATTCTGTTTTCATCCAGCAGGTGAGTCAGCCCTGAAAGTATCCAACAACAGAAAATCACACATCAGCTGCTTTTACACACAAAAGGTGCATTATATGCTCAGACGCACAGCACAGGTAGACAGTAACTTTCAACTTTAAATGCTTCTCATGCGTGTTTTTCATCAAGGATTCAATGTTGAAAGTACCTTTTTGCAGAGTGGCTGTGAGATGTTCACCCAGCAACTGCTTCTCCACAGTGGCAATGAGTGGTTTTCTGAGCAGGGGGGAGGAAAAAGTGGTCACGACACACATAAATCTTTGTCAAGTGTCAAATTGCAAACCAAAAGCCAGAGTCAAACACTCACTGTGTGCTCTGGTCTAGATATGTGATGACTCTGTCAGCCTCCTCCTCTAAGCGTTTGTTGACGTGATGAAGATATTCTGGTACCTGGAAAAGAGGGAAAAGTAAGAATCTGAAAACAAATGTTGATTTTACAACAGATGATGAATATATTGTTTTTAAACGCAGAGATTCAGGAATGAGTCTGCTGCTTCAGCCAACATGTGGAAGCTGTCTTTAAAGAATCACCTGTCTACTGATAATTAAATCTGCAGAAATGTTTGTAGGCTATCTGCTGATACAGATCATTTATTTTTAAGCCATTATCTGCAGACACTGATATGATGCCAATAGTATCATGCACCCTAGCTTGTAAAAGTACAGGTTCCTTGACATGGCAAAGTTTGGAAGCACCTGTTGTGAAATACATTCAGATACAGTCATACTTTCACAAGAAAGAATATCTGCTCCTGATGAATGGCCTCAAATTAACTGAATTCATGCAAGTGTTTGACAGCATCCAAGAAAGAAAATCACATCCTGGGCTGAGACAGTAATAATGAGAATACTTAATATGTTCTAAAGTGTCAGCAAGTAAAATCAGCTGCATCATCAGTTGTCTTGATAGAGCAGAAGCTTTTCAGATGAGTAGAAAGAAAATGTGCTTGAGTTGCATGATGATCACAAACAGCTACATATAGAGGGCATGTTGGTGGGATTGATTTCTTATTTAATTGCAGTTCATAGCCCGGTGTGTTTCATTGTGCTACCTGGTGTTACAGATAGTTTCAGATTTATAAGTATCTTTGCTGTGAATAGTGCAGACATTCAACATATGAGCTGAATACATGGGTAGCGGAAATCGAGCCGGTAATTCACTGAAACGAGAAAAAACAAAATGGGCTCTGACTATGAGGGTCACATAAATCACCTCTCTCTCCTGCATCAGCCTCTGTCCCTCAGCGGCGTACAGTCGATTAGTTTCCTCCAAAAATCGTTGCTCAAAGGAGTCTTGATAAATCTGTCAGGGACAGAGAGAGCACGAGTTTCATTAAAGCCATTTGTCAACAGGAGAATGACACTTCATCACAGCCTGCTGCAGCTCATAATCTCAGACAAACACTGCTGCCAAAGCCAGCCTTCTTGTGGTGAAAGAAAAGGTAAAATCCAGGTGATAGAGGATTTCAAGTATAAATTTGCCCCAGCTGACATTTAAGTAATCATAAAAGAGTACATGCCTGCAGGTCAGAGAGCATGCTTAGCAGGCTCCTCAGCAGACTGCGGTCTATCGCCTCTCCGTTTCGTTCTCGCTCGATAAGCAGCAGAATCCCGTCGATGGTTTTACTCTGGACCTTCAGATCGCTGATGATGTAGAACCTGAACAGCTCCAGACCCATGTCCCTGCAGACCAGAGGAGTCGCTGTCAAACACACTTTTTACACAGAACCAGCCTCACAGTGTTTTAAAGCGGGTTACATCAGGGATCACTCACCAGATTGACGGAAGCATTGAATTTTGTAACACGTAAGTGCGATCCAAAAATAAAAATATACTCCTTATCATGATCTGTGGAGCAAGGACAGAGAGAATGCAATTTAATAAGGATGATGTGATCATTCCTTCTCCAGACAAAATATGCACAAACATAACATTGGCACACATGAAGGAAAAATGCAAGATGGCTTTTTTTAGCGGTTATTTGCTCCACAGTACGCGCATGCAGCATCTGTGCAGAGACTTCAGTGCCTCATACAGTGGCCCAGGTTTGTCTCTGACCCATGGCTGCATGTCATCCTCAACTCTTGACACGTTTCAGAGGTGAGGTGTTAACAGACCAATTTGTTTAAAAAACAAACAAACAAACAAACATACCATTTGTCTGCAGTGATCTTGCCAGCACTTGTCGATTTTCTTTAAGAAAAGCACGCTGTCCAAGGCATCCGTAAGGACAGAGTTAAGGCAAACTTTGGCTTTTACTCAGGAGCTTTTTAAGGCTGCACAATCAACACCTAATCAAACACAATCAATACCTGGGAAAATATAATGAAACAAGCGTAAAGGATATTCCCTGAACTGATCGATCTGTGCCTTGATGTGGTCTTCACACACAACTCTCAGCTGTTTGTAAAGCTTGGCAGATATCTTATGAGAGCACAGGTTCTCCACAGCCTGAGGAGACAAAAACAGACGTCAAAAATGACTGTTTTTTCAATCTCTTGAGGGGTCATGAAAACAGTCAGCCTCCTCTGAGAGGTCAGCAGGTGTGTGGCTGTGATACCTGGTAGAGCTCCTCTAAATTGTACTTGATTGAAGTGCTGTTCTGTATGGCCTCCACCGCCTCCTTCAGCTTCTGCCATGTCTCCTGTGTGTAGTTTTCCGGCAATTTGGGCTTTTCTGAGCGAGACAAAAACACAACACTAACTGTGGAGGTAACATGGTGAACTGACATACAGATGACCCAATCAGACCACAACGCTGTGTCACCAATGCTATTTTAAAACAGCTGTGTTTGTTTCTATTTAAAGCTCCACCAGGTGATAGTGACCAAAACATATCATGCATGTGCTTATTGAATTTTGTTTTTGGAAATGATATTGCTGAGAGTTTAATTACTTTGAGCAGAACTCAATATTAATGCAACAGCACATTATTGTCCTGACTTGAGGGATCCTACTGTCATGACTCTAGCATCTAATATTGATATTGATCTTTTGTGATAACAAGGCTCTCTGAAAAGCTCTCTCTTTCAATCAGACACACCACATCATCATTTCATAACTCTTCTATGACCGTAATGTGGTCATTTCTGCTCTTCATCTTTTAGGGGCATTTTGTAGTCTCCAGTTGAACAGAGAAAGTGATGCATCACTTAAGATCGTCATACAATTTTTCAACTATCTTAGACTCGCTTTACAACGATATTATGATTGTTAATATAAAGTATAGCTAAGAAAAATAAGTAGAACATTTTTTTTGTGTATTCCAGGTTGTTTTGCTTCATATTTGTACCAGTTTTCTGAATGTGGATAGCGACTGCAAAAGCAGCATTGAGAAAAGGGTAAAGCATAAAAATTCCAGATATCATCATTACAACATCCATATTAATATTTTCTCATATTTCTTGTAAAAAAGGACAAAAATGATCAGGATTATGTTAAAGTACTGACACTAGTTTCATGTCACAGATCACACTGAAGCTGCAGGGATTGATGAAAACTAATCATTTCAGATTCCTCATTCCTCAGATTCTGTTATTTTTTGAGCAACTATGAGACAATTTCTGTTTTTCAACAAAGCTGTTAGAATAAAATAGGAGGGTTTAAGTTTTGGACTTTAAAGGAAAATGGTATCCGCCACTTTAAAGTCTTTGAATTTGCAATCGTGGTAACCTTTTTGTCTGTTGGTCAATAATTGCGAGAATACTCAGTTGATAACATGATAACGAACATTATTAGTTTCAGAAAACACTCAGCCAAGCTTTCTATATTTGTATAACAAGTCTAACCATTACCGCTACATCGGTACAAAGTCAAAATCTTTCTAAAGACTGTAAATTTGGGGAATTTTGTGACTTATGATGACTGTTTGGCGAAATTAACCTCTAGTACAGTTGTATTGACCAGTACTCTATATACTCATACATGTATTGATATTTCTGACTTAACAGTTATGCCTTTGTTGACAAGTGTAGGACATGTGGGTTTGTCAAGCTTGATGTGATCTCCTATATTTTCTGTTCTAATAGATGCTAGTTAGATTAATAGGTTCAATCTTTGTAGTATTTGAGGTTTGCTAAACATTTTTAAAGCAGTCTTTTCACTTTGGAAAGACTGTATTGGGTCTGACTGTTCCTGCATTACAATATCAGATTGTATAAGTGTAGTTGGGGTTATATCACAGCTCCTAAAGTCGTGTAAACTGTTGAGTTTAAGTTGAATACTACTGCCAGTGAGTGTTTTGGATGTTGAAATCACATCATCTGCTACCTTTGAAGTTCTTGATGACTAGTTTCTTGGCAGCACCGGGTTTACTGTTGGAGAAGGTGCCGGAGCCTGCGGTTTTCGTCAGTCCGTTCGCATGGTGTCCCACGCCGCCGGACAGGAACACGGCTTTGCTTTTGTTATTGGAGCACGAAGCGGCGGCAGCCTCCTCAGCCATTTTCACATCCAGTCCTATGAAATCCACTGAATCCTCGAACCTCAACTTCTTCTGGATGTGTAGCGGAGTGGGAGAGCAGGAGGAGGAGGAAGAAGAGGAGGAATTCAGGGTCTTTGGAGGCGAAGAGGAGATCGTGTCAGTAGTGTCTTCCCTCTCTGAGCCGTTTATTTTCCTCTTCTTCGGAGATGTGATGGCACCGCTTTCGTTTTTGACATCAGTAGTCGATGGTCTTGCCTCCTGGGTTGGCGGTGGTGGGGGATTAGGGGAAGATAAACCTGTTGGAAACATGAAAAAACGGGAAATCTTAACAGCCAGTCCTGTGTTCCTGAACTTCCAGGCTTGCCGGGAGACGAGCTCAGCGTCCGAGAGCTTTTGTCTTTCTGTTTAAACACGGAGAAGTCCTTTCTCCAGGAGAAAACAGACAATAAAATTGCAAACTACACAGCTCTACTTCAATCTAGCCTGCTCGCTTTCTTGTTATTGCTGGCAGAAGAAGAAAGATGGTTGGCTATTGCTTCCTCTTTTTGCCTCGTTTGTCTAACCGCGCCGTCCGGCCGTTCAGTGTGAGCGGTTGAGTCGAGCAGCCGTTAAAGACGAATATTTACAGGACAGATGAAGCTACGGTCAAATTAAGCTCTCGGGATAGTTTAACACCCACTGGTAAACACACGAAAATATTCTCTCATAAAAGCTAGTCTGTGACCCCACCGGAAGTACTTAGTGCAAAACTACTTTTTGCTCAAGCATGTTTTTTAATACGGACTACAACGTTGCTGCTGCGCTGACCACAAGGTGGCACCACGCGGCCGCCGTAGACTCAGAGGGTCATAAACTCATGAATGGAGGAAGGTCTGCCGTCAACACAGATACAAGGGTGCTGGTTTTAAGGACTAATATTATATATATATATTTAGACGGTTAAAGGTGATCTTAACACAAAATAGAGCATATCTATTCGTCATGCTCTCACTTATTTTTCTTAGAAACAATTCATGGCATGGTTAAAAAGTAAAACAGAATCAGAAAAGACTAAAGTTAAAAAAAAAAAAAAACAGAAAAATTCTCTTTTTTTAAAGTGTTTTTTTTAAACATAATATTTAGTTTTATTTTCATGTGATCAAACCTAAATCATATATTCAGGACAAAGCAGAAAAAAGAGAAAGGATATGTATTTTTTTAAATAAATAAGTGCATACATAAATAAATAACACCCATTTTTTCCCTTTATTTCATATCAAATGCACAAAACATACTGGCATGGAGCATTGCACAAAATCACAATATCACAGACAAGCTTCAAGAGCATAAATAAGAAAATAAATTAATAAAAGGAAAATTAAATGAAATAAATGAAAAAAGAGAGGGCAAATAAATAAATATGGAACGATAAGGCATTATTTATTCCGCCTTAGTTCTGCTCATAATTCAAAGAGTTTCTTTTTTTATTGCACTTTATTTAGTTCAGTTGTATTTCATTTATTTCCTTAACATTTTTAGACAATTTGTATGGATCTCACTGAGTTCCCTTCTGGTGGTCTATTTTGGTATGTTCAGTAGTGGACAAAGTGATACCACCATAGACTGTATATACTATTCTATAGACTACCCTACAAATTCTATGTATTCTATATACAGTCTATGGATACCACTGATCCCTCTGCTAATCCTGTCTGTCTAATAATAGCCCTTCCCTCTGAGGTATAACTGTTCAAAACCTCTATTAAAAAACCACTAATCAGACAACATTTGTCCAAATTCTGAAACACTTAAATCCCCACTTGCTTCAGTCAGATCCTTTGCTTGCTCTGGGTAAAAAGGACCTTTTTTTTCAACTTCTACACATTGTGATATGGAGTTGCTATTGACAAAAAAGTTTAAAATATCACTCTATTTAAAAGTCAACCCCAAAATAACATATAAGTAGACAATACAGTACCATTATATTAAATGTAGGAATTAAAAAAGAAATTTTGACATGTTTTAAAGTGATATGAATATTATGTATGACTGTTCTAGGGAATAAGTGATGGATAAAATGATGCTTTCATATCGAAACTATCCTTTTCACTTAAAAACCGGCTTTGACATAATTCAGAATGACTTAAAATCGATCTGACAAACTTGTGCCAACAATGAAAAAGTAAAAGTCAAGTCCAAACAAAGAAATTAAATGTTTGAAGGGATGAGTTTCAGTTAAGGGAATTACTTAGGTGACAGAGGAGGATGAAAACCGTCGTCTATAACCGAACGCGGCCTGACCTGCCGTGGAACGGGTGCAGCCGTCGTAAAATGACGCACTCTTCATACCGCTTGCCTGCAGAACAGGCGTGGACTAGCATTAGCATTAGCATAACATGATCATCACTGTCGTTCAGTGTAGATTTCTCGTGTTTACAGTTGCTGTTTTTGCACGCTAAGAGTGGACCAGTGTAATTTCAACGGAGTAACGCTGTAACGGAAACCAACAAGGATGTTTAAAAAGTACGTGCCAGTTTACTTCCTCTTCGCTGCATGGGTTTATCACAGCAGGAGAGCTAATGCTATCTGACACTGAAATGCGCTTTGTATTCTGTTTTTAACTCTATTTGGCGGTCAGCTGACCAGAAAACAATTAGCTCTGTGGTTTGATTCAATGTTTCCTGTCTAGAATTTATTGAAGTGTTTAGATCTAATCCAACCTGACTTAGTGAGTGATTTAATGCACAAATGGCAAATCATAACTACGGAAATATGTGAATGTTACATGTCAACCAAAACACTATGGGTGTTTTTTTGTTTGTTTGTTTCAGGTTTGATGAGAAAGAAAATGTGTCAAACTGTATCCAGTTGAAGACATCAGTGATCAAAGGCATCAAAAATCAGCTCCTGGAGCAGTTTCCTGACATTGAGTCATGGCTCAATCAAATCATGCCAAAAAAGGACCCTGTCAAAATAGTCAGATGGTATGACTTAAGGACCCCCCACCACTTTTTAAAAAAATATATATTTATTTTGTTGAGTATGTGATAACCATTGACTGTGTTTCTCATCTCTTTCCACAGCCATGAACACATCGAAATACTGACAGTGAATGGAGAACTGCTCTTCTTCAGGCAGAGAGAAGGACCATTTTACCCCACCCTCAGACTGCTGCATAAATGTAAGACCCTCAAAAAATCATGCTTTGGTTTCACTCATAGACTGTGTCAGAATATGGATGGCATGAATTAAGACAAAACATGTGGACATCCCTCTGGTGCATAGAGGAAGTACGGTCCATGAAATCCACCTCCTCCATGTCAACAGATGAGACAGGAGTCAAATTAAAGGGATATTCCGGCGTAAAATTAATTTAGGATCAAACACACCGAAACACTGAGTTAGACACCCCCTCGAGAGATGAATGTTGCCGACCGCTTGCTTCTCTAGTTATACCAACTTTAGTAACGACCACACGATAGCATAGCAGAGCCATAAACAAACCTCAACCAAAAAGCCACTCTATAGCCACAAATAATGTTCAGAACAGCACCTAACTTCATCAACAGTACATATAGGGTCCCAGCCACAGAACTAGCCACCAAACATTTCTTTAACTTTCCCTAATTTCTTTAGCAAAGAGACGAAACACAACTCACCTACTCTCTTCCAGCAGCCACTTGTTTGTAGCGAGACACCTCAGGCCAGTCCATTACGCACTGCTGTGGGGTGACGCAGCTCAAGGAAGAACATTTATGATCATTTCTTTATCATTTCCTTGAAGTAATAATCATCATATTAATCATTTTGCACTGCAGATGCGTTAGTTCTTCTGCCTTAGTGTCTCGGTCTGATTGCATTTCCATGAAGAAATTATCATAAATGTTCTTCCTTGAGCTGCGTCACCCCGCAGCAGTCGATGGACTTGCCTGGAGGTCTCTGTATAAACAAGCGGCTGCTGGAAGAGAGTACGTGAGTTGTGTTTAGTCTCTTTGCTAGAAAAATCAGGCAAAGCTAAAATATGTTTGGTGGTTAGTGCTGTGGCTAGGACCCTATATGTACTGTTGATGAAGTTAGGGGCTGTTCTGAGCATTATTTATGGCTATAGAGTGGCATTTTGGTTAAGCCCGTGGCTCTCTGTATTGCTATCTGCGGTCGTTACTAAAATTCGTATTACTAGAGAAGCAAGCGGTCGGCAAGATTCATCTCTCGGGGGGGGGGGGGGGGGGTCTAACTCAGTATTACGGTGTGTTTGACCCTAAATTAATTTTACCCCGGAATATCCCTTTAAGAGGAGGTAGAGGCGTATTGTCTGTACGAATGTACTGCCAACAGTTTTCACACTTACTTTTTTTCTCTCCAAAGATCCTTTCATTCTTCCACACCAGCAAGTAGACAAAGGGGCCATCAAATTTGTTCTTAGTGGAGCCAACATCATGTGTCCGGGGCTGACATCACCAGGTGCTAAACTCTACCCAGCTGGTGCTGACACAGTAGTTGTATCCTTTCATAGACTGGTATAACTGTAGAATGAGGTTGTGAAATTGCTCTGTGCTGTTAGTAAAAGATTTACATCATGACACCTTGACAAATCGCTGCAGGCCATAATGGCAGAGGGAAAACAACATGCACTTTGCGTTGGCGTAATGAAGATGTCTGCAGAAAGCATGTAAGAATTTTTCTTGTCTGTATTGTACAGAAGCAGCAAATTTGTATTCTGTTTCTGACCTTGTAATTCCTAATTCTAATCTCTTTAATTAAAACAGAGAAAAAGTCAACAAGGGAATTGGTATTGAGAACGTTCACTATCTGAATGACGGACTGTGGCACATGAAGACGTATAAATGATGATGTCATTGCCTGTAATGCCCTCTTCCCCAGTGCAACCAACCCTCTTCACTCTCAAAGTGTAGAGCTCTTGACGACGAGGCCTGAACTGTCAGTCAACTGTTTACACTCACAAACTTAGCTGTGTAACCGCCTGAAAGCTTTGAACCTATCGCCACAATGCACAAATAAAGGAAAGATCTTGCTTTAAAATCAGACCTCTGTTGGTGTCTTTTTTGGAATTATAAAGAAATGATAGACAAAAATAGTTCATTGTTCAAAACCACAAAGTATTCATCACCATGTTCACATAGTCAGTGACACATATTTCTAACAGGAGGACCTGTTTTTCCCCTTTCTCATCCAGAGACTTAGACTTAATGTTGTGCCTATTGTGGTAAAAGGTTAAAAAAAATAATAATTCAAAGATCAGGACTTGATGGACTATGTACAATTTTTTAGTCCTTTTTTTACAAGTAAAAAAGTATTGAGAAAAAAAATTCTCACGAGAATGAGGTCGTAATAAAAGTCATTACTTAGATAAAGATAGCAACATAATGCTGTTCTTTTCAGTGTCATGATATGCATAACAATGTGGTGCTGATGTGTCAAAACATAAAGTGTTATTTAACAGGGTGGTCCCCCACAATATTCATTTTAGCACAGGCTGCTGGCTATAATTCCAAACCACAACTTTAGCACCACATTATAATCTCATAATATGATAAATTTTTTCTCTAAATATGATTTATTAGGACTCATTTGTATGATAGGACTTTTAAAAGTAGTATGTCACTGATTTCCTCAGGACTTTCTCCTTGTAAGGAAATGATTTTTTTTTGCAATTTTATCCCTACGCACAAAACATTGAAGCTCATTGGTATTTTGAGTGGGGTTTCACCCCAATAAATCACTCTTGTATTTTCATTTATTATTATCTTGTCCCACTGATTTACAGAAGATTTTGTTAATCCAGAAGAAATCTTTTAGACTAATTAGTTTTACTAAAAGACGCAACTCATATGCTCCCCTTTTTAAAAAATACAAACTCTTAATAGTTTTTAATGTGAGCAAATTGCAAACCTGTGTGTTTATGTATAAATATATACACTTAAATCAAGATCTACCCAGCACTTTTCAAAAATGTTTCAAGTCCAACTCAGAGATTCATTCATATTACACAAGGAATTCTAAGGACCTTTTCCTTAACCAATTCTATCAGGGCGAGATATCTTGACAAGCCCTTTTGGCTTCTAACTTCCCCAGCACACGTTATTTCTACAAAGTTATCTTGTGATTAGATTTATTTGTTTGATCAAATTGTTCTTATTTGTGCAAATGAATAAATTAAACTAATGGGAACAGCATACTTTAAATTGGGGAAAAAAAACTTAAGTATGCTGTACAAAGTGTTCAATACTAACACCTGTAATGTTACCTATAATCTTCTGCTTCAGACAATCTTATCATACAAAACACAAAACCACGTTCAGTATTATCAGAAATCACTTTTATTCATCATCAAAAACCTACTTTTCAAATGAGTTATCTCATCACTCCGACACCCGTGTGGTTTTAAAAAGTCAGTGGATCATTCACACTGAAAAACTATTTTTCTTTTCTATCATGTTTAGATAGAGTTCACCTTGAAGTAAACACTGAGGTATTTTGTATTTAGTTCTGAGGGCCAATTCGATTTATGTTGAGGTGACCAAACACAACACACAAAGAAACAAATGTCTGTACTCCAATAGATTAAAACAAGTTGTTCATAATGTAGTTCAGAGGTCCGAACACTTTTTCAATTTAAATAATTTCAGAAACTTATTCAAACATATTCAGAAAATAGTTTCACCTAGTAACTCTAATGTCGCTTTAAGACCACAAAAAGACAAACAAGCATTTAAGATACATAACAATATAACAACCAAAGCTTCATGATCATAATTCCTCATATCACAAGTCATTTCACACCTTCATAAGAATGGCACACTCATATACTCTCTTTACCTTCACCACAAGGGAATGAAGTGCTGATTGTGCCGAGTGCAAATAAGGTTCAAAAAGACATTAAAGTGTTTTCCCACCCGAGATCCTTTTTATTTTGTACAAACAGCATATGAAAACCATCTCCCCAAAGTTAAATTTGCCATCACAGAAGCAAAACTTTTAAAATACCACCCCCAGTCCAAAGGAGTAAGTCTTTAGTCGTTATCTGAACCTTCAGGAGGGAGAAACACTAAAGAGTCAAGGTGATCGTGGCCATAAGGTCGAAGTCTGTAAACTCCAAACATCATGACCTGCATTTGACTCGGTGACATCCCGTTAAATGTGACTGCCATGTCAGAGCAGCAGCCCTCCACCACATTATTGGGGTTGTCCTTCATGCTGTCTTTTATCAGAGTCTCCACGCTGTTGCTGTTGAACAAACCCTTTCCGTGTGCATCTTCCCCGTTTTCTGCAAAGACTCCGGTATATTTGAGACACACGGCCAGCTGCTTGTCTTCACTCAGCTTCCACAATGCGCGTCCTCTTTCTGGACATTTGTCCTCATCCTGGAACACATTCACCAACCTCTTCAGTGCTTCGTAGCTCAGAACAATTCCGCTATCATAAGTCACATACTCAAGCTCCCCTGACTTCATGGCGCTGCCCAGGTAGAAGGGCTGGCTGGGATCCTTTGCGAGCACCAGGTATTTGAGGTTCTCGATGATTGCGAAGGTGGTGGCTTTCGCAATAAAGAACCAGCGCAGGTCTCCCGCAGTCTCATAAGCATGCCTCAAAGCTTTACGTAACCTCGCCCAGTCATCCTTTTCGTTCAGATCCACGGCCTCAAGCGCCTTGGATGGCTCAGAAGTGTAAAACACAGCCTTGTCGCAGTGTTTGCTCCAGGTGTCTACCGCAGTAGCCCAGTAAACAATTAACTTGGGCTGAACCATGATGATGCAAGACACTCGAACTTGATTAATTAACTCCTGCATCCGACTGTCAGAAAAGCGTGTCAGCTCGTCTTTACTCGGGGCCATGACATGATGATGATGGTGGAGGTCCTCTGGTCCAGACTCTGTGCTGGGGCTAAAACTACTTAGGAGCGACAGTACCAGGCAGAAAAGGCCTCCCAAGAACACCCCTTTCATGAAAGAGCTGCCTTCAGACAACATTTTGACAGCAAACACTATAGAAGAGAGGAAAAAAATATTTAATAAACTCATAAGGAAATAAACCCAGTTCACAGCTACTACTTCCTGCTAAACACAGCAGTAAGTGGCTGCATGTTTAATTGGTTCAAGGATAGTTTGTCTGACAAAACGAAGTGCTTACGAATGCAAGAAGTTCATCCTGATGAACCAGTAGGCCCGACATTAAGAACAATCCAAGGTGCAAAGACTGGGAACTGAAAAATGATTCAGTTTTGATGCAACTTGACAGACGTCTGCAGCGTAACAAACATACACTTCAGTCTAACAAGTGTAGTCAAAATCTGGTTAGGCAAAGGGTTCAAGGGTTTCATCTCAAAACTTGCACCTGAACCCGTTGGCTGTTCACACAAGAGACTGGAGGGTCTTAGATACATTTGTCACATTGTTCTTGATTACTCAGGGACAGCACACCTCAGACTTCCATGTCAGCTGTAAATGAACTCTCAAAGAAGAGCATTGTACCCAAATAAGAGAGGCTTGGAATATTTGATAAGCGCTCTAGGCAATGCTCACAAAATGTAATGCAAACGACAAATTGTCGTTCTTTACAGGCTTAACAGGTTCTGCAACATATTGACTTCAGTTCTGTCACCTGTTATCTACATTATAAAGGTGTCCTTATTAGACTTGTAAGAGTAGAAATGACCACTAAATCAGCTAAATACTTTCTAGGAACTCTTTAAATGTGAGTTGCCACTCATGAGTTTAGTTTGCAGTTTGAGTAAATTGGCTTATCTTCTGGGTGTGGTGACGGTCTGATCAGCTCACTCTGAATTGCGCAAAAAGTTATAAAAGTTGTATCATTTATTTAAAGATAAACCCAACATGTCATGTGATAAAAAGTCATACATTCTTCAGTTAATGCCTTTCCCTTTTGTTCATTGTCTTCATGTGAGTAAGGCGTGTATTCTGATCACTTTACACAGACAAGACAAAGGTTCTGGTGATCTGAAGGTTGAATCATAAACATCATAGAAACATTGTTATAGGAACAGAGGTCTACTTGATCTCATCTGGACGGGGACTGGTTCGTCACTACTGATGGTGGATTTTAACGTACCGTATCGTATCTTTGTGCAAATATTACACGTGTTCAGTTAAGACAGAAACTTAAAGCAACTGAACCGACTTGAACAACCAGCTGAGCGTTTGAAGAGTCAACACAGCGACATGATTTTAAAGGTCTGCACCTCGACATGTTCAATTAGCTATGGACACTATAGCGTTACCGGTGACTAACTTCAGCTGTTACTTTATCCGATAGCAAATACGTGTTCAGCCATTATGTCCATCTAACATAAAAAAAAACATAAATACTGTACCGCAGGGACGGTGCTTCGCTGCTAGTCTTTGAGCTCCCACTTTCCTGTTTGGGCCAGCTCATCACTTCCGCTTTGTGCGGTCACGTGACTCGATGGTGGACTCCATAGATAAGTAAACGTTTATGAGTGGACTCGTCCGGATCCTTTTATTTGCGTTTTATACTACCATAAAAAATGGATTGAGTTAATGAAATTTTTTTTCAATATAGTCTTGTCTCGTGGAGTAAAATCAATCACACAGATAACCCTGTCCTTTTTATTGTTTAATAAGTAGTATAAAAACAACATGGTGTACATATCTTGGACATATACAGAGAACAAATGTGCAAAAATAAATAAATAAATGAATAAAAAAAAAAAAAAAAAAAAAAATATATATATATATATATATATATATATATATATATATATATATATATATATATATATATATATATATATATATAAAACAATTATAATGAAATAATAAATAAAAATAAAAATAAAATCATATGTAAGGAAAGATTGCAAACAATTGAAATAACACATATGGGGACACAGGTGCAAAAAAGCAAAAAGTAATTATAAAATAAAAATAATATTAAAATAAAACTCTTAGGAAAGATTGCAAATAATTAAAATAAAATATACAGGGGACACAGGTAGGAAAAAAGCAAAAAAAAAAAGTAATATTAATAACAATTAAATGAAAATGAAATAAAAACTGTAAGGAAAGATTGCAAATAATCAAAATAATACATACAGGGGACACAGGTGGGAAAAAAGCAAAAAAATAAAAATCAATATAATAATAATAATAATAATAATAATAATAATAATAATATAAAAAAACCAAGCAAATAATAATAATAAAATAATAATAAAAATAATTAAATAAAAATAAAATAAAAAATTGGAAGGAAAGATTGTAAATTAATTGAAATCATGGCTGAGAAAATATTAACTAAAAACAACATAATAAAATAAAGCTGCAAACTAATGTTCTAAGTTGTTTACTTCCACAGTGTTGGGAATCTTTTTTTGCATGTGCATTTTTGGGGTTATAGGAAAGTTCATAATGCATCAGTTGTACTTTTTCTGTTGATCTGTCAAATATAATTTTCATAAGATTTTGTGGGATATGAGGTACCATTAAATAAAATCTTTGATATTTGGTTTGGATTTTTTTTTAGGAAAATCACAGCCACTGATCAAAATATCTGAAAGATGAGGGGCGTCAGGAATGTTTTAGGATTCAGAAGACTGAACTCTTATTAAGAAAGAAGATAATAATGAAGATAATAACAATGATAATAATGCATCAGATGTTATAGCGCTTTTTGTCAGTGACCTCAAAAAGATAGCATTGTCTTTGTGTCTCGAATCTGGAACAATGCTGACTGATAGTTTCCTGCTTTGATATCTGACTTCTGAGGTGACTGAAACACCCCATGCCCCTGTAAATTTATCTAATAATCCCGCTCTACCTTTAGACCATAAACCTAATACATCCATGACCACAATTAAAACATGACTATACATAAATCCTGTCCAGAAGCATCATGCTTGAGGCTGAATTACATCCATTTTCACACCTGATACTCTCGTACCTCTGCTGACCTTTTATGTCTTCTCAGCCACCGAATGCATCAAGTGTTTTTTTTTTTTTTTCTGCTGCCATTTCCCAGACAGTGTGACAAAAATATAAATCACCTCCTGCGAGAACTGTCATCTGAAGAGCATTACTGACCTTTCAGTTTGACAGAAAGCCTTCTTCAGCCACAGATAACTCTACACTCCTCGACTACCTCTAAACCCCCTCATATTCTTGTAAAGAATAAAACCTTAAACAATATCTTTCAAAGTACTTTGTAAAATGAAAGGAGAGGAAAAATGGTTTCTTCCATGATGCCACAAATAAAGCCGGCGCATATTCATACATCAGTTTTAATTAGTAGACTATAGACATCTATTTATTGCTGTTTTTGGCATGCTTTAATGCTGAAGCAGTCTCTGTCATTCAAAAATCTGCTATCAAACCAAAGCCCTTGCAGATTATATGAGAAGAAGAGAGATAAAACAGAGGGAGTAATCACTAAAAAACCTTCTTATAGTGAATGCAAAGTCATTACTCCATAGCAATAACCACGATTTTGCACCTTTGACTCAAGAACATTTGAAACAAACCTAAATGTGATCTCTCTGTCTATTCAATCATAATAAACAACCACTGAACAAAAAATGACGTAGAAACCTGCAGTAACACACTGGACATACGTCCCTGTGATCTCAAACATGAGTGATGATTCTCACTAAAATGGTGTCAGACAAAGAAAAAAAAACTTCATCAGAGATCTCCTGAACGGCTGCTGATCACTGTCACAGAGTAAACATTTGTTTGTCGCCTCTGAACAAGCACAGATAGGCTGTGGCCTCATTGTCAGGGTCCTCTAAAGTGTGTCCATGACGCCTGATCCATCGCGTCAACACCATCAAGACACAGACTGGGTGTGGTGATAATGTATTGATCAGATTGTGATTGATAGCCTCTCAGGGTATATAAGGGAAGTTCTTCCCTTGCAGCACAGATCTGAACGTCCAAAGATAAAGTCACCATGCTGTCTGTGGCTCTGTTATACCTCCTAGCTGTGATTTGTTCTGCAAGACGGACACAAGCGCTACCTCTGTACCCTGACCTGGAACCACAGGCAGGTAAGGCTCTTATTTATATCATTACTCTTATTTCTTTTTGTCTTTTGTTTTTAAATGTAAAAGTTTTGAATTCTTTTAGAAAACTGACAAGAAAAGGTATTTTTCCTTGTAGCACAACCAGGAGATAACTTATCCAAACTCTGATCAATTTCACAATTAATAATTGTATAATTGGATATTGGATAATTGAAGAGACATGGTTTCATCCCAACAGATTTCATTCAGAAGTTTGTGTCAGAGGTGGAGGATGGAGCGAACGCTGCTGAGGGGGAGCAGAGAGAAGTGAATAATTTGCTTCCTCTGCTAATGCAGCATAATGAAGGAAGGAACTCATGGACTAAAGGTGAAAAGAAAAAATATACAATGCATCTAAGTACTGAAAAAAAACCAGTCTTAACCATCATCAGTTAAAAAAATAAATGTTTTATTTTGCCTCTATTTTAGGGACCAAAGATTTAGGAACACAAGACAAGTTTGCAAACATGGTAAGGATGGTTTTCTGCTCTTGTTTTCACTATTTTGTACTTCAAAGAAATAGAAAAAGCCTTTAACAGAAAAAAAAGGGAAAATATAAGTATATATTCACAGCTAAAATTTGTTATTCCTTGGTTGAGATTTCAAGCACTTCAACTGCTGATTCAACTTCATTAATCAGAATGATGTACCAGAATCTGAGGCTGAGTTGAGGTTTAAATAAGCCGGGTGTTTTTACTAATGTCTGTTAATCCTGGAACCTGACTGTGATGTGCTGAGTACATATTTCATATTAACACTTTTATCACTATATCTGCAATAATGTGATATTTGCACAGTATTTTGTTATATAAATTTGCTGTTAGAATGATAATAAATTTGAAAAAGGATTTAAGTTCATCATTATATTCAGGTGAATGGATGCATTTATATTGTTAAGCTTACATTTATATTTATTTACTGTAGACACATCAAAATTAATCTGTTCAGGGAGCTGCTAGATTGAGCCACTGTTTTTTTCCCAATGTGATATTATTGTATTATTTGTATGCTTTTAGGTGGAGGACCTCAGGGAAGCAGTTTTAAAGCTGACGGCAGCGGACAAGCTCCGTGCTCAGGGTTTTCTCAGGTCAGAGCAGAGCCTGCCAAAAACAAACAAAAGAGGTCAGTGACTAATGTTGTCATTATCAATGACATTCCACACCTGCTCTTTATACAGTAGTGCTAATGCAAAACCTGTCATATCAAAGTGAAACTTATGATAGTGGCTATGCCATTTAAGATTGTATTACATCTTGCACTATTCATGTAGGCAGTTAGAGGCTATGTATTCAACACAATTTTTGGATCAAATATTAAACTCGTAGGTTTCAAATGCTCTTAGCCTATTTGAAGATCAAACAGAAATGTTTCAACTGAGAAAACTGACATCAGTGTCAATAACTGTATACACAGCCCACTTTTCAGGGATTACAGATAACAATGCGATTCAAAATGTAATGATCCGTCTTTGTTGAAAAAATTTAAGATTTTAAAAGGTAGTAATTGCAGTTGCAGTAATGAAATTTGCATCAATAAACAAGTAAACACTCAGTAATTGTCTCTCAATGAGTGACTTGTAGTTTTCAGCAGATTTTGAGGCATCTTTTGACTACTTTTGATTAATAACAGTTTTTATAAGACTAATTTTTTGGGCTTTTTAGAGGCAGATAGGGAACAGTAGATAGAGCAGGAAACAGAGGAGGGAATGGGGAATGACATGCAAAAGGGGGTCACTGGGTAGAATTAAACCCGGGGTGCACCTTGACTACTAGGCTTGGCGCCCTAATAACTATTTTTTTATTAATGATATTTACTTCCTATTTGGTGACATTTTTAAAAAAAATCTGTAAAACAGTGTTTTATCATCGGTGTTAACACTCGTGTCTGTACTTGGGTGGTAAAAACCTCAGAAAAATGCATGAAGTTACATCAGTGTCAGTATATAACAAAATTTTAATGGACTGGCTATAATCTTTAATATAGTTACACAAAGTGTTAGACCCAAGTGTTTTTAGAACATTTGATATTCTCAGTCTACATATAATTAGAGTAGTGTTATTTTAATAGGAAAAGGGAAAACATTTGTGGAAGTAATAGACAAGGTAAGGCTTTTCTTTAGAGATACAAATAAAAAGTCATTATCAAAATAAATGCTTGGTGAAATAAGTGAAATGTTTGGACTGAAAACTGTGTTTTGGTCCCTGACTTTTCCTCCTGATGTCTTGACAGCATGTTTCTGGAAATACTGTGTCACCAACTGAGGTCAAGCTCGAGGACATTTTGTGTGTCTTCTGTTCAGACTGATCAGGACCGCCATCGTTTTTCATCCGTCACTCCTGTCAACCACCGAACAAAGTATGCACCATCTGTACTGAATCAACAGAATATATTTTGGGAGCTGTAATTTTCTTTTGTTGCTTGAGAATAAACTTGAATATCAGAAATGCTATTGTTGTGACATGCTTTTTGATTGCACTGGTTGGATGTAAATAGAGTTAATTAGCCAAGAGAACAGCTATCAACCTAGGAATCATTTCTCATATTTTCTAACATTGAAGGGTGATACAGACACAAAAATCCACATTTTGAATAATGTCTTTGATATTTTTTAATAAATGTGTCGGAGAGACAACCTAATCACATCAACAGGTGCTCCAAGGGGAGGGGGAATATAAAGATGTGTTTCATGTATTACATAAAAATGAACTGTTCGTAAAGGATTTTCATCCATGTCTCATACTAACATTATCATACACATTTCAATAGGAGTGTTTTGATCATAAAAATGTGGAAAAATATATATATATTTACACTATAAACAATAATTGTCAATTGCACATTTGGCCTTTTCAGTTTTGGTTCAGGCTTGAGGACACTATCTGTCGAAAAGTGAAGATGAGTAAAACAAATAAGAAACACGGCATTAACAACTGCATTAACATGTTTAACAGTGTCTGATTTTTGAAGTGTCTGTTCATGTTGGTTGAAGCGCCCTCTACTGGTCAGTATCTTTACATGAATGAATACACAAGAAGAAAAAAGCACATGAATCAAAAGGAATCGCCTGCTCAATTCCTCTGTTTGGCCACGCTGAAGTACGCCTTCTCGATCTCAATGTCAGCCGGGCACGTCTCTTTAAACTCCTCTCTAGCATAGGCGTTTTGAAGGTATCGCCACACGCCTGTGAACTGAGCTGGAATCTCAAAATCACAGTACTTCTTCGCAGCAACCTGGAATAAATGTATGGGAGAAGAAAATTAAGACTTTTTTAGAGGCAGCAGATACATTAAGTAGCCTCCATAAAAATCTGCCTTGAAAGAAGTTAGATACATCAAATTCTTCAGGTTATAGTATCAATACATATAGGAGAAAGAACAACATCATGATCGGGAATAAAACCTTTGTTAACAAAAAATTAAGCATATGTTGCACTTTACAAAACATATCATCTTTGTGCTTATTAAAATTACCATAATGGTGTTTTTGGACCTATAATACAGCAAGTATATGCTACAATGCAGAAAAAAATTAAAAGTTAAAGCACTCATTATACAGTCAAAGGCTGCTTTTACAGATAAATTGTTGCACTTAGTATGACACTATGAAGTCGACAAAGCATAAATACCACTTTTCAATTATAACAAATTAAGAATAGTCCTGTCAGCAAATACAAAAATTTTTGAGGTTTTGTATGAGTAGGTTGTATAACAGGTACAAAACTGCATTTAAAGCTCCTGTGAGGAATTTTGACATTTATGAAATAGACAGAAATTCATCTTCAGTGTCTCACCCTGATAACGTGCAGTTTTGGCAGCAGATTGCAGTCAGCTAAGGTGAGTCGATCGCCATCCAGGAACATCCTTTTAGAGACGACGATGGTTTCCCTGGAGTTGTGGTCGATCTCCTCAGGCAGTGGGGAGTTCAGGTAGTTGTCCAGGCGTTTAAACTCCCTCAACAGGTTTTTCTCATGGACTATCAGGAAATCAGATACAGGGACAAAGTGTGATTTGTGTGTCATCAGCAGCAGTGTCCTATAACTGCTGGTAAACTGAAAGGTAAGAACTACTGATAACTTTGACACTGTGTAGAGGTAGATTTAAAGAAGTTGTACTGTATATATCTTTAGTGTACTTTTTATATTTACAGCAAAACATTTGGAAAGTAAATATTTTATCTTTTATGCCACAAAATTTATTTCACAGTTATCGTTATATGGCTTCTTTAAAAAATTACATGAATAAAACGTTGACATGTATGTGGTGATATAACAGCCTTTTTTTTGTGAAATGATATTTATCTTTTCCTGGTATTACTTCAAAGATCCTCTACAAAATTTGTGAGCAAAATGACTGCTTTAGGAGATTTAAAAAAAAATGAAAATACATGAGCATTGTCAGCAGTATCAGTCAGATCAGTCTGACAAACCCTAAGGCAGAAACCTCCATAATGTTCCCACCACCAGCTTGAAAGGAGACTGAGTATTTGCTGTTCAGGCTCTTTTTTATGGGACATAACAAACTGCCTGGGGATCCCTGTCAAGCTACATCAGTGTCTTTCTTCTATCAAGCCATTCTTGTTTTAAGTTGTATTGTTTTTTATTGGTATGTCCTGCTTTGTTCTTTTATTGTGGGCCTTCATGTCTATGAAGCATTTTGAAACCTCCTTTTTGAGAGGTGCTAAATAAACAAACATTATAACATTTTAAGTATCACTACAGTTTGCATTATGCAGCAAAAGTGGGACATAATATTGGCATGGTATTATACTGTTCTCCTGACTCAAATTTTCCAATCACTTGTAACGGTATTTTCAGTTGAGATAAATATGGCTAACAGACTATCCTTTCCTATACTCTCCTCTTTTTTTCTTTTTTGCATATTTCACATTTATATGTATTTATTAAAAATATTGAGAGCTATTTCATGTTTAACAAATCACAAAAACCCTCAACTTACAGGCATTACTGGGACTGTTCTTGATGAAAGCAGAGAATTTGGCAAAAATGTCAGCGCCGACGTCAAAGGACTCTTTGTTTAGTGGGCTGAGGTGAGGATACCTGCATGAGAGAGGAGAGAGATGAAGCCTGGGCACAAACCTGTTTGATGTCACTGAGCCTTTATCAAAATTACACTTCGGTAATATTTGTTTAGTGATTATCTGTACCTGGGAGGAGCCAGTGTTTGTTCAAGAAACTCCTCGATTTTGATGAAGTCTGTTTTTAAGGTGCCGTTGTAGAGGAGAAAAGGAGGGTTGGTGCCTGGGGCCAAGTCTTTGAGCTCAGCTGGCTTCCTGGAAACAATAGAAAAGGATGGAAAACATGAGTTGCTATACAATTTACTGAGCTCTGATTGTGACCAAGCTTGAAAGAAACGACAGCATTTTGGTAGTTGGGTCTGTCAGGTTCAAATTCAACAGAGAATTGATGATTATCCCTTTCGCTGTTGGTTTAGTTATAAAATTCATGGTCCCACAGGGGTGTGGTCAGCTGTTTTGTGTGCTCTGAATCATTCAGTTATTAGCATCCCTTTAAAGTTTCTTATTTGCTCTCCAGGATCAACCCTGTGAAATTCACCAGACACCTAAATTAAAGACGTGTTTGTTCAGTAGTCACACAGAGCTCTTTGTACACTTTGGCTCCAATCCCTGTTAGACAGAGTGAGAAACACACCTATTCTTAAGTGAGAAATTATTCAAATTACTGAAAGAAAGTCCTCAATTTCTCTCTTGTTTGCTGCTAAATAGGGTTCTTCTGTGTAAAAGCCCTCATCACCAGATGCTCAGGAAGTGTTTTTAGCCAGAGGAGGGGCTGCTTACTTCCTCATGTCGACAGTGGTCACAGTGAACTTCACTCCTTTCAGCCATAAAACCATGAAGAGCCTCTGGCAGAAAGGGCAGTTCCCCACGTTTTCACCATCATGTCCAGCCTGAAAATGCACAAAAGCCACATTTAGAAGATTCTTTTTAGTCTCAAGAGTCACTTTTTTTCTTCTGATCTTCTGATAGTAAACAATTGACCTCATTACAAGGTGTGCCTGTGATATTTAAAGTCTGTTTACTTCACTGAGACACTAACAGCAGAACAGGCATTGTGCTGTAGCAGAAAAAAAAGATGCTAACATGTCAACCTAAGTCTGTTTTGTTTTGATTTACTTTGACAATTTGGCTAAGACATATTTATGCAAACTAAATATTTATTTACTTTCTTGCATAAATTTAGATAAGTTCAACAGCACTCCCAGTTACTTTAAGACAGAAAATAATAAGGCTAAAGCAAACACTACGTTAGCATATAGCCTAGCATGAAATGAAGAAACAAGCAGGGGCAGCTAGCTTAGCTTCATCAAACTGTGATGATTCGTAAATATTAATTTAACTTTTTAACACATTATATCGGGGTTGTTAAAAAAATAACTCCAAAGATGATGATTAAATGTTTAGATTAAAGAGTGGATATTGTGCCAAATTTGACAGGGAATAATTATAACCTGTTCTTGAGTGACTAAATGTTAAATGATTAATTTGCAAGAGATGTTGTGCATTTATCTAATCACTTATTGAGCTTTCCTTGACCTTCTTTCTCTCTCTCTCTCTCTCTCTCTTTTTTGCACATCAAATGATATAAAAAAATACCTCGAACATTTCAATCAAGAGTCACTGTAGGGCAAAAACCTGATGTAGTTAACGTTTTGATAAATACCAGGCAACTTTCCATGACAGATGAACTGTTTATATGACTTCTTGATATGGATGAGTCTATCTTAATAAGTGCGTAAGTAGAGTGGGTGTGTCTGGTTCGAGCTGGGGCTTTTCACCCTGTGTGCTCCATACTCCTTCTGATAAGCTGCAGTGTGAGTCTGCCTGTAGACATAATTCACTGATAAACTTTTGCCGTGACCCTTAACATGGATAAAGACACTCCTGCATCTGTTGCGCAGGATATTTTTTTATATTAAGGCAAGTCATGCTCAGATTGATGCCCACATACACCAAAAAACTATATCTCTACCTTTTTACAGTGCAGATCAGTGAACAGCATTTTTGTGACACCCTTTCCCTCATTTTCTAACAGTGAATTCAGATATTCCTGGCTTTTCCTTACATTCTTCAGTCTGCTTTTCCTACAAGAATTTCATGAAATATACAGAAAATACTGACCTTGATGAACAACTCGATGCTTGGCTCCTTCTCAGAGTTCTGCCGAAGTGCCATAATGTCCAAAAAAGTTAATTTCACTTCTTTCAAGTTCCAAATTTTGACTCCTGTCAATATCTCTACTCAAGTTGAGGTTCTTCAATGCCCTAAAAATCCACAGATCTATAGGGAGAGAGAGTTGCTTATAAAAAAAATGTCCTGGAACAAGTGTTGCACTGGTTTTTAAGTGTTTGTGGTCCTGGATGTCTGGAGAAAGTTAAACACCTCACAGCTGGTTGTGTTTTGTCTGAGGGCTCCTTGAAGACTATCGCTCTGAACATACTTTACAAAGCAGAGGAGAGGGGAGGATCCAGGAAAATGGGCGGGGTACACACTCTTATATACCCAGAGCCAGAATCTATGAGGCGAGTGCTTAAAATAGGATCCTTTGCATTTGGCAATTCACAGGAACTGATAAACCCATGTGACTCACATTAATTCAGACAATTCATCTCAACCCTCACATTCCTACAGTATTAGGTAGAAAAGGAATAATAGGTTAGAGTCACTTTCAGAGGACATTACAAAGCAGTCACTGTGTACTTAGTGACAAATAGTGGAGACACGTAATCTTACTTAAAAGAGGAAAGAAACCTTGAGTCAAGGTCTGGTTGCTTGCTGAATGTGTGTCAGGTGCTTTGACAAGAGGGGCGTGAAAAATGCTGCTTTCAGATTCATTTTGTTGTGTATTGATGGATGTAAAATGATATTTTAGCTGCTTTGAAGAAGTGTTAAAATGACAGAATCACTTGATGTTATCTGGAAATATGATTATTAGCTGAATAAAGCAGTACTGTACATAAGCACAGCTCTTGAACACAGTTATTAACTCAACAGCAGTTTTCAAATACGGTAATCTTTATCCTCATTTTATGTTTGCTTTGTTCAGTTTCACTTTTGACACCTGCAGCTACTTATTAACTTACACATGATATGCAACATGTAATTCTATAGTGAAATATATTATAAATGTGACCTATTCAGCGTGGGCATGTATAGACTCTTTATGAACACTTCATCAAATCACTTTTCTATACCTGTCATACAGTTAACAACCAAAGTCTCAGCCCCTGAAACTGGGATGATTAACCCAAAAACTTTATCCTTATAAAGCTCGCTGACATCGGAATTTTACTCTTATTTTAATACTTTAATTTAGTATGTTTATGAACACAATCAAGTAACAATGTAACTTGACTTTGAAATGGGGAAACAGTCAGCATCAGATGTTCACCGTGGTTTAGATGCTAGTAATAATTAGTTTGTGACAAAATAATGTTAACATTATATTAACTAACTCTGCCAAGTTAAGTATAAAGATTTATTTACTCAAAAATAAACACTTTACAGGTAAAAGGACAAATAAGCAAAGACTGCTTTATCCACAAGAAGTGCCAAAATCATTTATTGTAAGTTTTCTACTCCGCTGTACCAGCTGAGATGATAAAGTTGGGCTTAGTCCTTGGATAAGGTTTCGTGCTGAAGATGAGTGTGAGTGTTAAAGTGTATTAAAAATTACTTTCAAAAATAAGTGTGTTGTAAATTTAAGGTGTTTTTTTATTTAAAGCAATAGGAAAAGGAAAAGTGGGAAAAGATAAATGAAAGTAAGATTTAACTTTCAATTTTAGACCACACAGCCCTGAGGGCTCAGTTCTGTTTTACTTTTTCTTGTAATTTTTTATCTATGATAAATAGAGGAATGGAAAATTTCGAAATCCCCATACCGTGGAGCACACTTCCCTATAAAAATAGGATTAGGCAACACTTCTCAAGTAAATCAAGAAAAATACCCCACAAAGTCTGAGGCTCTGTGTCATGTGCTCTGTTTTATATGGCACTTGTCCATCTAAAACAGACATATCATGTTGAAATCCCAAACAAATCCAGGAAACTTGTTAAAAACACTGGACCATCACAGGAAAAGTAACAGAGATGGAGAAAGTCCTTCATCTTTAATGTCCACAGATTCAGGGAGGTCATTATGGGAAATCTGCAACATGAACTCCCCCACCCATTCTCCAAGACAACAAGAGTGGATACACTTAGGGAATAATTAGTCAGGTTATTGACTCTTTCTACGGGGGTTGAATGGAATTTCACTGGAGTACAGTGGGAGTGTTACTTTTACTTCCAAGCATGATTAACATGTGGGCTTTTCCTTTTAAACTATCTGCCTCCTTTGTCATGCCTCCTCTGCTGCTCTGGAGGGAGTGTTTATTGGATATCTGGTGATAAGTGACTGGACAACCATCTACACTCTCATTTATCTTATTTCTCCACTAACAACTCTCTACCAGCACTGATCATTTTCTGAGAAGCATGGGGATTACCTCACATGCATTTTGAGTCAGTGTTTGGTTGCCATGACAACAGGCTGATAAAGACAGGATTTGTAAAAGGGAAATAAGGTTATGACCACAGCATTTATGGTAAGCCGAAACTAAGTGAGTCTGATTTCACAGGGAAGAGACATTTAACAGCAGGGATTTCCTGAATAGTAACCCTGGAAAAAAATGGCACAAGTGGAAACACTTGTGACCTCCCTGGCTTCCTTTTCAAAAGACAAAAAAGGAAAGCTGTATCTCATGGAGAAAGATACACATATCTACACTGGACACACAGCAGCTGGAAGTGACCTCCTGGAAACAAGAGCCTTATCTCCAGAAACAGGACCCCCAATGTTGACGAGCCGGGCCAAATATGGGTCTGGATTTTTTGGGCCATCACACACACACACACGCACGCGCGCACGCACGCACGCACGCACGCACGCACGCACGCACACAAGGTCAAATGTCAAAGATGCTATCCAGTCATTCAAGTGTTATTTTGCCTTACAGCTTCTGCAGTCTTCAATGACCCCAAGTGGCATTTTTTTCTTACCAGAAGAAATATATCATCTTAGATGATACCAGACTTAGAATACAGTATTAAAATCAGTGAACTCATATTGTTTTCAGAACTGCAATTGGCAGGTCAAATGGGTTTCCGTTGAGACTTTCTGAAACTACAAAACAATCCTGTTTCTCCAAACATTTACAAAGAAACTGTTCTATGTCTCATTGTGCACGGGCTAAACAAATGAGATTCAACATGTTGATTTATCAGCTTATTTAGAGAGCCGGGCTCAGACGCAGTATGCATTGTTTGAAGGAGGACTCACACAGTGCATGACCAAAAGTGCTCACACTGAACAGTCCGACTACCAAACGTGACCTGAGTGCTCACTCCGTATGTGTTAAACCAGACTGGGGCTTTGGTATCTGTCAATATAAGTTCCTTTTGATCCCTCCAGATATAGAGATTGATGTTAAAAAAATACATCTTTATATTGAGTACAATTATCACCTTTCTATAGATAATGTCATCAAAAATTGAGCTGACCAAATATCCGACATGCAATTCCTCCAAACACTCAGTAGCAGCTTACTGGGCCGTTATCTACTCCCTGTACACTGGCCTCAATTTGCACAGGATATGCCTGGCAAAACAGTTTCCTCTGCTAAAAGAATCCTGGCTTTAGCCTATGTACTTTATAGTGGTAGAGTTATTTATCTTCTAATCTGACACGTTGAAATAAATTAAATAAGTTTGCACCTCAAACTGTTTTTTTTTAGCCACAGAATATGAATACTAGAAGTCTATGTCCTCAAATATGAGGGTGTCCACTGTCTTTTGATCATTGTTATCATTATTACCTCATTTTTTCAGCACCAATACACCAGGTTAGTGTTAGACAACACAAATGCATATCTTATGCATATACAGGCAGACATACAGCTGGATCATCTCATCTCAGCCAAAGCAACCTAAAGCTCTACATAATCTTTATTTAGAGCAAGGCGCCACAGTGTTTTATTGCTTTAAAGAGAGCCCGACTGTTTCTCGTCAACACAATGCCATCATTGACCTACTGACCGCTCTCACCCAGGAGTCAATAGCACAACACCACAAAACCCCAAGGGTTAGTCCTGCAGGATGAGCACAACAGCAGTGCCGTGGAGTTTCTGCCTCTTTTTACCTTTTCTTTTGGCTCTGAAGAATCACACTGCAAACTCTGCTCCTGATTTCTCTCGTAAGTACTTTGTTTATTTTGCTGCACTAATTGTTTTCTGAGGACAAAAGCCAAATGCTGACTTATCACTTTGTCATCTGTCGCAAAGGAAGCTACTGAGGGATATTAAGCATTCTGTTTTTTTTCTACATATCCTGCTTTTGAGACAGCTGCTGACACTCATTTTGAATAACTAGGATTAATGTCTTGATCTCAGACCTTTAATAAATCAACCTTAATATAAGCTGCAATTAAGGTATTGTTTTGTCTCCAGGCAATAAAATTTGATGAAGAATACAATGTTAAACGTTGCTGAAGTTTAAAACATCTCTATTGCGAATTTCTCTGATATGTCTACGTTTGACCTCTGCAGAGTTTCCTTTTTTTGTGTGCGCTTGCAGCCTCTGAGGGGCCTAATAATAGATCATTGTAAGCAAGTGCCTGGTACTGCCTCTCATTTGCTCTCTGAAGCTTCGAACAGGATCTTTTGCGTACTGCACACAACATAAACACACACACACACGCACGCACACAGAGGAAACACAAATGGGAGGAAAACACGGGTCCAGCATCTATTTTCTGATGTATTTTGTATTTGTACATGTGGTCATAGTACAAATATTGTCTACTGGAGCTACACCCAGTGATTAAGACAACACCCATTCAACAACTAGGTACAATGGCAATGACTATGAAAGGCCTCCGATAGGCCACACTTGCAAATCAGGGACAATATGTGTTATAAGGCTTCAAAATTAAGAATTTTACAGTAACAAAATCTGGAGCACCCAAAGATCTCCACTTTGATATGAGGTAAAATATTGGCCTGACTGATGGCAAATACATGATGAACTCTTATTTTCATTTTATGGTTTAAAGAGGGTTCAAACCGAGTGAAAATGACACATAGGAGTCCATTAAACTCATAATTTACAGAATGCATGCCAGGTAAAGTTTCTGTATTTATTCATTCTCAATGTTGTATGCTAACTTACTTCAGAAGGATCCGCCACTGTCACAAATGAACTATTAAAAGTGTGATTAGCACCACCTTGTGTCCTTTCAGAATACCTCCACACCATCCTGAAGAACCACACGGCTCATGCTTGTGAAGGAGAAACACTCATCATCCAGTGTCCTTCCAGGACGTCAGTGACTGTCCTGTCAGCTTTCTACGGACGACGTGTCCCCCATCAGTATCTCTGTCCTTCTGCAAACTCAAACACAACTGTGGAGGAGGATTCAGAGTGCACCTCGCCTGTTGCTATTGAGGTAAGAAGTCACAGTAAGATGATGAAGTCAGTGTATATATTTTTCTTTTTCTGGTGTTTGTATACATCAGAATAAAGCATCTTTTATTTTTGCCACTCTTGCAGAAAGTGGTGTCCGAGTGCCAAGATCGTCGGTCCTGTCACATTCCAGTGTTTAGTCCGGTGTTTGGGCAGGACCCCTGTCCCCTCACCAGCAAGTACCTTCTTGTCGCCTACAAGTGCAGACCAGGCAAGCTGCATTAAATTGGACTTAGCTTATCCTTTTTCATTCAAGTATTGCTGAACTGTATGTTTTGCAGCCTCTTTTGAGATAGTGAGTCATCAAAGCAATCCTGCTTTTTCACAGTCTTCATCTAAAGTTTACTTCTACTTTGTTGTTAAAATAAAGTGCACAAAAGGGCATTTGTAAAAGACAAGATTAGAAGAAAGTGGCTAATAAACATAATGCAACAGTTAGTTCATGACTGTGGCTTTTAATAGATATTCTTCGACATACTATTCATTCATTTTCTGTGCCGCTTCTTTCAGAGCATCATCGCACAAGGCTGGTGTGTGAAAACGAGCGTCTAAGGTTGATGTGTAAAAATGAGACCGTGCTCGCCATCTATTCAGCCACCTTTGGACACCTTCTGCACGGCAGTCCGTACTGCCCTCAGGAGCCGGGATCACACGTTGACATGGGTCTGCAATTATTATACGAAGTATCAAAGCTACAGGGTACACAAAAAATAGGGGGAACAGTGGTTGAAGGCCAGGTTTAGCAGAGTTATTGTCTGGTACATCTTCACAAAAACACGGTTTAGCTAATCAGAGTTGAGACATCAAAACTGATCACAGAATACTACAGTATTAATTTGGTTACATATACTAATTTGCTTTTGCTTTTTTTTTGTTTCAAGAGTGTTTGTCACCTTCAGCTCTGAGGAAAGTGTCACGCCGGTGTCACGGCAGATCCAACTGCTCAGTGCTGGCTGACACCCAAACCTTTGGAGACCCGTGTTTCCCTGGAACCAGGAAACACCTGAGAGTGTCCTTCACTTGTGGTAAGTGACAAACCAGATCTCATTATTGTATCTGATATGGTTTTCTTCATTGTTTAGGCTTATTAATCCTCTGATTTATCCTCAGTGCCTCGGTATCTCCTGGACGATGTTGGTCGAGGGTCTACAGATCCTTTCATGATCTCAGACTACACACATGGTGAGTGAAACGCTGAGGACATGAAGGTTTTGTGTCTCGTCGCAGACTTTGAGTAGCGTCTGAGCACCGGACCCCTCTCACTTGCAGGTGGATGGTACACTGGCCCCACCTACAGGCCAAAAAACGTGCTCTTAACCAACTCTCTGGAGATCATTGAAAAAATACTGGGTATGTGCACTGATGCCTGTAAACCTGAGCCTGGGACAGAATATACAAGTTTAGCTATTAAAGGAGATCTGATGCACATCATTTGGGATTTTCAAGAAAATGGACCCGAATGCTCATAGGAAAACTGAGAGGAATAAAAACAAAAAGATATAGACAAATGAATTTTCTGTGCCTTGTTTTAGTTTAATCAATGTTATTGTCTTGCAGGTCTCCCTGAAAGAGTGGCTCTGTATTTTGTCTCTGGCATCTGTGCTGGTCTGGTTTTCCTCCTCTGCCTGTTTGGTCTGCGCTCCACAATAGTGAGAGATGTTAAAGAGCTGGTTTCCGAGATAAACGATGATCTGAAAGCGTCTCGCAGACAGCGCAAGGAGTTAATGGAGGACCTATTTGACGATGACATCTCAGACACGTCCTCTTTCCGCCGTCTCACCCAGTCCTACCGCACAGCAGACATCCTCAGCCCCTCCACCCTGACTGTAGAGATGGTGGAGTGTCAGGGAGAACAGACAAGGGATCTGCCAAATGGAGACATGTGGCCACACCGGGACTCCAGCCCTTACGCCATACATAAGATTAAAACTTACAACAACTGAGAGTGAATCATCTAAGGCGTGGAGCGATTATATAGATGTGTATTTTACTTTCAAGTTAACCAAAGTTTGCCCCTTTCTCCATACTTTGTTGTTCATGGCCAAGTGACTAACAGTTGTGGAAAAGGTATTGGACTCCTATACTTGATATGAAGTGGCAGTATGTACAATAAAAGTGCTCCATTACATGTAAAAGTGCTCTCCTTAAAACTTAGTATGTATTATTCAAAGTGTGCTTTCATAATAAAAATTATAAGAAAATGAAAGATTCAGTCTTGAAAAAGTGCCTTCTGTTTCAGCCTTCTTATATCTTGTAGATAAGAGAAGACATTGATGTTGAGCCTTAGGCATTGACCAAACAAGCTCTTGGCTTATCCAGAGATGTATCAGTTTATCAGGATGTGATTCAAAGGTTACCTATAAGGCTTTATAACTGAGAGATAACCAGGAGGGGATTTGAGGAAACTTAGGTAGGGGTAAATTGTTACACTTCACACAATGCTTATTGTAGCCTAACCTTGACTCTTGTTCATGGTTTGTTTATCGCTCATATCAAACGTGGTCTGATGCAACACTTATCTTTACATGGGCATTAGGCACACGGGAAACATGATTTTTATTGGTCAGAGTATTTTGTCATGCAGATGATATGAATGTTATTTTGGCAAAACCTTGTTGACGAAAGGGACAACAACCCCATATACTTTGACTCAGTGTATTTAAGTATTTGTTATATCAATAACTTGAGGTTAAAGGGTTATTCCAGCGTAAAATTAAGTTCAGGAACAATCACACTGCAACACCGAGTTGAACACCCCCTTGAGAGATGAATGTTGCTGACTGCTTGCTTCTCTAGTTAAACCAACTTTAGTAACAACTGCAGGATGGCAATACACAGCAGTCTGAGGAACCACACACAAACCTCAACCAAAATGCCACTCTATAGCCACAAATAATGTTCAGAACAGCACCTAACTTCATCAACAGTACATATAGGGTCCCAACCATAGTACTAGCCACCAAACATCTTTTTACCTTTGCCTAATTTCTTTAGCAAAGAGACTAAACACAACTCACCCACTCTCTTCCAGTAGCTGCTTGTTTGTAGTGAGACCTCGGGCCAGTCCATTACAGACGACTGCGGGGTGACGCAGCTCAAGGAAGAACGTCGGGCTTTGAATGTTGCAAGGAAAGTCCGAGAAGTGAGCCTGACACGAAAATGTTGAATTTATCATATAATACTGCAGATTTTCTTGTATATACATAGTAGAGGCTGCATTCATGCCTGGACAGAGGGTGGCGGTACATACCTCGCCATTGTTGCGGGTTGTCTTTAGAAATGAAGGCGAAGAAGAGAGGAGCGAGGGGATCCGGAGTGGGAGGGAGGGAGTCCACATATCTGCAAACTCTGAGCTGAAGCTTATTAGCTCATGTCTGCCAGCCTTATAGTCTGGCCAGCCCCGTCCATGCACTGAAGACAAGCCGGATGATTCGCGGTTTATGGCACAATGACGCTATGATAGGAATATCTCAACCCCTCGGTTCTGGTTGTAACCCATATCCAACAACAACTACAACAAAAACATCTGGCTAACAAGCTAACGCGCTGTTAGCATTAGCGACCAGTGGCTGAACAGCTGTCACCCCGGAAGGCCGCCGCCGCCGCCACACCGGGTGGGGATTTAACTTTCTCTGTCCGTGTCTGGACTGAGGCTACACTAAGTGGCCTGCCAATGATAAAACTCTGTCTACTCTTCATCGGTAAGAATGGACTCCTCTTTGGGGATATGCGAGGAGGAGTGCTTGGCAATATCCTTTTTGGGCTATTACGTTTTAGCCATTTTTTTTCAGTTTGCCCTAGCTCGTTAGCTAACATTAGCTCTACCTATCTAATATCGACAGTTTATGTGACAGAGTAAGACAACTTTACGTAAACATAACATGTTATTTTAACAATTATGACAGTCTAGTAGCTAGTTGGTGAATTCATAATAGCGTATATAGTTTTAGTAATTTACAGTAACTTCAGTTCATCACTTTTAGTGAGCAAACTAACTTGCACCGACAAGCCATAACATTATGGACATCCTTGCAATCCAGTTCAACAACTGTATCATAAATTCTGCCTCCAGGAAGCTCCTAAGTTGTCAGTTTTTGTTGGCATGATCAGACAGGTGATTATTGATTATTGGTGGTGCGTGTAATTGAAAGGTGTTCCTGTATTTTGTCCACTTCATTAACAAACTTCATCAATATAAAGCTGTTGGGTACACCACCAACACTTTCTAAAACTTTTATGATTAATTCAAAGAAATCACTTTTCTGACTATGTAAACAAATACCAGAAATGGGGAAGCTTCCTCAGAGTAGAATTATTGGTAGAGCTGTTGTACTGCATTGCATTAGATTGCTTTATAATATTATGGCTGATTGGTGAATAAATCATTAACAATATTTTCATTAATACTTAACTAGTAAACCATTTGGTCCTTGACATCTTGGTTAACACCAGCCATTTCTTATCTTCAACTAACATCCACTGAGCTGCTCATTTTCTTTTTGTTCACCGCTTTTTCTGCTGTTTGTCTCATTCATTTGCCACCATCTTACAATAAGCATGGCTTCTTCATAAACACCTATTATCACCTTTGATCATCTTTAGGCACACCACTCACTAAGTGACCAAATTGAAGCCAAATGACAGATGAGATAAGTAAATAAAATAACTTAAGTGCTTGTGATGTCCAAGCACATTTGTCATCCCTCTTGCAAAGTAATTCCTTGATTGCGATGTTCACACTGTGAGAGGTGAGGAGCTGAGGGCTGGCCAGAAGGAGCCCAGACTGCTGTCTCTAATAGAGCGCAGTGGTGAATTTATGTAAGTATTAGAGCATCTAACGACTCTGTATTTATGTGTTTTTGTTGGGTGTAAGAAACAAAATTTCTCATGTTCTTTTATGGTAACTAAGGAGCTTGTAGTGAATTTCTTAAATGAATGCTTTTGGCAGATCTGATTTTATCGGTAGATACTTAACTGTTGCTTATCTGGATAGTCTTGTTTGCTTTTCCTGGAAGGTTACTCAATGTGATGGATGTTTCATATTTCCTGAAATTTTTTAGTTGACATGCTTTAAACAGACAGCTACTTTATAGGCAATGTGTGGCTTTCTAAATGCAATGTAAGTCTTATCAAGATGACGCGATAAAACAGTTTGTTGTATCAAAGAATGCTGCCAAACAAGGTTTAGATTGAGTAATAAGACACAGGGTGATTTAGATTACACAGGTTGATTATTGAGATTAAGGGTCAGTTAGGGAATGGTATTATATAAGCGTTACATTTTCTTTTTCTGTGGTTGAATTTAACAGGTTAGGTCAAAAATATAAAACAATAATTTACATTTCAGGTTCTCTATTGTTTAAGTAGAGCACAGCATCTGGAACAAAACGTACGTGTGACAATTAAAACAGTGTTCAGTGTCAGGTGTCCCTGTCTGAAAAAAGTGGATTTCTTCACGGATCAGCGACTCTTCAGAGAACAGATATTCGGCTACAGGCCTGTGGTGCTGTGCTGATTTAGTTCAGTGTTACATAAGCAGGATTTTAACCCGGGCAGCTCCAGAGATTTGTGAAAGGGGATGTTGTGAGTGACGGTGGTGGGTGTGTCAACCCATCAGCGTTGTTTGTGTTTGTAGCAGGGTATGGTGTTTGTGCTAGCGCTACACTGAAAGCTCCCACCGGCAGCAGCAGCAGCAAGCAAGCAAGCAAGCAGCTCACTTCCTATTAACCAGAATTCCTCAATGCGGTCCAGGAGTGTAATAAGACTCACATGGCCACGCAATCTCCGTCCTCAGCTGACTGCATTAAAACCACTTACACTGAACTCCACTCATGAAGTTCAGGTGTGAATGATGCTGTGAAGATTCAATCAATTGTAGCTGAAAGCCTGTCAAAGTAATTTTGTACAAGACTGTATCATAAAACAAGATTACAGAGAAGACAGGGACACTGAAACAGCCAGTAAACACTAAAGCAGAACTGAAACATTAGTTTGGTTTGAGGAGAACCATTGAGTTAACTTTTTGGCCTTTCTATTATGTTTATAAGTGTCCTCTGGCCAGTGTGGGCAGGATGCACCAATGACTAGTGAAAGTTCTTTTGGATTTAATTTCACTTTTGCTGAAACTCGTGCTTTTGCATCCTTAACAGCAAATGCACCAACAGCAATTTAGAAATGTGATGCAGGTGGTAAAGCTCCTGTTCTTAAATTGAAGGAGAATTGAAGGTGAAAAGGGCACAGTGGGGATCAAAAGGTTTGAAAAGGACATGATAAAATATTTGAACTCAGTTGAGGCAACATGTCAGTTAAGACCGTCCCTAATGAGCCCCACTTCAGCATTCATGTTTTATTCAGAGCTGTAGCATTATGAAGTTGTTTCTTACATCCTCCTCCTCCTTAAAAGTCATTGATCATGAATATTAAAGGGACTGTCTCTGATTTAAGGGATCTGTGAGGGCTGGCTGCTGAGTCATTTTCCTCTGTAAGAATGATCCGACATTTCGTGCAGGGAAAGGGAAACGTGGGCAGTGACCAACATGCCTCTTTGACCCTGACTGTGTTAGTCATCCATTGTTAGACAGAGAAAATGACCACACCTACATTTATCCATCTCAGGTTTTAAAGCTTCCTAATAACTACTTAAGAGCTGCTTTCCTGAATGTGCCAAATGTTGCTACAGAAAACTTTCATCAACTAAACCTGACAGTGGTCAGACGTGTCTTTTAAGTTCATTTTCGTTGTCATTGTTTGCTTGAAGTTGGCCTGCAAATCAAACTTAAGGAGGCTGCTGCATGTCTGCATGTACATTTCAGAGTCTGTCAATCCTAAATTCACATTTTAATCCCTCAATAATCACGATCTAATTTTAATAATGCATTTAACTGTCTTTTGCATGTGGTATAATTACACCCAAGTTTAGTTGCAAGAGAATGCCTTTTATGTGCAAAAGAAGAATAGCTCATGTAAACTGTGTATCAATGTGGTTCAACCTCATCACAGAGCTGATATGAAGTGTGACTCCATGCTCGCCTCTCATACAGATTAGGTGTTTTGGCCACCCCTGATGCTGTAGTGTCTCGTCCAGTGGCACAGCTGTCCATACCTGTCAATGATAATTTTGAAATCATAAGAGGTATGTAACATTTTTCTGTCTGCACCAGTAAATGAAATATTTCACAACAATTATTCCAACTTGGAAACAATTTCATATATTTATGTAACCTCACACTTCGGGGATTAATAAAGTTCTTCTTGTTCTTATTCTTATTGTTCGTGTAAATGTTCCTGTTTACTCAGGTAATGACAGTATGGAAGTCTATCCTTGCATTTGATAGGCAAATTTGAAAACCAACAAAGGGCTCAGAAGCCAGTAAAAGTAATTTATAGCACCATTGGTTTACTCCCACAGCAGACCTTTGGACTGTGCACGGTTAAAACTTTTCACTCTTTTGTTTCAGAGGCTGAAGAAGCTCTTCTTATCAACCTCTCTGTGGATTGTAAGTACTCTTTCCTTCTTTTCAGTCAAAGTAAATCTAGTGTTTGCTCTTGTTTAAACCGATAAGGAAAAGTATTTGTTATGACCTTAAAAAAATGAATCGTGTTGTGGGCACAAAAGAGAGCTAAACAAGGCATTTATCAGAGCATGGCCTCTATCCAGTGTACTACATTTCGAGACCATGCCTTTAGGTAGATGTCTATGTCCTTTATTTAGCAGCAGACGCCGGTCATGAGTTACCAGGGCTTCCTGAAAGAATGCTGGATTGTCTCATCATTAAATCACTCTGCTTTGTTTTCTGGACACTCTGCATTTCTAATGTGTTTCCCAAGTTTAAAGATGTCCAACATGTCTGAGTGTGTGTGTGTGTGATTTCTGTCTCCCTCCCAAGCTTGTGTGAGGGTGCGAATCAAAGGAGAGAAATCCCCAGAGCTGTTGCTGGAACTTCAGGATGATGACCGGACTCAGACTTTCTTGACCCAGTTGAAAAGTGCTCAGCAACAAGGTAAGACTCTGCTGTCCGTCAGCAGCTCGATCAGTTAGAATGATGAATTATTTATTCAGTCATTTAACATTTATCCACTGGGGCTGGATTACACCGCTCGACGATTTCCTGTGTATTCTTGCCACGCACACTCAAGCGGATTCTTGAAATTAGATCCTTCTTTGTCAAAGCAGCCGGAAAGAACCAAAGCTTAGGCCGTTTAGCTCTCATTTTAACACAATTATATCTTGCCAGTATAACTGACCTTCTTATGATAAAGGAACAAACAGTTATATCTCTGTCAATACGGGAAATAACCTTTTTTTTTAAATAGCAGCGAGGACTAGAAGCACCGCACAATAAGTATTTAAAAAAAGAGCAAAAGTTGTGGTTTAGTTAAAAGGAAAAATTAAACAGTAGATATTGTCATGTGTAATAGATGTGTCATACCTTTTCTATTTATAGGTAAATGCAGCTTGTTGTTTAATCTATTTTTACATTCAAGATTACACTCAAGAAACAAAGCTGCTTCTGTAGGCTGATAAAAAGACTCATTTGCAAGGTAAAGCAGTCCACATTCAAAACAAGGAGTACATACGTTTGTATATCTGTGTAGCTCTTGATGTTATCCAGAGAGGTGCAGTTTAACACCTCCTAAAAAATACATCCTACAATATTTTAAATAAAAAAACTGATAAATGTGATTTAATACAAGAAGATTAATCTCATAACCATACCGAAGTAAAGTTATACTGTTTAACTCTACAGGCGTTTCTGTAAATATCAGAAGAGGAAGTCCCAAAAAAAAAGTTCCATATATATTTTTTGGCTTAATTAGTTTCGGACATGTGTTTAAATGGCTATTAAAACCATATTTGGCTTCACTAACCGCCAAAGAAAAATCTAAACAGGGTCATCACAGTGCATTTATTTTATCTGTCTGTTTAATTTCACTGAAACCAATGTTAATCTTTTTATTAATACCATCATAATTTCATTTCCTTATTGTAACAGGAAGAAGTACTTCAGTTACTTGGCCTCCATCATTTTAGTTTCAACAAATAACTTCTTATCTAATTCTCAAGTTTCCTTTTCGTTAGGATTGGTGAATCAGGATGTGAATTCACTGTTGTACTTTCAAATCAGGTATATTAGTTTTTATGTTGAGGAAGCTATAGAACTTTTTAAATAAAATGTTTCCCTTTTTAAATTATGGTTTATTCATGTCTTTGTCTGACATTACTGTTTTATTTTTTTCCCAGTTGAATTAAAACGCAAAAAACCCAAAGCGATGGAGCCTATTGCACCTGCTGCACTGAGAGGTCCGGTCCCCATTCCACCACAAAGAGTAAATAGGAATGCTAACTCTGTGGGCCCTGGGGTCAACGCACCAAAGTCTACCAGCGCACTGCCACCTAATCTCAATAATGGTACGTCAACATAGCACACTAAAAAATAGACACTCAACTAGATACACTGTCATAATAAGCGCTTTTCTTCTCGGTTAGTTGTTTTTTGTTGCTAGTTTGAATCTTCTGCTTCTGAACCTTTTGCTTCTGAAATCCAGTTCAATCGCTTGCCTCAGACTTTGGCTTTGAGGAGAACTTCAATCATTCTCTCAAAGTGGAGGAGAAGAAGAACCATCAGAATCGCATCGTTGCATCCAGGGAGCCTCCTCCCGTCCCCCCTCTACCTCCTCGCAAAGCGTCCTACACTCCATCCAATCCTCTGCCTCCTCCACCTATCCCTAAAGACAGAGCTGCCTCCTTACAGGCCAAAGACAACTCCTTCACTGCTAACACCAAACCAGAGTAAGTACGCCTGCCATGCGCCATTTCATACCAGGATTATACATACAACCTCAGTTCTTGAAGCTTATTATTACCAACTTCATGTGGTTCAAATATTGCCATGTTTGAAAATATGTACTTTTCCCTCTCCAGTAGTTTCAGGCCAAGTTTTGACCAAACAGACAGGCCATCATCTTGGTGTGACAGCCCCACCACAAACAGCATGAGACAGGCCATGTTCTCCAGCCAGGCTGGACAGAGAGAGTACCTCATAAAGCACCGGCTTGGGAAGAAGGAGAATGAATATGTGGACATTGAGAACTTTAAGTAAGAGGAGCTTCCTTTGCCCTATAGATTGCTATAAAAGGCAGATACCTCAGTTTAGATTATACTGCTTTTGTGCACTCTATTCCTGCGCTGTGCATAAAGCCGCTTCTTCTTTTTCTCTTTAGGTTTTTCACAGGGACGTGGAATGTAAACGGCCAGTCTCCTGACAGCACCCTGGAGCCTTGGCTTTGCTGTGACGCAGAACCTCCTGATCTTTATGCTCTGGGGTCAGTGAAGATTTCATCCTGATCATGATGTTCTACACAGTCAGTCTGTAACAGGATGACTTTCTTTTTGCTTGTAGCTTTCAAGAATTGGACCTGAGCACTGAAGCTTTCTTTTACATGGACTCATCAAAGGAGCAACTGTGGGTGGAGGCTGTTGAGAGGAGCTTGCACCCTAAAGCCAAGTACAAGAGGGTTAGTGAGGGGAAAGAGATTAACAGGGGTAGCTGTGCCTCAGCCAATGCAACCTGTGTGTAAATGCAGGAAATATTTTGGGTAACATCACGTCTTTGCATTTTTGTTTTGTCTGCAGATTCGGATCATTCGACTAGTAGGAATGATGCTTGTGGTCTTTGTTAAAAAGACCCTCAAGAATCACATCAAAGAAGTGGCAGCAGAACACGTGGGGACAGGGATCATGGGAAAAATGGTTTGTTCGCACTAAACTTAAAAATACCCAAATACACAAAAGATTATAGTCAACATTGAAATGGATTTGTGTTTTCTTTTCACTGAAGTGCAGGGGGGTTGAGAAACAATAGTCTTAACATTCTCCCAGATATCAGTGTGATTTGTGAAGTTAGTTTTTTTCCTTAACAATAAACTTATTATGACATCCTATGTTTTTTGAAGTGGTAACTGCACACTATGTTTGGCTTGTGTTTGATTAGTTGATTATACGGTGTTCAGCGTAGACCATTATTTTAAAGCACGTTTTTGTCAACAAAGAATAAGCCTATCTAAATATCACACTGAGTGCTCACTCTTTTGCACTCGTTTGTTCTTTTTTCCCTCTCAGGGGAACAAAGGCGGCGTGGCAGTGAGGTTCGTTTTCCACAACACCAGCTTCTGCGTCGTAAACTCCCATCTAGCAGCACACGTGGAAGACTTTGAGCGCCGCAACCAGGACTACAAAGACATTTGTGCCCGCATGACCTTCCACTTACTGGACTACCCTCCTCTCAGTATCGTCAAGCATGAGTGAGAACATTACTGTGCTGTTTTGGTCAATGCTACGAGCCCTATTCTTCAGTAAAAAAGTTCTTGTTATACTTTTTTGTATTAATAACAAACTCTTGATGTTCCTCTTTTTCCTTCCATGTCCTAGTGTTGTCATCTGGCTTGGGGATTTAAACTATCGCCTGTTTTTGTACGATGCCTCTGAGGTCAAACAGCATATTGCTAAGAATGAGCTAAAGAAGCTGCAGGAGGTTGACCAGGTAAAATAAACGGCTGACAATCTCTTTAACATCTGAAAGAAATAAACACTGCCACTCTTCATTTTGAAACACAAGTATTGACGCTTTTTAGACATGAGCCACAGTTTCCATTGCAAGCAGTTTAAAAAGCATTTCTTGAGTAATCTGTTGTGTAATTGGGCATTTTGACACTAAGTAGGAAAATTTGGCACTTGGATGAGACTCTTGAGCTGTTCCCTGTTCAGAATAATCTTCTTTGTGTTGTTTTGTTTTCCTGTTTGGATGTAGACTTGGCTGTGACAGTATTTTTTGATTAGTTTAGTTTGGCAAGTTCGAAAGCTTTTTCACAAATACAACAATCAAACTAGTCATTTTCTGTTAGTGGTTTAAGATTCTCTTTGGCCTCTTTCATTGAAACACGTGATGTGATTCTTCTTTTGTAGCTGAATATTCAAAGGCAGACAAAAAGAGCCTTTACAGACTTCATGGAGGGAGACATCAACTTCATTCCCACATATAAGTACGACCCCAAAACGGATCGATGGGACTCAAGGTGAAAATACCTTCCTGTTTTTCTTGCAGACATACTCACATTTACTCCAGGGTTTTCTATTGAATTGTTTGTGCCAACTTGTTCCCGTTACAGTTTCTTGTTCTCTTAATCTTGGTAGCATTTTTGTTGGCGAGGAAGCTCTCCCCGGCCGTATCATTGCACCAATACTGAGTCAGCAGTTCCGTACGTGTGTCCAACTCTTGACCTCTAATTTTCCACTGAAACTGTAATTGTTTTTCTTGCAGTGGGAAGTGCCGTGTCCCGGCTTGGTGTGACAGAATCCTGTGGAGAGGCAACAATGTCAAACAGCTCAAATACAGGAGTCACATGGAGCTGCAAACTAGTGACCACAAACCTGTCAGCTCCCTCTTCAGTGTTGGGGTAAAAAGCTTTGCTGTCAAATAACAAACACTTAAACCAAGGTTTGATGGGAAATGTTTTATTCTGATTTAAATTTTTGGCTTTTTTAATTTGACCTCATGTGTTTGTAACAGGTGAAAGTGGTAAATGAGGAGCGACACAAAAAAGTGTTTGAGGAGATTGTTCGAGCGATGGACAGAATGGAGAATGACTTTCTCCCATCTGTGTCCCTGAGCAAAAGAGAGGTACACTCACACACACACACACACACACACACACACACACACACACACACACACTCCCACAAGCGCTCATCATTCTTCTGAAATGAAATGATCTCATCCACTAATGACACACAAATCACTTTTTAAGTTCTGGAAATCTTTCATTTAAGTGCCTCTCTTCTTCATCCCACAGTTTTCATTTGAGAATGTGAAATTCCGGCAGCTCCAAAGGGAGCGCTTCGTGATAACAAATGACGGGCAGGTCCCCTGTCACTTTGCCTTTATACCCAAACTCAATGACTCCCAGTATTGCAAACCTTGGCTCCGAGCCGAGCCCAGCGATGGATTCTTAGAACCGAGTAAGTCTAGGTTTGAAAAAACCTTTTAAACCTCCTCCATCTTTGGTTTTCTTTGTTGCACTAAACCCTTCAACCCTCTTGCTTTAGTGACCGTATTGTGTGTTAATGTGTTGTGTTTGTTAAGATGATAAATTTTTGTTAGTTGTGTTTGTTTGTGCCAGAAACAAATGCCTTCACACATTTAAATTTTTGAATCTACCTTCATTTTTTAACTGTTGCTAATCTTATTACTTTATATCGCAGGCCTGTGATGAAATTTTAGTGTAAATATGGGCGTTTTAAGAAAAGGGAGGTTATAATCTCATCATTTACATACTATCATTGAAAATATTGCTATACGATGTGTTATAAAGTAATGAAATTAAACCGTTAGTTATTGCACTTTTTCCCTTTTTTGTTGCTTCATGTGTTTTATGTGTTTTCCGTGCGTCACACCCTCTTCACATGTTTCAGTAGTCAAGACTGCTTGTTTGAAAATGGCATAATCAGTCCTCAGCAGATAAAGTGAAGCATGAATGTCCATGCAAACTGAAGTGGTTTTAGCTTTAAATATTCCATTAACTTTGGAGTAAAATCCCTTCCCTCCTCTTATCTCCCTGAGCAGACGAGAACCTGGAGATCTATCTTGAAGCGTATGTAAGTAAAGACTCAGTCACGCTGCTTAACTCCGGAGAAGACTCCATAGAGGACATCCTGGTGCTCCATCTGGACCGTGGCAAGGACTACTTCATTACCATCTCTGGCAACTACCTTCCCAGCTGCTTTGGCACCTCGCTGGAGACTCTGTGCCGCATGAAGAAGCCCATCAGAGAGATCCCCATCACAAAACTCATTGACCTGGTGAGTGAAATCTGGTCAAGCCACCTTTTAAGGGGAATATGAATAAGACTAGATTTAAATCTGCAGGCACATTTTACTCAGATGAGTTTAAACACAGATGTTCCTCACCAAAGCACAATTAAGCTCATGTCTTCCCTCTTGCTGAAGCTATGCATGGTTTGAAACCTGAGCAGGGATGTGTGAGGGCTTGTTCTCTCCCTCTGGGTAAACTCAGTCACACAGAGGACCTATATTTGGAGAGCTTAAAATGTCTCAACCCGTATATTTCTGGCTAAGAGGGGCCAAGGGAATGAGGAAGTGGCAGAAACATAAGAGAAGACCTCCTAAAGGAGAGGAAAAACTGACTCAGGTTTGGCCCATATCAGGGCCTCACGAAAGACAATTTCTTCAGTCTCAACATGCCTATCTGTTTGCCTTTTTGTATTTCCATTTTACTGTTTGGCTTTAAAATAGAGCGGTTGCAGTTTTCTGCTTTCTTTCTACTCAAGCTTTTGTTTTTTTCCTACTGTCTTGGTGATCAGTGATTCATGCTCGAATAATCCATAATCTCAACTTTTCTGATTCTGTTCCCGAATCCCACTTCTTTCTACTCTTTCCCGTGTTTCCCCTCATCGCCTCTCCTTGCCTTGATCATTCCTTTCCAACTCCTTCACTCTGGTTGTGGGCTGACTTCTTGCTCAGGGAGAGGACAGCTTCATGGAAAAGGTAAAATATTAACACTGTTACCGATACGCTCTTCAAACAAACAGGGCTGATATCATCTGAGCAACGAGATCAAACATATGCTTTATGACACTTTATTGACCTTTCTCAAATAGCACGTCATAAAAGGAAGCTGGTGCAACTTTTTTAAGGAGCCAGTCTTGTCAGGATATGTCAACAGAGGAGCTGGTACAGGCTACATCCTGATAATGCCTAATGCCAACCTTTAAGGCAGGGCAAGGTTATTTATAAAGTAAATTTCAGCAACAAAGCAAACCACAATTGTTTGCAAAATACTTAAAAAGAATTGTGACAAAGGTTTGAATCAGAAACCCATAAAGACATTTAGAAGTCATTGAAACAAGCTGTTAAAAATCAAACCAAGACAAAAGTATAACTGGACAGTTTAAAATTAGAAAAGTTACAGTGCAGTGCTGTATGATTAAAATGGATGTTAGAATAATGTGTTAAATTAATGTAGGCAGCTGTTGTCCGACATTTAGACACTTTTTTTGTAGGATTACTGCTAATGGAGCTTCATATACACATTCTGTGCCGACCTGCTCGCTCCACTTTTAACACAGATGCCGTTCCAACTCTGTATGCCTCTGTAGGTAACTCTGCTTCCACCTCATCAGCTGAAGTCTAGGCCCAATTTTTCTGCCTCAATTTCCTTTTCACAGACAGTGAGGCAAAGGAGTAAAAACCCTCGTCTAAAACAGGCTCTTTGAAAGAGACTTGAGAATGAGTTCCGCTTCAAATCCTCTCGGATAAACCAGAGCAAGGGTCCTACCTTCATGGCAGCCTGTTCTCTTTTGGACAGAGGAGACGTAAAATGAGATTGAGAAATTCAGTTTTTGAAACAGATCCATGGTTTGACGAGCTTATTAAATGTTAACGGCTTTAAGATATCCCTTTTTGGTGAGATGTAATTTTCCGGATATCAGAACATGTGTCATAGGAACATCCCAGGGGCAAGTGAATGCCAACTAGGATCTGTATTGAGACTATCACCTCTCGTTTCTCTCGATGTAACATTTTGTTCTCACCTCATCTTCAATAATGAGTAGTAAGGCTTATTTCTGAAAATAAGCCTTGCCTGTTGGACATGCTGTCTTTTTCAAATTCTGTTTTGTACGCTGACACTTAGTTAAATGCTCGACAAGGGCAAAAATATAGAAATCAAAGGTGACCACAGACCAGAACCCTTCAGCTTAGAAACAGTCAGTGTGAGTGAGTCACATGTTCAATCTCCCCTGGCTCTCTGAGGACAGGGACTGTGGGTCCAAAAGCATGATCACACTCAATCTCATTTTATAGCAGGTCGCCCTCTCTCATTAACATGATTAACGCTAATGAGGAGAAGTATTAGGGTCTGCTCAGCTGAGCTTCAACAGTCCTATGAAACCAAACGACAACCTGTTACAGCTCAGTTAAACTGAATTTCTGCATGGGTGATATTCTTTAAAGCCCTCCTCTTGGCTGCTGAAACATTTTATAGCAGTTCAGTTATCTTAATGTCTTTTTCCTAGTCTCTTCTTTAAAGCCCACTCCAGCATTTATGGAAAGCTTTACAAGCTTTGGTTATTTTTTATGTCTGAAGAGTCAGAGATTCATTTGCTGAGATAAAAACTGTAATAAACATCCCTTTAATGGTTCTCTTTCAAGTTTCCAGACCTTAAGTATTATCCTGTACTTCACCTGTAATGGTTTGGATTTCATATGGCTTCATTTAAGTAAAAATCAGTGCACCGTTCAGAAAACAATGTAATGTTCCTATTTGTCAATATCAAGCGTATTAACAGTGTTATTTTTCATCAGGAAAGGTCAAAGGTGAGCTTCCTGATGGTGGATGGTGCAGGCACTGAGGACATACCTCTGAAGATCCCAAAGGAAGTGTGGATTCTTGTCAACCACCTTTTCCTCAAATCCTGCGACCAGGTGAGGTAACCTTAGCTGGTAAAGTACTCATTTTAAGAGTGTTTACTGCTGAGGGAGAGATGTAGTTTCTTGTAGTCTCTTGTGTTACTCTAGAGTTTATAATTTTTCATCTAAATTTGTCAAACTAGTAAAAAATACTTTTAAAGGTGTGTTGGAACCTTGTTAAAATATTACTCTCTCTATTACTGTCTCAGGAGGACTTGTTTCAGACTCCAGGCCTGCAGGAGGAGCTGCAGAGCATCATAGACTGTCTGGACACCAGCATCCCAGACTCCATTGGTATCCTTCTTTTCACACTGGTCCCATCAGTCCTGTGGTCACGTAAAATTAAAAAGCAGACATGAACACATTTAGCACGTATTTTAGATGCTGTTGTACCGGAATGGTCACGGTACTTATCGAGCTTGCTAGCTGTAAATGTTCAGATATAACAACAATGAATAGTGTGAGAGCAAAGACAGTCTGAAGATGATCATGCCTATAAAAGTTCACCTCACAATAGACGCCTCTCTTGCCTTTCATGTTCCTTAACTGTTATTGCAGTCGGCTGTAACCACTCCGTAGCTGAGGCTTTACTGATCTTCTTGGAGGCTTTGCCGGAGCCAGTGGTTTGTTATGAACTCTACCAACGTTGCCTCGAATGTTCCCATGACAGCCGCCTCTGCAAGCAGGTGAGAGGACTGTGTTTTCTGAAAGAAATTGTTCAGAGGCAGAGCAGCTGTGCGAGCGCTGTTTTGATTCAGTGTTACCTCGAGGTTTCTTCATACTGAATACAATACTGTGTCCCGCTCATCTTTGTCCTCTTGTGATATTCTTTTGACAGTTGATTTCCCAGCTGCCCCGGGCGCACCGCAATGTGTTTCGCTACTTAATGGCCTTTCTGAAGGAACTTCTCAAACACTCACACAACAACAACTTAACTGCCAGCCTCATAGGTAAGACGTAGATTTAAAGGGATATTCCGACGTAATATTGATTTAGGGTCAAACACACTGAGTTAGACACCCCCTTGAGAGATGAATGTTGCCGACAGTTTGCTGCCCTAGTCATACCAACTTAAGTAACGACCGCACGATAGCAATACACAAAACACCACTCTATAGCCACAAATAATGCTCAGAACAGCACCGAACTTCATCAACAGTACATATAGGGTCCCAACCACAGCACCAGCCACCAAACATCTTTTTAACTTTGCCTGATTTCTTTAGCAAAGAGACTAAACACAACTCACCTACTCTCTTCCAGCAGCCGCTTGTTTGTAGCGAGACCTCGGGCCAGTCCATTATGGACTACAGTGGGGTGACGCAGCTCAAAGAACAACATTTATGATCATTTCTTGATCATTTCCTTGAAGTAAAAATCACCATAATCATCATTTTGCACTGCAGACACGGTAGTTCTTCTGCCTTAGCAGCAGACCGTAATGGACTGTCCTGAGGTCTTGCTACAAACAAGCGGCTGCTGGAAGAGAGTAGGTGAATTGTGTTGAGGTTTGTTTATGGTTCCTCAGACCGCTCTGTATTGCTATCCTGCGGTTGTTACTAAAGTTGGTATAACTAGAGAAGCAAGCGGTCGGCAACATTCATCTCTCGAGGGAGTGTCTAGCTCGGAGTTATGGTGTGTTTGACCCTAAATTAATTTTAAGCCGGAATATCCCTTTAACTTGACTGAATGTTCATGATCTGTTGCTCATTAAACAGTCATTTTGATTTCTAACACTCAAGTGTATCAATCTCAGTCGATCTGAAGGTAACTTAAGGAAGTGTTGTTTGAGTTAATATATGTGAGCATGACACAATAAGTTCTTTCACCATCTGATGAGATAAATAATTTATTACCCATCAAGAGGAATAACAGAACAGAACAGCAGATGCTACTCTTTCACAAAACTTGAATATGCAGTAGATTGAAAGTATCACATCTGATAAGCATTACTCAAACTGGACTACTGTTGAATTGAGATGTAATATCAAGAGCTAGCTACATTCAAATCAATGTTTTTCTCAGTATAAGGTTTTTCTGCACGGGTCATAGTCGCGACATGAGTCCTCTGATAGTTTGTTTACTTAACCTTTTCGTCCTCTTCTTGTATTTTAGCGACACTCTTTGCCAGCCTCCTCATCCGACCGCCCCCCAACCTGGTGGGCCGACAGACCCCACATGAGCGACAGAAAGCCATTGACTTCATCCTGGGTTTCCTCATGGCGGGAGACGAGGACTAACTGAAGTTTCTCATGGCTGCAGTCAGATGTATAGTTCATTTCTAGCCTGACATACTGATGGAAAAACTGACCTGGACCTACATGACGCTGTGTTACATGATCCACTTGGTATTTTTAATCGTTGTTTGGAGACTAGTGCAGCTGTCTTTGCACCCTACCTTCACAGACTTTCACCCGAGCTGTGATGCTTTTACCAAGTGTCATATCTTCAGTTGATTCACGGTTAAACTGCTTGCTGGATTTGGAAAGCACTCGGGGGGGGAGAGGTTTGAACTGATGCCTTTGCACTTTCTGACGACCTGAAGGCCTCCTGTCCTCTTACCCCTCACGTTGTGGGTGCTCATGCCAAAATAAGCCCTGAACAGCGAGCGGTTCGAATGTGGGAATGCTAATCTCTGTAGCTGATAAGCAAAAAGACCAACACTAAACAAAAGGAGAGTTGAAGAAGTAGACTGAATACTAGTATAATGTTTAAAGCGTTAATAGTTAAAAATGGGATAATCAAGAAAATCTATATATATGTTAAGAATGTTTAAGCTTAGGATAAAGTATGACAATCCTCTGTTTGCAGCTTTTTAACTTAGGGGGCAGTGTTAAGATTTGTGGATTCTTTGTTACCATATCTTCTGTATTTTAACTGTTATTTATATTTTTCACCATCTGAACAGTCTTCAGCTCTTACTTCCGTCTGCTTTGTTTTTAGTACTTCTGCATTGGTTTTGAAAAATTTCACTGGAAACATTGATCAGTTGTTTTTTTTTATATCATCCTGTCACAGAAAAGTCTTGTCTCCTTAAGGTTTGCTTTTTTTGTGCAATTTCCGCCATGAGCCTTACATCTTGTTTTGCAAGTTTCCTCTTGTGTGACAAAAGGAGTCTGTTAACACACTAACTTCCTGCTCCACCAGAATCGAGTGAAAAGTCGCCCTCAGTGGTTTCTTGATGTCTTAAATGGTGTAAATAGTGACTGTCGCCCTGTTTCATGGATATTTGACTCTCAGTATGGTGGTGAAAATCTGTGTTCGTCTTGACGGTGGTACTGTTAATGTCTGTGTTTGTTTACTTGTCTTTTTTCTTAATTCTGACACCTTTTAAGCTCATTACATGTTGTTTCTGGCCTCTGTGATCCCGAGATACAGCCGCTCTGCTCCTCCTTTTAAATGCAGATGAGTAAAACTCTTGTTTTCAGTGATGCAGCATTTTCTGAACGCAGGTTTACTGGCTCATTACCCTGCTGGATACAGCCCGTCTTTGTGCTCCTCTCACATTAGTACCACAGAGGATTTGTTTCTGAAGTCACTGTTGCATAACAGAGCTATTTAAAAAGGAACTTCTGCGTAGTGTATATTGCACACTAGTTCCTTTTTTTTTTCACCCATGAGATGTTAACATTGACTTTCCGTGTGAACAAATGTAACATAATTTCCTCTTCTGTAATGAAAGGATGCAAGAAACATTGGAGGCGATTATATAAGGAGATGAAATCACAACACTGACAATCATGACACTTAAAGAAATACCTTCTGGGCTGAAGTGATTCTGGGAAAAGTTTGTATTTACTCTAAAATGGGAGAGCCGTTTTACAATAGCCACTATATTCTTTTTCCACTTTGTCTTTTGAAACACCAACCTCATTATGTCAGATACAAAATCAGTATAATTGGTAACTATTGATTTGTTGAAGTGTTGTCTTACATCACTGTACCAGCTGTCGGTTTTGCACAGATTCATTGTACTAAAGTTTTGAGTTTTCCACAGTCTGTTCATTAAGGTACGGTACATTTAAAGGTACGCAAAGAAACACTCGCACCTGTTTTCATCCTTCCGATTTTTTTTCTGGTGCTTTTAATTTATTTAACAGAAATAAAACTGTATAAACCTGTTGATGCTTTTCAACACCCCCTTTGTGAATAATGCCTGTACGCTTTGTTGTTGTCTCCTGTTCACAACAAAAACGAGAGTGGTTCACTCTGGCTCACTCTTCAGGTACATATGAAATCATTCCCTGCTGATGTTCACACTATAATTAGATGACTTCATGGCCTGTGAGAGATCTTCCACCTCAGTGCCACATTCTGATTCCCCTGTGAATATAAAACCCCGTGCATGGACCTGCTGCCACCTTTTGCTTGTTGTGCAGTTTGGACTCATCCAAAACAATGGCCATGCTCAGAGTGTCCTCTTACCGCAAGCTGTTTGAGGAGGATAACTGGGGCCGCTACGGAGGATCGGGTTGTGCCGGCCAGTACCGGGCCTCCATCAGGTCAGTGTGGGTCTCTGAGGAGAGGATCACTTTAGAGTTTCACTAATACTTAGATTAATGTTATACATAGTTTAATGATTTTGAAATAACTTTGAAGTCTTGTGGTTACATACTGTACATTTGAGGCAATTTCTGTAAACAGTTCTTGCATGTGTCAATATTAATTCAAACACTAAATTGTAGTCTACCATGTTCATGTGAAAAGTAGAGTTTAAAAGCACTAAAGCAAAGGTGCCAGTTTAGCTGAGTGAGAGCAGAGGTTTGATACACAGAACACAAAGTCCCCATCTCACCTGATCGCACTGATTCTTGGTCCTGATGTGGATTCAGTACTCTATACATATTACATTTTTGCTTACATCTCCCAGATAGCGGTCTAGTCTTGTCTTGTGTGTTTTTTGTTAACTTCTCAGGGCTGCAGCTGTTGATAAGTGTGACTGTGACAAGTTAGACTTTGTTGCTGCCAAGCAGCTCAACAAGGAAGGTCTGAACCAGTTTATCCAGGACCGCACCTCCATCGCTGCCCTTAATGACCGCCTGGTCAGACTCATCAAACTGGTGAGGAGATCTTACTAAGACAAGGTGGAACTTAATGTTCTTTTAACGGTGCTTTTTATATTGTTGGATGAAGCTGTGAAACTCAATATACACAGAACCTACCAATCTAATTGTATCTGAATTCAAACCCCTTCAGGCCCATTGTTTTGAGGAGGAGAATGAGTGTCTTGAATGCCAGATTGTTGAGCTACAGGAGAAGCTGAACAGCCGACAAGCCTCCCCCAGCATCTCCTCCACAGTGGCTGTGCCTGACTACAGCCTGGATGCTGTTGTGAAGAGACTACGCAGGGAGAGGGTAAGGTGGTACTGCTGCTGGGTGTGTCTGCGGCATGTTTCTTCATGTGTGTCACTTTCCAAAATTGGGTTTTCTCATCGATGGTTCATTGCGCTTCTCATCAATTTCACTTTCGTTTGCACACTGACAGGCTAGCCTGATTTATAACCTTGCCAACATTCATCACTGTCTCCCTCCCCTGCAGGATGAGATTCTGTGTGACACAGAGGAGCTGCAGAAAGAGCTTGAACACTTGATGAAAGAGTGTGAGAAGGCAGCACAGCAGAGGATACTCCTCCAGCAGGGACGACAAGATGTTGCTGAGGTAATTGGCTGTAAATGCAGAGAGCATCTGATGAGATCAAGATTAGTAAACAGTGAGATCAGGAGTCTTCTGAGTCCCCGGACAAAACAAATGAAACTTACGAGATGGTTTGATCATGACATAAATGAGAGACCAGATCTAAATTAATTTAGCAAGTGCATGAAAACTAGAGTGAGTCACTCACAAGAGTGACTTTCTTATGCTGCCTTCAACTTACATCATCATAACCTCGGCTAATTTGCAAAGCCCATTTTAAAATGTGACTTCAAGATACAAAAAAATGTAATAAAGAAAAAAACACAAACTCAGCACAAAAAAGTCCACGCTGTAAATTAGAAAATTTGAAATGAAGAGGAGTACCATTTAAAGTAATTGAAGAGACAAACTACCAAAAACAATCTTATAAAGAGGGTTTTGAAAAAGGGTCCTTTAAATTTGAGTTTGACTATGGTATTATTATTTTTTACATTAGGGCCTATTATAAGACCAGGCTGCAGAGGTTCAAAGCTGACCAACATTAACAAACTAGTCACGATAATCCACCTGAATGCTAAACAAACTCCAAAGTTAAACAGTTTTTTGTGTGTTTCACTCTTCTCTTAACACAAAATCATCAATAATAAAAATAGAGAAAATATCCTGTAAGCAGTTGACTTCAAATTCTTTGGATAATTCTGTCAACAGTGCTTCAACTGTCCCTCTAAAACTGTGGGTGGATTCGTCATAACAAGATTATCATAAATGATATTATCAATCAAAGCGCAAATTTGTTAGAATGGTTTTACTCCAAAGGTTTCTTTTAATCATGTTAGACTGAACCACCGAAGGCTGAGAAACACTGATTTTGGACAAAGCAAGAGTAGGATTCCCTAAACACATCATCCTTTATTTCCCATGATGCAACTTCTCCTCATCTAAACTTCACACTCAAACTTGTAATGTGAAAGCACCATCTTTATTTGTCTATGAGTTAAAAGAATTGTTGATTGTCACGTCTTTAACTATGATCAGACCTATAATATTAGCTGTGATTATGTATCTTCAGCACTAGATGGCAGTGTTGTCAAACCGCTCCCTGCGCTTCTCTCTCCCCCTGACCAGTGAATTGGATAAGCCTAGTCACAGCTGCTCCTCTGGGCTGTTTGCCTGCTGCAACCTGAGCCACAAACTTTTCCTGTAACCCCTGCAACCCAATGCACACTCCTCCTCCTCTATCACATATGCCAAAGCCCCATCACCAACCAACCAGATGTGCAGGAGGCTTTAATTTCTCCCTTACAGATGTAACACAGACTGTAATAGAGTTCTGTAATGTCCCTGCTGGCTCACTTCTCTGGTTCTGAATTGGGAGCAGCTGCAGGGAGACAAGACATGGTGGGAAATCTGCAAGAAGGTAGAGGAAGAGCAGGGATGGAGGGAAGAGGATCCACAACAGCAAAAGCTCAATCAACCACAGTTGCAGATCTCCCTTCTTAGGATTAAACCAGCAGTGATGAAACAGATGCAGTTTGGTTGAAGTTGAGTTAACCGCTGGCTTTTGTTTTGTTTCTTCTCCAGTTAATTCTGACTAATTGTTAAGACCCACAAACTGCCATTTTTGATGCAGCCAAGTGTTCATCACCAGACTCACACAGTATAGTCATGGTGAGGCAAAGGAGCCCAACTAAAATGCGTTTGACAATATCAACTAGTAAAACACAAATAGAGGGATGTGGAGGCCAAGAGCACCGCCGATTTCTTGTCTACTAAATCCTTGCAACATCAAGGTGCACTTAAAGATGGGAAAACAAAGACAGCAGTTAGATTAGATAAGCTTGTATACAATGGAGTCCATGTGATAGCATTGCTGTGCCGCACTTTGGAGCAAGCATTCTCGAAAGGACCCAGCCAATGAAAGAACCAGCCTTCATCACTTGTGTAGACCACTCAGGCTGGACTGAAATACAACAACCTAGTCTATGAAGGATTTCCTGTTTGCGTCCGCAGCTGTTCTTGACCTTGGTTGCCATTGTACTGCTTCTTATAAATTATTTTAGTGATGACAGTGACTCACTGGCTCTCATCATTAAAATGTAATAATAAAAACTTTGCATGTAATTCACATGGCACCACATAAAAAAACACATAAAGTCTGCAGCCTTCTCTACAGCAGTTTTTGAATTAGTTGAAATAAATGCTAATTTAATAATGTCCTTTTACGCCTGTGATGTGGTTATGGGTGGTTGTATTGTCTCAAAATGGGCCAAACCAAAAAACTGTGCTTTAAAACAGCAAACAAAAATGATCAAGTTCATCTCCATCTGCTGGCTGGACTCTAAACACGGGCCATAGCTGCAGGATCAGACAATTTGTACTTACTGCTGTCCATCAGATACTCAGCTGCCATCCTCCCAGCAAGAATCCACAACTTTACCTCCTAACCCTCTCTGCGTGTTTCAATAAGTACACACAGGCACCCACAGTAATTGCATCCAACACCAATTAATCTGGTTCTTTATAAAAAGTAGATAAGCTGAGACCCCCTGCTGCCAAATGGATTGGTGGACAGGGCCGCTGTGTCTAGTTAGCCTCCTTCTGATCTCCCTCCTCCCCCTTTCTCTGCATTGCAGTGTCTTCTTGATGTTCACGAAAACAGGTGGATGTGCTGATGATTCTTTTTTTAAAGTAGTTGCTCAGTGCGAAAACAGACTTTTTCCACTTTTCTTCCACCTGCTGTGTGATTTATTCAGACTGCAGTGTTCCTCTCAGACACCTGAAGAAATTAACCTGAAATTTGCTGCCTTTAGTTTTCCCTCTCTGTTAACTTTATTTGTCTTTGCAGGAGGTCGATGCTGTGACAGCAGAGTGTTTGGCGCTGAGGGAGCAAGTGGCTATCTACGAGGAGCAGCTGGCTAACATGGAGGTCCAGCACAAGTCGGTAAGAAAGTGGGGGATGTAAGGCATCGGTGTGAGGAGACAGGAAGAGTTTACAGCCCTGAAAATGGCTCAAAATGTAGCACTTAGGTCAGACAGGGGTGTTGGAGAAATGCCCAGTCCCATGGTGACAAACACAGCTGTGATGACCCTGGTCACCTTGCTGAAGAGCCAAAAACAGCCTGCTCAACAGAAACATATGCTGAGAGGATTAAAACACAAGGAATACAGTCTTATGAAAAAAAAAAAGTGAAAAAGACCTAATTTCACACTCTTGCATGGATATGTCTGTTAGCTTTTATTTTGAGTTGGATAACAACAACATCACTCTCATGTTTGTCTCATGAATTAAATGCTAACACAAGCAGCCAGTTAGGTTTAGGACAGTAACTACAAACAGTTAAGGGTTAAAACTAGCACATTTGGCACTCACTTTAGCACCTATTTAGACTTTTGTATCAAGTCCATAAATTATATTGTGTCGAATAATTTTTTTTCAACCCCAAATAACATTATTCTGCATATATCTAGAGGATATTACCACAGACTTTCCTGTATAACCCATGTGATTATAGTGATGTTGTTCAGTTTTAATATATATTGAAATAGCATTCTGTAATTGGCTGCTCATGCACCTGACTGTCAACCGGCTGCACACTTGATTATGCGAAGAGATGTATCCCTCTTTGCAACCAAATGGAGTGTCTTAAGCTTCTGCAGCCAGCCTGCAGTGGACACTCAAGTAGTTACAGTATTTTGCACCTAAGCATTGGCTTAATTTTTCAATGCTAAATCTTTATCTGAAACCGACAAGTCTGAGCAACAGGTGGTGGGAGAAAATAAACAGGCAATGGATAATTAGCAATCTGTTCCATTAACAAACAGAAGTGGGAGGTAAAATGAAGAAATGCTCGAAGAGAGTAAGAGTTTTGAGAATAAGTCAGAGTTGTACACTAACACACAGACTTCCTGAGGCATTGTTGGTGTGCCTTTTGCCAGCCGGGTTGTGACTATCTGCTCCAAAGTAATTGACAGTTCAGAGTACATAAACACAAACAGTCCTGCGGGCTTTAGGGATCTTTGGGAGGTAAGTGCATGTGTTACATTTTTATTTGATTCTGGCTTCTCTTGTAACTCTTCGCAAGACTGTCTATTGCCTTCACCACATTCACATCCACACACCCAGCTCTCTCCACCCTCCACAATATTCTCCACCTCACCAGGAGATGACAGACACGCCACAGTATCAGAGCTGGAGGCTGTAGGCAGCAGAAACAGGACCAGCTCCATCACTCTGTGTTTTTCTCTGCAGAGCTGTGCTGCCCGGCATTTAACACACTCCCTCTGGGACACGCTCGATAACTCACAGTCCGGGAAATGCGGCTGAATACCAAATGAAAACAGAAGTTCTCTTTGTTTTATTAACTGTTGTCACTATCAGCACTTGCAGATAGCCTATATTCCCCTGACAGATTGTCGGCCGTGTCGTTATTTAGGTGGAAGGAACAGGAGAGAAATGTTAGACTGCCGCTGCAGCTCGGTCACAGTTCATTTCTCTTTTTCCCTTACCAAAGGGGCTGCATATTGAAATGTGTAGACTTACATGTTGAGATCTATGACACATGTGTAAATGCAATAAAATATTCTGAGATTTTTGGAGGGTAAAATAGTTTAATACGTGTGCTCAGGTATTGAATATTCAGACACATTGGAAATACTTGATCGTTTCCAATTCTGCCACCTACTACAGGGTCAAATACTGTACTTCACATAAAGGACTAAAGGATAGGCTTTAAATATTTTGTCTTGCAATACAAAACACATTCAATAGTGTACAAAGCAGGTAGAATTGGCTTAACTTGAACCAGCCCCTAAGCCTTTGAATGAATCCATAAATTGTTTTACTCTTGATATAGTGTCTACAAGTGTCATTTGTGTGGATTAGAAATGTTTATACTTGTGACACTTGAAGATTCTGTGAGGAGTTGTTTGTGATGGTAATGAAACAGACTCAAATTCAAATCAGTGCCTTTTCATAACTTACAAAAACAGACCAGACCATCAGCATTAATACTGTCAGGTATCACTTTGTTCATAGAGGGCACCAAAACGGACACACACACACACACAATTCCTTATAGAAGCTATAAGCACTTTGAGGGCCTGAGTCGAACAAAGGATTTTATGGCTGTTGCGCCTACCAAACCCAAACATATTATACAAAAAGACATTATCTAGCACATGCAAAGGGTTAGATGCTCCACAATCTGTGATGTCTCACAAATAGAATCTACTTCTGCTCCAATTCTGTTTGCATATGTTTAAAAGGGTCATCATATATCCGTTTGGAATAGGATATGCCAATTTGTGTGCAAACAAACCCCTTTGCAACAAAACCCAACGTATCGTATCGTATCGTATTGGATTGTATTGGATCGGGTCATAGGAAATATTAGCCTACAGGTTTCTTTCAAGCTGAAGTGTAATATTGTGTTCAATCAGCATGGTGTTTTACATTGTGTACTACTTCTGCTCAATCAACAGTGATTCAACCTGAATCTAAATTTGACAGTGAAGGACTTTCAGTATCATTAAATGCACGTACCTCAATGTCTAACTTTAGTACAATACTTGGACAGAGTCCATTAGTTTTATTTCACCTTTGAGTAAACAGTAAACAATGTACTTCTCCCCTGTGTGTTTGTTTGTGTGTGTGTGTCACGCCAGGAAGTGGAGGATCTGCTGTATCCAGCTGAACAGGCGACAGGAGCCATGGCGGCTATTAAATTTGGCAGCCCTGACATGGGTCCGGCCTTGGATGTAAAGGAGTTCTACTGCCAGCTGGCTGAGAGCCTCCAGGTACGACACGCTGCAGCACAAAACACATAAACATGTCAGGGAGTGGAAGCTTTTTTGTGCCACTTGCTTTACAGTAACATACCTGTGTACATGTTTAGAATCACAATCCTGTGTCTGGCTCCTCGGTGAGCTCCACACTCACATGCATATGGATGGGCTCAGACAGAATCATTATTATTCACTCACTTACTGTTCAGTTCTTAGGTACAATTTTAAGCTAACTGTAATTTACTTGAGGATTTTATGCGACCTTTTGTTTTACACAACATTAAATCTTTTAGATTTGTGAACCAAACCCTTTTTCATGCTTTTGTTATTTAGTGATAATATGTTTGGGGGCAAAATAAAACATGTAAACAGAAGCCACATAACAGGCCCAGATTAAAAAGCAGAACTTTTTCTTGTCTTTTCCTCCCATCAATCATCTCATGACCCCTGAGGTTTATCCTGTTACCCTCTAAAGTGGCCCTGACCCGTAGGTTGAAGACTGCCGGACTTTGCTACTAAACAATGAACATTGCCACTAACACAATGATACATCATAGAAGTGTAATCAATGATAACTTAATGACTTAATGACCTCAGCAATTTTTACTTGATTTATATTTTGTTCCTGGTTTCTCAGCGTGATTTTGGATGCATTTTTTTTTCTTTTTCTAGTTTAGCTGGTATTTTTTTTTTGAAGGAAATGGGATCTTGTTGGATACCTTGAAGTAGCCAGCTGCGAATCCTTCCTCTACTGACCACTTGACCTCTGCTTTTTTCATCACTTCATCGTCTTGCTCCCTCTGAAACTGCTCGGTCTCGTCCAGATGTAAATCTCAACTTTCACAAATCACACAGCCATACTCCCCGTTGTTTTCTTTGCCTCTTAACACAACACTGGGGAAGAACTTGAGAATCAGTGGAGCAGTTCTGCACCAGAACAGAAAATCTTTGTCCACCTTTGTGTGTGTGTGTTTGTGTGTATGTGTGTGTTTAGTGCGAGCAAAGAGGTTCTGCGCAGAGGTTCTGCTTTGGGGTCAGACTATAGCTCCGGTGGGTCTGACCCCCTCTGGGGCGAGGATGTCTGCCAGGTTCAGAGGTCAGGGCTGTAATCAGACTGCTGGCCGCCTTCCCAGGCTCCTCAGCGGCACTGGGGTGGATGCTGGTGTGTGTATGAGCGTGTGTCCTTCATTTCCAGGCCTAGCTGAAGGGTATCTGGCGTCTATATATATTTATGTGTCTGTTTAGATGCAGAGGTGTTTTTTTCTTGTTCTCTCAAACCCTCTTTATTCACCCTCTCTCCCGCAGTCTGCTCAGTCTCTTCTCTTGCCAGCTGGACACAGTCCTGTCTGTGCCTGGCTGGCCTCGATTAGGACATGCAATTGTCTCGATGCTGAAATGATTGCGATTGGGTTTGAACAGTAATGGTGATTGCTGGCTGACTCCCAGACACCTGTGCACCCTCATGTTGCTTGTTTCAGCCGCATTTGTTCCATCTAATCAGAAATGTGGTGAACACAAGAGCAGCCTTAACCCTCAGCCGGTATGAGAGGCTATGATTGCTCTTTGCTCTCCTGTCAAAGTGCACTTAACTGCCCAAAAAACTGTACTATCCTTCAAGGTTGCCTTGACTCAAAGTGAAAGGTCAGTATGCTCTTTTGGTACCTAAAAACTTTCAGGATGCACTTACTTGTCATCTTCTGTCTCTGCAGTTCGAGTGTGGTGCAGCCTCTTCCGCTGTGGTTCCCGTGGGTGATGGAAAACAACTGGAAGTGGGAGGTGCTGGAGGGTCAACAGTCAGAGACCTGCCAAAGATAAAGGACAGCAGTGAGATGAAGATGCTGGTGAGTGCTCTCACTTTTTTCTTGAAGTCAGCTCCCCCAAATCACAGTACAAAGAGATCTCACAATTTTTATGTAGAAACATGGAAGAAAGAGCGATGCAAACATGTTCTGATACTCCACGACAGAATATGTACCAGTTGAAACTGCAGAGTCTTGGTTTAGAGAGAGGTTTATTATTGCAGAGAGCTTGATGAGGATCTATACCACTCTTGTATCTACTACATATAGAGCTAAAGTTAGTGGCTGCTTAGTTTAACTAAACAGACCTACATGGACCACAGTTTAAAACTCTGCCTGACTAAGTTTTAAGTCAACTACGAGCAAATCAGCCGACAGCATCTCTAATTTTCACTTTATATCATGTTCTGTGTCATCTCTTGAATCCACACAAGAATCTATTCTGTTGTAAACTGCACTGTTGTATTCGCATTTTCTTTTTTAGTGTAATTTCTTCGTCTGATGTGTGCATTGGTTAGCAGATGGAGAGTGATGTCAATCCTATAGCCAGCCAGATCACTTCTGTGCGTGCCTTGGCTCCATATTACGTCTCCAGAACAGAATCAGCGCTCATCAAAGTGCTATTTTGGCTTTTCTTCTCACAGTGGGAGGAGACAGAGGTGCAAGCAAGACAACATTCAAAACAGGAGATTAAGAGAGCTCCAAGAACCCCTTTTCATCATTACAGGCCATATGATCCATAAATAACAAGAACAGTGTCCAAAAGTTTCAGCTAATCTTACTTAAAGAATTTAGTATTTTTGATATACAATACACTGAAATTTATAGAGAGGCCTTTTTATGATATCTAAAAGCTAAAAAAAACATCAGTGCAATGATTGATGACTCGTTTATTGTAATTATTGAGGCCAGAAATGAAATATTTGCTACAGGTAATATATTTGGCTGGTAAAAGTTGGTAAGATAAGAGTTCATGTCAAAAGAGTTCATGTCTGGTAATGACTGCTTTGTCCATAGGGGGCGCCAGAATTGACACAAATTGAGATGTACTTTTTTCATAAACGTTTCCAATTGTTTTGGGCAACAACAGCTAAGGACACAGGGATGTTGCCTCTCTACAATTACCAGTGTATGAATGTGTTGATTGTACCACTGAGGTCATTGTGTAGTGTTAGGAGTTTTGAAAATGGTAACCAACAGGCTCCGTAAGGGAGAGAATCACAGATAACAGTGTACATCCTGTTGGGCAAATTTTGTGCTTGGAACATTTTTCTTATTTATTCCTGAAAAAGCGTTAGGAAAAATAAGCTGTAGCTTTAGCCAACATCTTTTTGATTTGCTTCATTTTTCCTCTCTTATAGTTTTTATTGTATTTATGAAATGAAAAGCAAATTAAATAACTGAAATAAAACCAAAAAAACGATTCACACAGATGCAAATAAAACTTGTTTCCTAAGATTTTAAGTCCAAAGTCAAGAAATGGCACCAATGATGATATTTGATTAGGTTTTTGGGGGTCAGCTGTGGCTCAGTGGTAGAGCCAGTCATCTCTTAATTAAAAGATTGAGGTTGAGTGTCTTTGGGCCACTCACCCTCAATCTACCCCTGCTGGTTGTACATAGCAGTCTGTAATTAGTATAAATTAACTGTTGGGTGCTTATGCCACCACCATCAGTGCACCTATTTATGTGGTGTCAAATTTCCCTGCGAGAATAGCTCATTTTTTCTTGTCTTATCTCATCTTATCTTATCTTGTGACGTGTAATGTAAAGAAAATGCTTTGAGTGGCCTGAAGATTAGTGAATGCGCTGTATAAACCCAGTCCATCTCCCTTTACCTTTCTTGTTTATGGATATGGGTTATCCAAGGGTACAGGGACATTCTTCTTTGAGACAAATGTTGCTTGAATAACTTTAATTTCTTTATTCTTTTAGCACCAATAAAATACTGAGAATTCAAAATCTCAAATGCCGATATTTATGCTACTAAAACTGTCTGGATATTAAATGCTGCTGCTGAGGGAATTATATGCATGTCCATACGACATGAAACGACTCTTAAAGTCTGACAGTTACACACCATTTACATCCCACTGATTCACATCTCCCACCTCTTAACTGACAAAGTAAAGAGCAGTCGTACAACCCACAACCAGCTCTGCGTCGGCCATCAGCCCTTAAATCAGACATAATGGTAAAAATGAATGGTTTCCCACAGCAGGCGAGGAGAGAGCAGAGCAGCTGAGTGACAGCAGAGCAACAGTGTGGGAGATCCTGCTGACCAGAGTGTTTACTCTGCGGACACTTTCAGCAGGAGATGTGAAGGGCTTGGCTTCAGCTCAGACAGGATTTATTGCTCACTGCGTCCTCAGTTATTAAGTAAAGTCTTTCAGAGCGCCTGCAGTGTCATAAACGTCTTAAAACTTCACACACACTGACTGAAAACTTCCCCTGGAATAAACCGTCGTCGTCGGATGTTTCTCATCTCAGCGAGCAGAAAAACGCCAGTAAAGCAAAGGGGGGTTTGAATCAAACACACATCAAAGTAAGGCATCAATGAAATGAGAAATCATGAAACAAAGACTCAGGTAAAAGCTCCAGGTGACTCCAGGAAACATTCACCGTGGTTTTTAACATCTATCAGTGGTGAGAGCAAAACTAACCACCACATCTGTCACAAACATGGAGGTTTGGTTCTCATTACCGCAGGTCTACCTTCAGCTCTTTAAATAAACACAGAGCCTCTGTAACCACAGCACAGCTCTCCCTACATCATCTACCTCTCTCTACTAACATGCAGCACACAATCCTCTGCTCAGTCCAGCCTGACAGATCGGACAGCTCGGCCTGATCTGCTCTGTTTCCTCTCTCTGCCTGTGATGGACGCCTCGGGTCTGGTTTCTCACCGAGACACAACACAGCCAAACAAACAGATTGCAGTGAAATCAGCCCTGACGCAGAGATGTATATAATAGAGCAGGCACTGATGGGGTTGTGGGACGCTTCTCAAATACACACGTGCATGCTGAGGCCACACTCATCATGGCAGGGAGCATGGAGGAGTGTGTGAGTAAACGACTAGAGCAGGTTGGGGGAGTAATCATCAGATTGTGAGTTGTAAGTTTTTTTCTTTCCGAACATGATCTCGCTGTAAGATGACACGGCCGCCTGGATCCCCATCTGGGTGTGACGACTAACTTCTGTGATTGCTGTAATTGCTCACCTGAGGACACCAAAGCCTTGATGGTTTGTAGTTGAAGTAAAGAAACCTGTTCTGAAATCTGTGTGGGTTGGAGTTGTTATTCTTAGGCCAAATGCTTTAAATATATGATTGTGTTGAAGGGCCATATAGAAGATAATCAGTACAGGGTTACTTTAGCTGATCCTGTGAGGACAATGACAAAAATCATGATTATCCACCAACAAAAGTCAATATTATCATAGGTGCGGTGATTGTGGATGAAACAATGGTAAATGTTGCATTCAGTAAAGGGGGGGCTGCTGATTAACCTCAGGTGAACATTGTAGGTCAAAAGCCAATTGAAGGGATATTCCGGTGTAAAATTAAATCAGGGTCAATCACACCATAACACCGAGTTAGACACCCCCTTGAGAGATGAATGTTGCAGACTGCTTGCTTCTCTAAACACAACTCACCTACTCTCTTCCAGCTGCCGCTTGTTGGTTGCGAGACCTCAGGTCAGTCCGTTACGGACTACTGCGGGGTTAAGCAGCTCAAGGAAGAACATTTATGACCATGTCTTTTTGGAAATGCAATCAGACTGAGACGTTAAAGCATGAGAACTACTGCGTACTTCAAGGAAATGATAAAGAAATGATCATAAATGTTCTTCCTTGAGCTGCATCACCCCGCTGTAGTTTGTAATGGACTGGCCTGAGGTCTCGCTACAAACAAGCGGCTGCTGGAAGAGAGTAGGTGTGTTGTGTTTCGTCTCTTTGCTAAAGAATTCAGGCAAAGTTAAAAAGATGTTTGGTGGCTAGTGCTGCGGCTAGGACCATTTATCTCTCGAGGGGGTGTCTAACTTGGTGTTACGGTGTGATTGATCCTAAATTAATTTTACGCTGGAATATCCCTTTAATATTTGGAAATATGCTTATTCATCGCAATGCATTCTGGTGTCTTTCACTCAAGGTTGACTAGATAATGAAGTGGAATCTTGTACAGCCCTCTCTTGAACAATTACCTGTTGCTGTATGTATGTTATTTGATTACTTGCAGATCTCAGAGCTGCTAAAGGAGCTTGCTGAGCTTGAGAAGTGTAATGAGGAGCTGGAGGATGAGGTGGAGATGAAGAGGGCTGCGTACATGGAGCAGATCACTGAGCTGGAGGTCTGAGCAGACTAAATAATAATCAAAGATCAGTGGTTTGGGTTTATTCTAACATTCAATCTCATGCAATCCCACTACCCTGTTTGTGTCTGTGTGTGTGCATGCATTTTTCAGTGCACCATAGATGAAATGCAGCAGCAGGAGGCAGACTTCCAAGAGCAGATGAAGGAGCAGTGTGAAGACTACAAGGAGCTGCTGAGTGAGAAAATGGCCAGAGACATGGAGATCACTGCCTACAGGTGAGTCTGCCTGGTGTAAAAGTATGATGAAACAGACTTTCTTCAATTTGTTTAAGGCTCTGGTTTTACTGACTCAAGACAAATACAGTTATTAGGCCAGCATGCAAACAATCAAAATGATCTTTAAACCATTTCAAATATAGCTTTAACTTTTATATTTTTTGTTTGCTTCTTGTAAAGGACTCATTAACGCAGATGTATAATGTTAAAGATAAATAAAAACACTGAAAACGACCAGTGAAAGAGGAATATGAGAAATGAAAAATGCATTAAAGACAGAGCAACTTTATCAGTAAATATGTACAAAAGTTATGCAGATGGGCTTACATTAAGTTTGGTCTTAAAGTCTAAGTCAGTGGTTCTCAAGTCTAGTCCTCGAGGCCCACTGTCCTGCATGTTTTGGATGTGTCCCTGCTCCAACACACCTGATTCAAATGATGAGCTCATTATTAAGCCATTACAGAGCTTGATAACGAGCTGATCATTTGAATCAGGTGTGCTCCGTTTGTCCTCTGAAGAAAAGAGAGAAGAAATTACAGATTACTGTGTACGAGAAAACCTGTCAATAATAGTGTCTTTCAGATTATTTGTCTTGGTTATTATGATATAGTTGACGCTTCCACCAAGGATTAAACTCTTCTCTATAATTACTGTTTAACCCTAAAACGTAAATATCCTGTAACAGACCGCATTGTTCTTGGGCTGACCCGTTTGGTGATGAAAAGCTGGGATAAATACATCCTTCACTGCGGTCATTCTACATTCACTTTCTACTGAAACTGAGCCGAAGGATATTATTCTTAAATTAGAAGCCTACATTTTATGTCACGTATAGCAGGCTGCAATTAAACCACAGAAGATAAGAGGTTTTCTGGATGGAGGAGTTAAACTGATGGAGAGCTTGTCAGTCATTTAGACGACTTGAACTGACAGTCTGGGGCAGGTGATGGACAGTCGTGTCTACGGGAGAACATGCCGGTTTTAATTCCAACAAAAACACAGCACCAGGTGGTTTCGCTGATTAGTTTGCCTTTTTCTTTTTAAGGTGTTTGAGTTAGACTGTGAACTGCTGCAGTTTCTGAATGCAACAAAAAACGACTGACTTAAACAGATTAAAACATATAAAACAGTTTCTTCATAAAACAGGATAACTACGGCTTATGAAACCAGAGATGATTTCATTCGATTTCATCAGCCTGATTGATGATATGTCTCTACATTCTTTGTGAGTTAATCACAAAAGGGAAATGTGCAAATGATGTGTCCATTGTCACAGTTTTCCTCAACATCAACAAGAAGTTTCTGCATGTGCATCATCATGAGTAGTACCCTTAAGTATTTCCACAAGATCCTGTAAGGTCCAAAGCTGCTCAGGCATCTCTTATGCCACCTGGACATCCGGGCTGGTCATGATAAGATATTTCTACAAACAAAGGGCTAACATCACAAGTCGCAGGAAACAGTCCTAGCGTATGATGCAGTTTCCTGTATGTTACCTTGAAGACGTTTCCTTGTCATCACCTCCTTCCACTGAGGTTGTTTAACCATCTGCCATCCTGGTATGTGGAGTGACGTGCTTTAGCCATGTCATCTCGCTGCCATGAACTTCCTCTAGGTTTCTCTATTGCCTCGTATGGCTACATTTGACCCCCAGGGGGATGTGCTGCAGACCTGAGCTCCCGATGCCTCATTAGAATGGGCGAGGAGGACCTCACACTGTCAGCGCTGAAAGCTGGGTCCCTGCCAGCTTTTCTCCACTCCAGTCTGTTAATGTCCGCCCTCCCCTTACACATATTTTCAAATTCACCACAGTTGAATTCCCTGATGTTAGCCCGCAGACTCTCTCATTTGATGCACAGCAAAGGCACAGAGTCCACGCCAGCTTCTCCCTCCCTTTTTTTTATTTACTGGAGGTTTTGTCGCCTTTGATTAAAACCATGAATAAGAAATGATGGCTGTTTATTCTCTCTGTGCTGTGGAAAACTGTCTGTGCAACAGACCCCGATGACCCCAGGCTGCCATTACTGGGTGGCTTATCGCCTGTGAAAGCATCTCAGAGCAGTTACAGCAGATGCTCCCTGCTTTCGCGCACTGCTAATGTGAACCATATTACACTGTAATTTCATTCTGCTGTTCATTGTGGTCTGCACAAACTGCTGTTTGACACAGCAACAAGTAGGTCAACAAAAGACACAATTCCTTTTATTTCAGCTCGTGATTTGATTGATCAAAACCAATAATCTTTTACAGCTTTGAATCACTTCACTGTGGGTCTGCAAAGTTTCTGTGATCAATGCTTTTAGTTTAAACCCAAACTCAACTTAATGCTTTGGTTTTCCGGCCCAAACTTTCTTTTTAATTGGGCTGTGAGGCTGTAAAAGTGAAAAATCTCTAAAAGTGGCTTCAGCACCAAAATGCAAACAGACACAATTCAGTCTCTTCAGATAGTTGTGATGTTATGATTCAGCAAATGTACCCAAACGCAACCATTTCCTGCAACCTTTACACAAATTTAACCCACCTTTCTCCCAGTGTGTGTCCTCCACTGGTGTATGTTTGTGAGTGTTGTGTGGTGGTGGTGGTTGGAGAGGCTGTAGGTGCAAACTGGCAGCCAGGTTTCCGTCAATCTGCCCCAGGGCGGCTGTGACTACTAAGGTAGTTTACCACCACCAAGTGCTTCTGTGTGAATGAATGATGTATGCAATGTAAAGTGCTTTGAGGGTCTCTAATAAAGCGCTTTATGAAATCTGATGCATTAATATTATTTACATACTAAAGGTGTGAACCTCTCTCTAACAAGGATATTCAATCTGATTTAACGCTTGGTGGCTTCAGTTAGATTCAAAGGTGATTCACTACAATAGAGAACAATATGATCCAGGTCAACAGGTCAATAAGGAGTCAAAAAATTAAACATTAATTTTGATTTTCAGTTTCGATAAAACATCTATTTTCTAAGAGAGAAAAGACTATGTCTACTGTAGGTCTACAACAAAGACTTGATCACACACCACTTCCAGGTGTCTCACTATAACAGGTAGTTTAATGTGATATTTGTGGTAACTGATGCAAAAATCTCAAATAGCAGCAAACATTGAATGATGAAGCTCATTAGAAGACAAATGCTGTCATCAAAGTGGGCCCCTCAACAAAAATAACTTGATGAAAATGCTGAAATTGATTAAACTGCAAAAACAGGACACACTTTCTGTGACTTCTACCTGTTGCTCACTTGTTTCCTGTGTTTCTTTGTGTTCTTCTCGTGTTCAGGAGTCTGGTGGAGGAAGAAGAAGAGAGGCTGTGCAGCCTGTAACTCAAAGCTCGCAGACTGACCAGCTGAAGTGCTGCTGGATGCTCTGCCACACACAGAGAACAAAATACACAGAAGAAAAATGCAAAATCCTCTTTCAGACAGCAGTATGATGAAGCTTAAGGTACCGATGCAGCAATTTAAGCAGATGTAAACTTATCATGACAGATTAATGCGGTCTGGAGGCCCTAATCCTGGGTGGTTGATAACAGGTCACTGGCAGATGACCCCGAGACTCAAAGAAAGATGGAGCTGTCTAAACGAGTGGGAGGCTGGAGGGGTGGGGGTGCGATGAGTGTGGATCCATTCAGTGTCTGGCAGGGATGTTTCCCTGAAGTGGGTTTTTATCTCAGCCAGCTCCCTGATATGATTCATAAATGTAGTGTCCCATCTTCGCTGAACAAATCCCGTACAAACACACACAAAAGCTGAGCGACCACCTCGTCCATCACTTAAACTGGGTCTGATTACCAGCTCTTAACCCCTTTGACCCCTTCACTGTTAACAAACATATTGACAGCTCTCTCTTTGGGAACTTCAAGCTCCTCACTTTCTCTTTGCTTTTACAGTTGTGCACACATGCTATTTTTTTAAACATGTACTAAGAGTCAACTGTGCTGTTTGCTTTTCAAATGGCTCATGAAGTTGTTTAACTGCAGCTCTGACCAAAAAAGAAAAAAAAGCACCTGGATCTTCCTGTAGGAAAAGTCTGTGTGATCCATCATTTACACTTTCAAAAGCGATGTCTCAGTTTAGAAGGATTTGGTAACACATTCCTCTGTAATCTTTTCCTTATTTTCTACATGACTTAAATCTGTCTGTGATAAATTATATTCAAAGTCTCTGCTTTTGCTGCACAAGCATCACAATGTCCCTCAGCTTTAAATTAAATAAAAGTATTTGCTTGAGAGATCACCTCATACTGTGTGATTTCCTTTGTGATCTCTCATGAGGAGTGCCTGTGAATCATTGGACATAAGACTCTCCTCGTGGTTGAAAACTGTGCAGAGAGCAGAGTGATTTATGTTCAGTCATCCTTTTTCATTCATCTTCATGCTTAACGTGAGATCTGAACATTCCCAGCAATTAACGATCTCGCTGGCTAGTTAGCTCTGCCATAAAGATGAAAAATGCAGCTAATAACAGATCAGATAAGATTAGCCACAGTCAGTGCACTCACAGCGATGAGGAGTTAGCCTTTGTAATAATTGAGTATCTGGAGGAAGGGAAGGTGAGGCTGTGAGGCTGGAGTGACTTTTTTAATCGTCCGCACATGAAACATGGGCAGCTCAGGAGGAAGCTGCTGTGTCTGTTTTCTTAGAGAGAAAAGATGAAATCAAGACCTCAAAGGAGACAAACTGGAAGACGTCATTTTCCCTCAGCTGATGTCATGAGCCAGCTTTGTCTTTTCCTCGTGGTAAACAAGAGAATTGTCTTCCTACAACAGTCGTGTTATTCCTCTTTAATCTTTCCTGCTGGGGCTTGAGGGGACAGCCGGCTGATTGTATTAAAATCCAGGAAATGCATGAAAAGACAGGACCAGGATAGTTATATTTAGAATTTCAGGAAATTCATCATCTATCCTGCTCTTGTATAGACGTGAAATAGGAGCCGGTATTCAGACAGCTGTGCAAGCAAAGAGTCCAGGAGGTCAAATTCATCTTCCCTACATCACAAATCAACATGAGCAAGTGTTCAGTTCAGTTATTCCCAAAATCGTTAATTACACCTGAGAAGTGGTGTGGGAAAAGAACAAATATATTTACAGATGAAATAGGCCATCAACCACCAACTATGTTTGCATGTCCTAATTAAACCGTTAAGTAAAATGGAAGGACTCTTGGACACAAGAGAGAGTTGATTTTTACTCTGCAGAATCAGATTTAATTTTAATAAACAACGCAATGTATGAATATGTTTTGGAATAATTTATAATCGTAGTTTAAAGGGATATTCCAGCGTAAAATTAATTCATGGTCAAACACACAGTAACACAGAATTAGACACCCCCTCGAGAGATGAATGTTACTGACTGCTTGCTTCTCTAGTTATACCAACTTTAGTAACGACCGCACGATAGCAATACACAGCGGTCTGGGGAGTCATAAACAAACCTCAACCAAAACGCCACTCTATAGCCACAAATAATGCTCAGAACAGCACCTAACTTCATCAACAGTACATATAGGGTCCTAGCCATAGTACTAGCTACCAAACATTTTTTTAACTTTGCCTAATTTCTTTAGCAAAGAAACACAATTTACTGTCTCTCTTCCAGCAGCCACTTGTTGGTAGTGAGACCTCAGGCCAGTCCTTTACGGACTGCTGCGGGGTGACGCAGCTCAAGGAAGAACATTTATGATCATTTCTTCATCGAAATGCAATCAGACCAAGATGCTAAGGCAGAAAAACTACCGCATCTGCAGTGCAAAATGATTAATATGGTGATTATTACTTCAATGAAATGATAAAGAAATGATCATAAATGTTCTTCCTTGAGCTGCGTCACCCCGCTGCAGTCCGTAATGGACTGGCCTGAGGTCTTGCTACAAACAAGAAGAGGACAAAGCAAAGGGATCATTATTTTTTTCATATTCATCTCGAACTGGTCGTGAATTTCTAAAACCTCTTGTAACTAACCCAAAACCATAAGCGTCAACAACAAGAGACAAAGAGAAGCAACCAAGAAAGTTCAAGGACTCGTCCATTGCTGCTCAGGAATGTCTATACAAAACATTCTGTCTAAAATTCCTTTAAATTGAAGGAAATATTGAGAATAGACACAGTTCAATAGCAACTTAAGTACCATATGACAACTTTTGTAACCTAGCATCTGTAAGTGTTGGTGAGAAGTGCTCTCAAACTAAGTTCAAGAGCGCTAACAACTCTAGTAAAATAAAGAATAAATCAATCAATCAGGAACTGTAGTGAAATTGACACAGGGATGTTCCAACAAAATTAAGAGTCTAATTGTCAAAAGGCACAATGAGATATCTTGTAATTTAGTCATTCCAGCACTATCTTAACACAATTAAGTATTTCAAAGACTTGTGCTATTTGTGAGTGTGGTGACCTCTGGACTCCTCTGTTTTCCCTTGCCCTCATCACACATCCTTGACAACTGAGAAAAATGTGCATTAACCCCTCAAAGCCCGTTGGTGACATTGAGTGGCCCGGGGCAGCTCTGCGCCACCTCTGCTCCTTGAAGCCGGACAATTTGATTTGGAGGCGGAGATTTTCAAAGCTGAGTCATGGATCAGTGGTTAGCCAGTCGCTTGGCCTTTTCAGACCTTTTTTTCCTTTGGCCTCGATAGTTTCTGCAGAGCTGAGAAAGCAGCAAAACAACAAACAAAGGAGTCACTTCTGCCGGTAAATAAGAGCTTGGTCTCACTTCTGAGACTGAATGTTTGACAGTGGTTTACACATGTTGAAAGAAGCCACTTCACACAACATGTGCTGTGGACATAACATCTTATTAACTTCACATGGTGCAGGAATGTCTTTACATTAAGAGTGGCAGGACCAGGCTGATAAATTATGACATCTGAGCTTGTTCACATCTCTTCAATCTGCAGCAGAAGAATCTGATTAAGGCCCTGAGGTAACGCTGATCGAGGTCATCCTGTGTAAGGCCGCTCAGCTGTCACCTTCACATAGGCACCCCCCAAAATACTCTTTTCCTATTCAGGTCCACTCAGAAAAATAAACACTGTCCTCGGTGAGGACAAAAGTCATTTTTTAAAGTCTCTTCTTGGCAGCTTGGACGCGGTGAACCAGGCTGGTGTTTGGAAAGCAAATAAATAAAAGAGGACAGGGTTGAATCAAGGAAGAAAATAAGAATAGTAAAAATATACAAAGGGGGAAGAGCTATTGAGAAAGTATTGCCTTAACAAGAGGGGAACAAATAATAAATTATGAGGCCCCTCTCTCTTGAGACAGGATTGGCACGCCTGAGGGAAGCAGGAAGTGGGCATCCCTCTCTTTTTATAAGGGTGGTGGACAGGCTTCCACTGTGGGAGCATCACAGGAGTCAGAGCCGGTGAGAAAACTCCTTAAAGGAATGTTAACACACACACACAGGCACACACAGCTCTTCAGAGGTTATACGCTATGCTTTGCTGAATAAAGATGGTGGTAGTGTGACTGTGTAACCCCCAGGTCCCCCATCATGTCATCGCTGTACTTTCTGTCCTCATATCTGCAATCCCACTCGGCCTGTTTAACTGAGAGGCCGCTGACAGCCGTGACCCCACATTTACCCCACACTCCCTCTCTGTCTGTCCCAAAGCAGGTGGTAAACACCCCCCAGCATGGCCATGTGATCTTCCATGGATGTGCAATCCTTGATACACTTGATGTGATGGCAAAACCTTAATTTCCTAGTCTTGTGATCGAGAGATAAAACGAAGAAAGTTTTTTTTTTTAATTTCCCCAAAGTCCACACGGAGAGTGAGTCATGGCTAAAGTTGATAAAAGTTTCTCCTTTTGTCCTGAAGAGTTCAATTAATCAACTTCACTGGGTGTGCTGGATGGAAGCGGATAAAAGTCTGGGCTGCAGGGACCTCAGGAGAAAACAGCCTGGATTTGTATTCAGCTGCAGTGGCCTTCATACCCATTAAAGGATGTTAGCATCTTTTTAAGCATAGTGACTTTATTGTCAGCTTAAGGCTTACATGGATCCAACCATTTGCTGTATTGGATTCTTGGCAGATGGCCTGTAAGGGTCTTGGCCACCCTTGAATGTGGTTCTTATGTTAAGCTTCACCTTTCAGCAAATGGGCTGCTCTGTGCACTCACCCTACACAGACAAACTTATGTCCTGGTTGTAATGCCTTCTTATCAGTAGGAATACAAAACAAATCAAGAAGTTGCTGTACAAGGTTCTCCCACTTACTGTAGCACTTAAAATGATGACTTTTCTGCGATGTTTTGTTGATAGATGGCATACTATGAGATAAAGTGAGTGTGTATAGATGAGCGCATGTGAATTATACAGCACTTTG